CTTTTCACTGTATAGTTTCTGTTTCCGTTCTCCATCGTAGCAACACAAGCACATAGATGTTTCAATGACGTTTGATGTAGTTTCCTTGTGCAAAATGACGGAACAGTACGTGAGTTGAGTGAAGGTTTGCAAATAGCGTGTTGGTTAGTAAGTGTACGGTGTACACACTGTACATGGCATGCGGATCGTACGGCAAAACCGTATGGTCGATGCGCAAGTAAAAACTATCGCACGTGTACAACTGACTTACTCTTACTCAATCTTGTGTTTCGCTCGCTGTTTGTAAATGAAAGTGTATACATACGATAATCTTGCATCGAAAGCACATGCGAAGTCTAATTCGCTATCTATGAATTGTAAACGAAAATGAAACAGAAGACGAAAAAGAAGAAAAAAAAAGAGAAACAGATCGATGTATTCACAGTGTAAAATGTTGATCGTTTCCCTGAAATGTATTTGAGTAATGCCGTTGCTTCCACCATGCGCGCATTTAATGTGAATCTGTTCTTTCAAAACAAGCTGTTGTAGTAACAACAACTTTATTGTATTAGCACTTTCTGGCTATACCAATGAAATGAATACTTTTTCGAATTGGATGGAATTCACATGACTGTGTCAACACATACATATGCAATGTGTTTTTGTGCCTGTAGCGAATGAGCAATACACGATAAATGATCATTCGCGAGACTTAGCATCGTAATATTAAACATACTTTCCAATCTGATGCATGTGCAAACAATTTTGTGTTGGTTGCTTTATATTCTACAGTCGGGTCTATCCTCTCAGTGTTCACTGCGCGTTGTATGCTCATTTTTTCCCTTTTTTTCGAGCGTCTGAATAAGGACAATAATGATCAGAAAGAAGGGAAAGGAAAAAAAATAGACCAGTAAAAAAAGCACGAGAAAGGAAAGGAAAGAAAATCAGAAGAAATAGTTTATAGCAGAAATATTTCTTTCATTGTGTTTTTTTGGGACCCATTCGAGATTGGTGGTTTTAAGGAAGAGGAGGGAAAAGAAACGGAAAAAATCAAACTGCTTTGATGAACACCAGTACCAAAAGAAAAGATAAATCTTTATAGCAACCAACCAAAATCATTGCAGTATGGAATCTTGAATATCTATGCCCTTCACAATCTTCATAGGGGAACGAATATTTTTTCAAAAAATGTTGAAATACATTGTAAAAATTAGACGAAATTAGATTTATCCAGAGTCATGGAAATGGGCAAACCTCATGTTGCCGTAAAGATTCGTTTCAATCATAATGCCGTCGGATCTGGATGTGGATAGATTGAGAGTTTAAGCAATATAAGTCTGGTAAGTCTGCGCACCGCATTGTTCGCTAAATTTCATTTCGACTGTCTGTACGTAGCTGCCGCCGCCGCCGTCGTCGTCGTAGTCGTTGGCTGTGTGTTCGTCTCTCTCCCGCTCGATCTCTTTCGTTCGCTCACTTTTTCGATGTATGTGTAAGTGAATGTAAGAATCGGTGTAAATGTGTGAGCCAATGTCTGTGTGCATAGCTATTTGTTTATTATGTTATACATGTTTTTCCTCCTACCTTTTCAATTGAGACAGTCGAGAGCAAACTGCCGTTCAGTCATCACGGCTAAACAATAATTTTTAACCAAAAGTATTTGTGTTGTGCGCGCTTTGGGTGTACTCGAACTAGTATAGCTGGAAAATAAGTTTGTTTTGCTGAAACAGTTAAAGGATTTATATGAAAACAGATCCAGAAACCAGATTAAAATGTATGTTCATTAAAAAAATTTCTTGAATTTTCGTGCATATTTTGTGTGTTTGTGAGTGTTTTACATGTGTATGAATGACTGATTGATTATGTTTTGGAGAGAAAAAAAAAGATCAGCAGTGAAAACTTGGTTTCAAATTGTGACGAATAAGTAAAAGAATGAAGAAAAATAGTACCGCCAAAAAAGTTTTGCTTCTAAAAAAAATTGCCAAAACAAAAAATAGTTGTTAGTTCCTGTCCGAAAAAAAATGAAGTGATGTTTTCAATCTTATGAAAGAAAGGCCGCCATTCTTTGCAGTAAGAAAATCTGCAAATAACAAAATACGTTCTTTGCAGATACATCAAATCTGTACGTATAATAAGGACGTATTTTGTTATTTACAGATTTTCTTACTGCAAAGAATGGCGGCTATGATCATTGTAAAATTAAGATGCTATTAACAGCTTTGGTTTATATGTCTTTTTTCATTATTTTCAAGTAACTTTAATGAAATTTGGTTCTGTTTATCAACAATTGACTCGGGTTTATATCACCCAGAACGTACATGACAGGTAAAGGGAAGAGAAAAATGAAGAACAGAAAGAGTTTATTTAAAATTAACTTGTATAATGCTTATTCACTGCCTTTTAATCCTCGTGATCACACTCTAATCAAACGCATTCTGAGTGTAACATACAACTGTACAGGCTCTGGATACAAATGCATCAATAATTTCTGCAGTATGTCACACACAAAATGATTTTTTTGGAATTCTTGTGAGGATCTTCTCGATCATACATCGAACAAGACCAACCGTTTGGTTGCTACCGTCGATTTATTCATCAACTTTCACCTCCGCGTTGAATATAAACTTTTCAATAGTGTGAGGCTTTCTCAAAGTGTGGAATTCCGTACAACAATAAAAGGAGCGCATTTGATGAATTAGGTTAAATTTTTTAAAGAGATTTTTGGAGAAAAAAATCCTACCGCCCGATGCGTACGTGTAATTGTCACAATGTGAATGTCACGCACTATGGGTAATTGAATGTTCGGTAGTAGAAAAATGCAGAGACACAGAGAGAGACTATAGAAACAGCACACAAATTCTTCCTGTATTTATTATGAAGCTAGTTCAATTGATTAATTGACGAGCAATTTGTCTACGTCGGGTTAGTACATACAATATTTTCGTATGTATTTGTAACAGGTTTTTAATTTAGGTGGCTAAATTTCGGATCAGTGCGTTTTAGCTCTCGAAAATCAATATTGATCTTTAGTTTTTGATTCTTATTTTTGTTCCATCAAAAAAGAAATATTTTCTATCAAAAAAGGAGAAAGATTTACTACAACGGTGACAATGAAAAATCAGTTTCACTTTTCTATGCATGCATTTTTCTTCATCACAATGCGACCTCATTTTCTACCTGTCAATGATTAATCTGTTTAGTGCGGGATGGTTTGATGAGATCGAAGAACCGAGCAGTACATAGACATAAGATATAAGACAGTTTTGATCCTTTCTGGTAGCCCAAAAATATGGATGCACATTGTGAGTGTTCGGCTGGTATGTTTTCTACTTATTTCCAGCCGAGGGATTTAATACCAGCCAGATTTATCGAGATTCCTTTGGCTATTCAGAATTATGCACCATCATTGAGAATGAACGATGTCCCGACAGAGATTGAACTTGTGAATAATAGCATTTCTTTTTTCAAACAAAAAATGTGTGCGTGGGAGAGAGGGAAAGAGAGAAAGAGACAATTTTTCATAAGTCCTTTATAGCGAAACTGAAACAATATAAATTGGTTAAAATACTTTGAAGAATTATTCGTTCTGATATGAAAATAAAGTAAAACAAAAAGAACCACTGTATGCTACGTATGTATGGACGGAAATGAATTTGTTTGAAAAATTTTTGTGGAAACTTGTCCTTTGCATATGACGGCCCGTGAGCTCATAAAGTGAAGACGAAGTCAAACAAATCATGTATCCAATGCTAAAAATTTGCGCTAGAGACGAAGAAGAAGAACAAATTGAAGAAAATGTATGACTATTCGGAATATGCGCACAAAAGACGACGTCACCGTTGTCGTGGTCGTCGTCGTAAACGATCGTTCCGAATTCAACATTTCACCATTCACAACCGTGTTTAGCTGCATCGCGAAATGTGGGTAAAGAGGCAAATAAAGGCAATTGAGCTCACTGTTAGTATGTACGAGGCAACCATTCGAACGTGGAACATTAATACAAGTGCAGCAGCATGCGTTTGATTGTGAAATGATGATTGTGAAATCGTCAGAAGTTGTAACAATCGTGACTTTTAGCTAGATTCATATTTCACTCTAAGCAAATAATTTTTATGCCCCATGCCAACCGCTTGTTGTATGTTATACTCTTGTAGTGGAATGGTTTTTAGTTTCTTGTCATTTGGAGATCACACATTCGAAGAAAAGAAACAGATCCACAATGTCCAAATCACTTGAATTCTGGATCATGGAAGGAAATTCTTGATCAAGTCGAGTTTTACAGTGGACATTCGCCATGATGATTCATATGGTATTGAATGGAGAATGGTTTATTGAAGGAAGATTCATTCTCATCAAGTTTTTTTCTTTTCTACTCTGTTTTTGGGGGAGAGCTAATTAAGTGTGGCTGTTCATTTTTCTTGATGGCGTACGAATTGTGATCTCGAATCTATTTTTCGGTTCAAAAAATGTCAATTGTTTTCCAATTTTACCTTCCAAAATTCATATAAAAGCACACAACTGTAGCAAACGCAATTCTTTTTTCTCATTTCCCCTTCACTTTTCTGTTTATATCTTTCAATTAACACAGATACACACTCATTCATTGACAAAATTTGTAGTCTAATACTCGTCGTATTGCGTCGCAGTAGAAACGATTTTCATAAATATTTTGTAATATATTGTTACAGCCAGTTTTGCGATCATTACATACGTAATGCCGTCCGTATTCCAAACCACGCTTCACTCAGCGTACAAACACACATATATGTATATAAATATACAGAGACACGCGCAAATACAAACAAACAAACACACTCGCGCACAGATATTTGTACACAAATGTGAGCGAGTTGTATTTGTGGTTTGCACGCGAATGTTTATGTGTGTTTTGCGCGCTTTTTAAAATATCATTTTTAATTTTCTTTGAAGTCGTTGTTTCTTTTTGTCGGCATGCTTTGTTTTCGAGGGTTTTTGTTGTGTTTTCATTTCTCACTTTTTTTTCGTTTTACCAATCGCAAGGTTTTGCAATTTTGCCTCTTTTGTTATACGCTGGCTGTATGAGTGCTATTCTTCATCGAACGTTGTGAAATTACATAACATCACAACTCTTGGTATTTACCGTTCTTTTGTGCGGCAAACGCGCGCTATAAGTACTATGGTAACCTACGTGTAGTTTTTGAACATTTCAAATTGTATGTTGGATTTCTATGTGAGAGCACCTACGCGAATCAACAAGTGAGCAGCATTCTTATGAGATATTGTTGTAAGTGCTTTCTTCAAATTAATTCATTTATTTATTTATTTTTTCCTCGTCAATGGACTTCTTTCCGATTGGATCTCTCACTCTCTCGCGCTCTCTCTCGCTCTCTCTCTCTCTCTCTCTCTCTCTCTCTCTCTCTTTTCCATGTTCGAATAGCAGAGAGATGGAGAGGGGGAGAGAGAGAATTGTGAAACAAATATACTTGCTTGATGTAAAAACTATCATATATTCATTGGATCAATTCTACTTTATCAAGACTCGCATCAGTATTAAGAAGTATCAAGATGATTGAATGTGCGACGACTCAGCGCAATGCTTTCTAAACAGAATAGAAGCAAAAATTATGTACACATGCGGAGAGCGAGCGCAATGAGCGAATGATGAACAAAAAGCAACAATATATATACATATACTATATACTATAGTGAGCGTAATTGTGCAATATTTTTCTGTGTATGCTGCGCGACTCACTGTATTCGAAATGTAAGAAGAAAAAAAAACTAAAAACTAAACGTAGACTAGCATATACTCCGCTCAACTGAAAGAACTGTTACACGAATGAAACTGAAGAAAAGAAAAAAAACAGCAGCAGCAATATTCACACACATATGTATACATACAAATACACAGGCGTCCTCGTAGAGAGCGCAGCGATTTCAATTTCATTGGAACTGAAAGTATTGGTTTCATAACTTTGCCTTTACATCAACAACCTATTTGCCACACATTGATATACTCAGACAAAGCATATATATTGTATTACAAATCGCTTATATATACAGGCACGCCTTAGTGATGTAAATAGTTGAATACAGATTCGGTTTTGATGATCTATCTCTCTATGTTTATCGCGCGCGCGAGAAGCACAATCAAAAATTTATTGTACCAAAGTGATGGGAATGCTCAATCTAACTGAATTCTCTTTGCATATGAAAACACAACTGCGCGCAGAGAGCGAGAGAGCGCTTTGTATGAAGCTGTATTGGCTCGATCGTGTAGTAGAATTTTATGAAAACAACGCCTGATCAATGGTTGTTACTGTTGGTGATGCTGTTGCCGTTGCCGTTGCCGTTGCCGTTGCCGCTTTTTTTCTATTTTACCATGGTTCACAATTCAAAAGTAGTAAATTTTTACATTGAAAATGTCGAACGTTGCAGTCGAAGAAAATTGCCCACTGCCTGAAGTCATACAAATGCGATTTTGCAAAGCATAGGCGCTCAAAATATGCCTTATTAGCGTGCCGTACAAACAAGATGTAAACTAGAAAATTATTGCAACTGAAATTACTGGCCTAAATTCAATGCTTCGCCTAATCATACATGTGAAGATGTGAAATGGGATGGGTATATCGAGACGACGACGGCGACGATGTTGTGAAAAACGCCATGAAGAACAGCCGCACGTAGTGAAACGAATGAATTTCATTATTTAAGCCACAAACGTTTGTTTGAATGGAATCAAATGCCCGTCTCTCGCTTGCTCTCTCTCTCTCTCTCTCTCTCTCTCTCTCTCTCTCTCTCTCTGTTTGTCTCTTTCTGTACAGCAGTGACAGCAGCGTGATGGGCGAGTTCAGCAGTTCAACTTCACTTTGCTCAGCACAATTCAACTTCATCTTACATTCTCATTTTCAGAGCGTTTTTCAACTTTGGCATTTCAACAGTACTCTGAAATCATTCCCACTGTGGCGTACGACGATCTCCACTAAAATTTCAACTAGGAAATATTTTTTTTTCTCGGAAAATATCTTGTAAAATGATAAAATGATTCAATGCAAAAAATACTTCTATAGAGACTTCTCCCAAACCATCTGTATAACGAGTTTCGTTTTACTGTGATTTATCGAATAGATTCCATTTGAAAATTCGGAACATAGCACTACTGGAAATCGGAACTGTAAACCATTATTGATTTCAAGGCAACAGAGAAAACTAGAGTCAATCATCAGCGATCTAAATGAATAATTGTGAAATATTGGAAAGGCGTTGTATTGTAATTATAGTACATCACATTGTTTTGGATTCGATTGGACTCTTGATGATTCGGTGGCTCTTCAAGTCATTTTTTTCCATTTTGACATTGTTGAAATGCTCATGTGAAATGTGATTGTCTTTTTACAGCACAATCTTTCCCTCTCTCTCTCACCGCCATTGTCTTTTTCACCCTCTTTCTCGCTCTTGCATTGAAAAAAAAAATTGAATGGAGCACACATTTCTTGAACCCAATATAACAAAAACCCGAAAACCAACGATGGTATTTTGAAGGAAAAAACAGAGGTATGTATTGTATACATGGTTGTGTTAGGCGCCCAACGTTGGAAAACGAACTTCTATGCAAATATATCAAAACCGCTCGCGCCTAGCTGTTTATCTTTCAAGTTGTGCGCTAAACCTTCGCGTCTATGTTTCTTGGATACACCGTCGAGTAGTGCGGCTCTTACATGTGTTTGTAAAAAGATTACAACATCGCACTAACTAAAGCTTTAAATATTAAAAGTAAAAGTTATGTAGTATATTATTTATTTCGTATATTTGGGTTTTATTTTCGCGATCGCTTTTTTTATTTTTCTTCTTCCATTTTAGTACCATTCGCCGAGTTGTAGTTTATGTTGACTCTTATTGCGCGTCACTCTTTCATACTTATTTTCAGTGTGTCTCACTCTTGCTTTCCACCGTTCGCTTCTTCGCGTTGCCTCTACGCTACTACTCTACTACTCTAGTGGATATATGGTATATACGTTTATATACTATGCCAGTACATATTACTTTCTTTTTCTAACTCTACTGTTGTACTTGTTGTGCACTTATTACAAACGGTCGTACGTTTTTTTTCTTCTTCTTTTGTATATACATTATTTTGAAAGAAAAAAAATACGCTTCTATTTGGTTTCTGTTTTAATACGTTTCTACGTGTACGGAAAACGAACAAACTTTTTTGTTAAACAGTCACAATATTGTCGACGTACGTACAGTGAATTGAATGGGAATGGGAATGTGAATGAGAATGAATACGATAGGAATGTAATGTAATGTAATTAGAGTGATAGTTGACTTATGTCAGTATCTGCACTTTTTATCTTCCGTCTCTTTCGTGCGTTCCAATTTGTTGTTCCTTCTCATTCTGATTCTCTCCATCACTGAAAGATGTTAGCTTGCGTAAACTCGCGCTTTTCTTCGTTCATATTTTTCTTTGCTTCTTTTTCTCTCTCAGTGTGTACATAGCAAAAATGGTTTTTCCTGCAAGGCATTGCAGCAAGACTTTTCAGTTTTTGGATGTTTGATCGCAGCTGGATCGTTGTCCACACATCGTTTTGGTCTTGATTTCCTGGCCCAAATATTGAATATAACGTGATATTCTTTGCTTTTTGATATACATTTCAATGGCTGCTATTAATTCCATTTTCCCGCAAATCATGTTGTATTTGTTTTTGGATTGATGTGACCGTAAATGGAACTGTACAAGTTCGATCTTACAGAAATCAATAAACATTCTTGTGAATATCTCTTCAAATAATTTGTTCTCTTGTTGTTGCTTTGCAGAAATTCCATTTGTACGCCAATATGTATTGCTTCGATTTCTGCATTTTCTTTTCCGTTTGCCCAAACGTGGGGCCGTATATAGTTTGGCAGTTATACGGGATGGAACCTTTTACTTAAGAAAAAGAAACTCCTCCAAATGAATACGTCAAAAAAATATAAACAAGTTTCAGTTTGTGATTTGTCAGCAGAAGCAGTATTACGGAATAAACAGATTGCAGACTGACATGGCATGATCTACGATCATCATCTTGACCGGTATGCTTACAATGCTTACAAAGCGCATTTATTCTTACATGAGTCACGCATTCCAAATGCAACCGCAATACAATATAGTCATAGAGTAAAGACACTGTAATACCATCAGCCTATGTCTGGGAAAGCATACGAAAGGTGAGCTTGATCATCGAATAAATGCTGCTTCCGAATGCGATTTTGGTGCAATGCTGTGCTGTTACGCAATTTATCACCTTTTGCATGAATAATCATTGACCAAATTATTGTGCCGATATCCAAAACTGTCCAGCATATTCATGTGCACTTATTGGGATCTGAACACTATTCTCATTAGATTCGGTTGAAGAGATCGCTGCTGCTGTTTATATCATTGTATCGTTCGCTTATGGACGCGCGCACACACACCCCTGTATCGCATCGTCGTGCAAATTCATAGCAGTCAGTCAATATATAGTTTTTGTGTTTTCTTCGCCTCTTTGTTTCTTGACTATGACTCTATTAACACACATTTTAGCACTAGGCTTGCGCGCTTGTTTTATTCCGCCGCATACAAAACGTACATATAACGAATAAAAAAGAAGGCGACTACACAAAGTGACTGGATATGGTTTCATTTACATTCTATTTGTTGTTCTCCGTTTGATTCCGTTGCAAATAAGTAGCACATGAATGGAATACGTTTAGTTGTAAGGAGGAAATGAAACAGATAGAGTAAGAGAAGCGAGGAAAGAAAGAAAGCCAACAATGGTATTACACACTTCGGGCCGTCGTTGATCGTTGTGCCCATTCATTCGTATGGAAGCAATAACAATATTTTTAACGATTGCGCAATTTCTTTCAGTTTCGCGTAGATTTATGGCATGTAAATATATATAAATAATTTCGACCGTTTCATCGACAATCATTTAGATGGAGAAAAAAATTATAATATTTCCTTCATGGCCGCCATTCTTTGCAGTAAGAAAATCTGTAAATAACAAAATACGTTCTTAACAGATACTTCAAATCTGTACATCTCAGATGTTGTCGGAAAGAAGAAATAATTTATCTAGATAAAGATAAGATAATTCAACTATTTTTCAAAATATATCTAGATAGAGATAAGATATTATCTTATCTAAATGGAAAAAGATAAGATAAGATAAGATATTATCTTATCTATTATAAATTTTTAGATAAGAAAAAAAGATGAAACATTTGTTGTATCGATTTCACTTTATTTACGATTTTGGAAAAACAACTGTTTTAGTGATAAACTCAAATTTTTCGCCGAAATGGCATACATTTCCTGCGTGTATCATTCTAAAGAGTTATTGCTATCCTGAAATTCGATGATGAAAGTTTATGGCAAATACGCGTGGGCGGATTCAAAACGGAGATTCATAAATTAGATTCAATGAATCATTTTTCGGCGAGATTCAGTTTATTTTGATTCAGTGGATCAGTGATTCATTTTTGGACAATAAATTACTTTAGATTGGATCACAAATCGAAAATGATTCAGAATAAAGTGAATCTTGATCCCGAAATCAGTTTGAATCTGTGGTTCACACGCGAAGTGATGGATTCAGTGAATCACTAATCACAATTTTGCCCTGTAATGGCAAATTTCTTGTGCCCTAAACGGTAAATCGAAATTGACTATACGATTTTAATATTTGGAACATCAATTCTTTTGGCAAGTACATCGGAATTGGATAGCATTTTTGTTTGAAACCAAGACATTCATAATTATCTGGAAAATTATCTAAAATACCCAGATAAATAATGAAAATTTTTACTTATCTAGATAAGATAATAAATAAACACTCTTATGATCAAATTATCTAGATAAGATAAAAGATAATATCTTATCTTATCTTATCTGAATTATCTAAATAATAAGATTATCTTCGACAACACTAATGGGCTTGTTCTTCCTTTTCGATGAATTGTAGAGCGAACGTCCAATTTGATATTCTTTGGAACGTGTCTTCGATTCGTTCGTCTCTTTGTTCTTCGTTTTGCGTGCGTTCGCTTTGCCGGTCGCCGAGAGAGAGACTCTCACATTTCGTTCTCGTATTTCTCCGCTGCTTCTTCTTCTTCTCTTCCACTTGTCATTTGTCATAGTCTCATTCGTCATTATTATATTGGTAGCTCTTAAATTTAATGTTGTGAACCAAAGTGAACATTACATTAGTCCCAAAACAAGAAAAAAAAAGTGCGATGTAACATCTGTAAAGAACGTATTTTGTTATTTACAGATTTTGCATACTGCAAAGAATGGCGGCCCAATGATCATTTTGATTATTTTAGTTTTTTCTGAATTAATCCGAAAACTAAGTTGATTAAACGGAATAAAGATGATGACCTATAAATAACAGCTGTTTATATAAAGTAACACATATTTTGTAGTTGAAGACAGACCGAACGAAATAATAGTAGAGCTTCATGAAGATGGCACCTAAATTCAAACAGAAAAACCATAAATCGGTCACAGACATTCTGGTTCTTAATTCAGGAACTATAATCGATATTGAACCTTGATTGCATTTATCTTGAACTTGTAACTTTATTCAAAAGTTCGAATCATTTTTGTACCAAAAATTCCAACGTTCAAGAAAAAAAAAAGAACAACTATTCCGTGTTTAAATTCTGGGAGCATTTGAAATGTTGTCACAAAATATGCCATTTCATTTAAGTTTTTGTTTTCATTCATCTCAGATTTGTGTTCCATTTTTATTATCACTTTTATTTCCTAACACTCGCTTCAAATTCGTGTACGTTTTTCAGAGTTTACGATGTGTGTTTTTATATTTATTTGGGATTGAGAAACTTTTGATACGAACTACACGAGCTAGTTTGATGGAGAAATGAGGAAAAATTGTACGTTCTCCATGATTGATAACAGAAAAAAAAACTAGGAAAACATTGAGAAATTGGACACACAATTGTGATAATGACATAAGCAGAAAGTGAAATGAATGGTTTGTAGCGAAAATGTAATACAGAAAAGTTGAGCGGAGAAATGTCGATGATGAATGAGCGGAAAAGAGATAGCTATATAGTAAACTGTATAGTAAACTATAGTGAACTATATAGCTATCTCTTTTCATTTGACATTTTTTCGCTCAACTTTTCTGTATTACATTTTTGCTCCAAACCATTCAAATTGCTATTGTACACGTTGTGTGAACGATCCAACGACCAGGCTATCTGTAAGCCGAATAGAAATTTATTTCAAAACGTTTCATTGCAAAATATTGGGTCAACGTGTACTTGTTGTGGCTACAACCAAAACTGTAGTGAGTTAAGACAAAACAAAAGAGTGTTAGTTCCAAACTATATATATGGATCATTTCGAATGAAAACTATTTGCTTCAATTCAATTGAATAGCACTAAAAGTATTTTGTATATAAAATATTTCATTGCGCACCAAAGCTATTATCAAACAAATGAAAGAGTTTTCGAGTATTCAAGTTCGCTTTGAAGAACCAAGAAAAACAAGAGATCGGAAACGAGGGAAAAACATTGTACATGCAATTTCATCACCATTTAAAATGCACTCTACTTCAAAACATATTAATGTAATAACTGTTCTAAGGCGAAAATCATAACGAAATGAGAATCGAAAATATTTGAATCAAGTATAAAAATGTAGTAAAAAGTGGCAATGAGTATTTGCAAGAAAAAAACACCAGACTTGTTTTCAGCTGTGTTAATTAGAAATGTGCGCCCAAACACACACACATACAACATAGCACATATATATATTTTATATAAAATGAAATTACAACAAATTCTGATTAGGAAATAGTGTACTAAAATGTGAGCAGACGAAAAATCACTATTCGTTTGTAGTTATTTGCACCAATAATAACCATGATAAGAAAAAAAAAGAACTCACATTGGCATCATATGAAAAGAAATGTAGTAACACAAATAATTAGGACAACTCACTTATCTATAATATAAGCATTAAATAGTATAGTCGACTAAACAAACAATGCAATCCATTGTGTAGAATGTGCCGCTGCGCTCTCTCATCAGTACTACTGACGAGTAAACAGTTGAATGCTGTTTAAAGTTATTTGAGTGTTAGAGAGAAAACAATCCGTCAGTTCTAGATTTTGTGCTGGAACCAAAATAATCTGTTTAGAATATCAGGTTTAAGGATTTAATTTTACAACACATTTAGTACCTTTCAATCATTCGAAACTACAACAAGCTATCATAGTTAAAGTTACGTTGAAACAAGAACTCACTGTGCAAACTTGGAGAAATCTTTGGCACATGAAAAATAGAATTTGGATGCATCCAACCATATATAAAAGCTTCAAAAAGTATGCGTTAATCGATCTTTTTTACAGCTTCCTTGTTTCAAGAATGTAAAAAAATACAATTGTCTAAAGTTTAGAGCGCTTCAATTCAAAATTTAAATTTGGGCATGATCTGATTTGAATATGGTTTTAATATTTTATTTTTGTTGACCTTAGTAAATTTTGCAAACACCAGATGTGGCGGGCTACCACACTATATAAAGCAAGAAATTTTTCGGCATCTTTCTTCTGAACCTGATCGAATCCATGTAGTTCAATGTGGACGAAATTGTTTGTCCAAATAGATCATAAAAACTTCCTGATCCCACCTCACTCAGTTCAATCAGCAAATGAAAATTGTTAAAACGTTAAAGATTCATTTGGTGGTCGGATGGAGGAAACTAGTGTCGAACTTTGTAATTAGTACGTATGAAAGTGATTTTGAACCATTTTCATAAAGATATACATGCTTTTTTTCTTCGTTTTTTTTTTCTTTTCTTTTTGGTTTTCATTCAATTCAGTTTCACTTTCCCATAATGCGCCTAACTCGGCACATAAATTTGGGTCGACCGAATGGTTTACCATTGTGTAGCTGGCTGTCAATCTTTGTGCAATCGACTTTCCACAGCGATTGACACATAAAATCTTGAATGCATGAGAAAAAAAAATTACAACCATTCAAATAGCATCATTCACGCAGAATATAGATATAATGCGTACGTTGTAGAGCATGATTTCGTGTTCCTTCAGCAGTTCGTGTGGCGTTTTACGCTTTATTTTTACTTCATAAAACTTCGTACTTTTTGGTACTATTATATAACAAATGGCCTCGTTTTTAATGCTCATACAAGAGAGAAAGGGGGACAAACCAAGTGCAAAAGAGAAAAGTTGAGTTGGTTAGTGCTGTGTATTCCAATATATGTATACACATATAGCCTCTCAACTATGTATATCAACACATATTGCGGTTGAGAAGTGCACAAGCTGTAAAAATGTTTTAAAATGAACGAATCGCTATTACTTTTTCCGCTTTGCACAATGTTGTTTGGATGAAAAACAATACATACATAAAAAAAACAGAGCTTAATTCAGAAAGAGTGGACAGATTGTGAATCAGCTAGTTGTGTAATTATGCGATTGTGTGCTCGCCGAACGTTTATTGTATTCATTCACCATTGTAGCTACTGTGCTGTGCTCGCCATCGACATCTTTTCATCACTCTCACTTTTTGTTTTCGGAAGTAATTGTTATATTATATATACGCTACAGTTTCACGTTCACGAAATTCAATTTGTTTTTGTGCATGTATAGTTGACATATTTCGTCACGATTTCGTGAATACACACACACAACTACACATACACACATACGCACATACATATGCGCGAAGAGTAGGAATAAAACTTATATTAATTAAACGTAGATGATTGTGTTATAGTTTTCACTTTCAATTTCAATGTGGGCTCTTGCGCTCAACGAAAGAAGAAGAAAAAACGAAATGGTTATATAAATATGAAATTTCTTTCATCTCCCAATTTCACTTTCATTTTTGCATACATGTGCGGTAACAAAACTTCACAAAAAAGCAAATTTGATGTTTGTTTCTTTTTCTTAGTTCAGTCGTTTCGATGATCGTTTATTTGGGCTATGTACATACCTTGCATTGATCGTTTCTTGTTTTTCGCTTGTCGTTTACAGTTAGAATGCTTATGCTGCACTACAGTAAGCACGGTGAGTGCATACTCCAAGAAATTGGTGCAGCATTTCGTGGCGAACATCCAGCTGATTTATTGCTCATATGCAATGACAGAGAAACGCTACAAGCCCATCGATTAGTATTGGCTGCTGCCAGTCCTCTTATCAGGTAATATCAAATGTTCGACTGATCATCACATTGACAATGTGTTTAAGTAAAATCTTTCGTTTTCTTCGCCGATACGATCTCCGCTTTCATACAACAAACCACGCATCCATCCAATGACAACTGAATGTAGGACGATTTTGAAAGATGTACCAGTGATCGAAGGCATTACAACAATACACTTTCCAGATATTGAAGCGGCATACTTTCGATCTCTCTTAGACTTCCTATATTCAGGACAAACCTGTGTGCCGGCAGCAGATGTTGAACATTTGCATGATCTCTTAGATTTATTACAAATCAAACCAGGCGTATGGAGAACTGGTGATAAAAATGGCAAAGAAACCATCGAAGTGTTGACACGAATATTCACAGAGAATAATCAAAAATTGGACGCACATCACACCGATTTGAATTGTAATCAAAATGAAGAGGATATCGACGGAACGGTACAGCATGATGACCACCAAACACTTGGATCGTTACATCGATCCAAGAGCCGAGATTCATCGCCGTCAGCCCATCACTTTGTTAAGATGGAGCAGCTGAACGAGAGTTCATGTGACGACGATCGCGAAGACGATGACGATTTGAATGTAGCTGATGAGGAACAGCCATACATAGAGCTACGACGCCATCGGAGGAAAAAGATCAGCAACACAAATAGCGGTGGTGAGTGGCTGCGTTTCGGTTGTTTTATAAAAATTCAGATTTAATATAATCATAACTTGATACACGGGTGCGTAGGAAATGATGGTGAACAGGATTCAGGTGACGAGGAGAAGACACAAGATACGTCCGATGTCAGCGAACGAAGGCACAGTTCATCCGATCCAGTGAATCTTTCGCTTGGCTGTCGGGAGCGTGAGGATGATTCAAATGATGGGCATATTGATGTTGAAACAATAGGAAATGCTCCCAGTAAGGTGAGTTATGAACATAAGAAAAAAGTAGAAGAAAAAAAAACAAATATATTTGTTTGCTTGTACCATTGAAGAATCGGATAAGAAAAAGAAGAGGTGTGATAGGAAAGTTTATCATTAATTCACCCAATAATAATTTCAGAGCTTAATACCAGCACGCTTACTCGAACCAATCCGATCCAAACGAAAAGTTGTGTATCACCATCCCGACACAGAAATGTTGAAACTGCCGCCAGATCATGACCTCATTCAAAACACCCCCGAGAATTATGTTGTAACACCGCACAGAAAACGTCGTCCTGGCTTCCATAACTCACCGACACAGAATCCACCATTCGTACCTTATAACCATGGTTACATTGAAGATTTAAGATCACGTAAAGGACCACCGTCATCATCAGCCCCACCATCATATTTTCCAGGTATATATGAACACACACAAAAACATTTTCCAATAACGCAATAGAACATAAGCTTCACCTGGGATGACTATTTTAAAAACAATGTTAAACACAAACGTATTTCTATGTCATGCACATGTAACGCTATCTATTGAAAATGTATGCGTAACCAATGGTTTGAGTATACTTTTAGGCAAATATCACATTGGTCTCAAATGAGTACACGCACACGCGCACGCACACGTTCATATGCATGCTACAATATAGTTACATTGATTCTAATGCGATCTTTTACAATTCCAAATCGAATTTTGATTCTAACTAGGTGATCGAAGGCCATTGTCGCCAACATCCCCTGCAGAAATACTCTTCCATTCGAATCACCACAACAACAACACTCGACGAAGACCGCCAAGTGCTGACGGTCCATTACAAATGCCACCGTCATTTGTTTACCCATGGCCACCACACACAGCAGCATTGGGTGTAAGTTGATGAGTTTAAGTTGTATAAAATAACAAATTCTTTAATGGATCACTTTAATCATTTGCCTAATAACAGGTAACAGCAATACAAACATCGAATTCATTGAATAACAATGCAATCGGACATTCCGAAAACTCAATTGAAAATCAACAGACGAGCCGAAATAGTACGTCGAGTACAGGGACTGGCGGTAGCACCGGTAGCACGCAGTCAACGAATTCAGCACCAGTTCGCGAATACCGTTGCGAATATTGTGGCAAACAGTTTGGTATGTCGTGGAATTTGAAGACCCATCTGCGTGTTCATACCGGCGAAAAACCATTTGCATGTCGTCTGTGCGTTGCGATGTTCAAACAAAAAGCGCATTTACTAAAACATCTGTGCTCGGTTCATCGCAACATGATCAGTACACCGGAGGCGAATGGTCGATTCAGTTGCTGCTTTTGTTCGATGTGGTTTGACACACTCCAAGAGCTTGTTCGACATTTATCTGGGCATCACAACAACATGTTATTGAGTAAAAACCTGACGCTGCGAGATTGATGAGTTCTGTCACCTCAGAAGGAAAAGAAGAAAAAGAAAGAAAATGAGCAAAATATTTGATACCACTTACACTTAGGTGATATATGAAAAATGTTACCTTGTTGATTGTTTTTTTGATCAACTAGCTACCAATTTATTTTTTTTTAATTCACATTTTTTATGACCAATTTGCACATTAACAATAGCGTATTGATAGAATGAACATCAAGAAAAAAAAGCTTTTACATTTATATCATTTTGGAAGAGTGTGCGTATGCGTGCGTTCGTGCGAGTGTATCTGTGAGTGTATATGTGTGTGTAATAAATAACATAAGGAAGGAAGAATGAAAATTTGACGACAAATGCCACACAAAGAATAATAAAAAAAACAGCAGAAGCAATCTGTGATGATAATTGTTAAAAAAAATAAGTAAAATCAAAAAAAAATACCCTAGATACATTATTCTGTTCATTTTAAAACAAACTTAACGAAACGAACACATATTCACTACTCTGCAAACGTTTGGGGCAACCAACCAATTTTCTGAAAGTCTATTGAGTACAATGTTCCGATCACAGTGCATACTCTCATCAACATCGCGAAAGACAGCCATTTGTATTAAAAAATGGCTGCTGGTCCTAGACTTCGGCAGGCTAATGTATAACACGATCAAGAACATCCTAAGGTTGAAATGGAAATTCGAATAAAATATTTGAAATCATTTACTCACCGTGAAATAGAATAATAATAATAAAACATCGAGTTGAATATTGTCGTGGAAATGCCTTATGCAAAAGAGATAAAATGCAGGAGAAAAAAACAACAAAATTGTATCAAAATTTTTTGCGCTGTGCGCGATAATTATGTTTTTTTATTCGCACAAGTGTTATTTCTTTTGAACGATATGTTTTTTCCGCGCCGAAAAAAAAGTGATAACTGCATCATCATTGTTTGTTTTGGTTTTTATTAAAAATTGATGTTATCCCTTTAATATTACATTCAAGAACCGATTCAAATGCCCATATTTTTAATCACATCATCTGATTAGAAGAAGTTATCACATTTCTATTGACTAGATCGAGAGGAGAGTATGTGAAAAAATTCTAATATATTTTGAAAGAGGAGAGTATGTTTTCTGATGATTCTGTTGGCGTTAAAGTAGAGTATGTTGTAGTACCGTCTAGCCTCTGCGGTCTTCACGGCTTTCGCGCAACTGATAGGAGATAACAACATGGTGTCTTCGGCAAAGTTGTAGTACTCAAGGTCTTCTATAACATTGCTGAAGACATCTATCTCTTATCTCTTATCAGTTGCGCGCAAATCGCGCACATAAAAAAGCAAATTTTATATAGAACTTTTTTTTTCTTATCATTTTTCGCGCTTTTCGAGATAAGAGATAAGAGATAACTGACTTCAGCAATGTAAAAGAAGACCATGAGTGCTACAACTTTGCCGAAGACACCAAGTTGTTATCTCTTATCAGTTCCGCGGAAACCAAAAATGAACATACTCGCCTTTAACCATTTTTGAGTCGAAAGAAACTTACTCTTCTCTTTCATAACAAAGTCAGATGAACTTACTCTCCTCTCGATCTAGTCAATAGATTTTGCGAAAGGAAAAAAAAACACAGCATCGGAAATGCAAACCCAAAATACCGTCCACCAACAAAATAGTCCAGAATGTTCGTCTTTGGTTGGAAGAGAGTTGACGTTAAGGTCGAGAAAAGAAGAGAAACAAAGAAAAACGTGTTGAAAAAATGTTACCAAGATGGAAAAGAGGTCGATTTTGATCAGCTTTAAAATAATATATTATTTTTCTTCATTGTTGCACCTATATTATTTAATGTGAATAAATTTGGCAGTACCCAATCTCTCACACACAAAAAAACCATAAAAGTGAACATTTTGGACACATAAACAAACCCACTACTTACTTTTAAATATTTTGACCCCCGTTTTTTATAGTTTAATTGAAATTTCCCACCATTTATAAGTATAAGATCCCGTTTCACCTTTAAATGTGAATTTATTCTTAAATAAAGCTCCGAGTATTTTAATTAGAAAACAAAAATTAAAGAAATATAAGAAAAAAAAACACAGAAGTTACTACTACAATCATTCGAGATAAATATGTCTGTCTAAGTGTTCACATCGTAGAAATATCAATCGTGAACAACGAACTAAGTCGAGTAGTTTCATTCATGTTCATCCATTCATGGCAATGAAAAAAGCAGTCTGCTTTTAGAACTGTCCTGCATCCGCATTTTTGCATGTTAGCAAATTTCTTTGCAAAATGAAAAACAGAAAATAAAAGTGGTCTAAAATACTTTTGCAGTTATGACATTTAAAGGGCAATTTTGAGCATATTGTTTTATTGATTAAGCACACTTTTTTTTCGCTACATTCAAGATGTGTTCGAATCGATACATTCGTATTTATGTGTATTAATCAAAATAATCTAATCCACCGCTTAACGCATATATGCAATGAAGTGTACAAATTTTTTTGAAACAAGTAAAGAGTATTTCTGTTGCAATTTGCAGAAACCGAAAAAAGAATTGCAACGACATTTCCAATTTTCAAGAAAATGCTAGTTAATAAACGCCGACGAAGCACAGATGTATTTCTTTTTTTTATGAACATAAAATCTAATGTTTTTCAAATTGACGCAATAAGATTGGCAAAGTAAAATGATGCACAGTAGACATAATTGTGTCGATATAATAATATCAGATGGCTATTGGCAGGAGTATACTCCTATGCGTTGCATGAATTTTTGCGAATTCAAACGAATCGTCTCTTATTTTCGCGACAATTTTTGAGCGTATATAATCCACATAAAATCATTCCGAATGATTATTGAAATTAAACTAGGATTTAGACAAAATAGCACAAACAAACATCACAAACGCACACAAGTAAGCAACTTTAAATTCCAAATGTTTTTATTATTTGTTTTTTTTTTTTTCGAAGAATCCAAGAATTGTTTGGAAGTGTCGCAGAATACTGCTTTGGCGTAAAAACAATAATGTATGTGCTCAAAGATGACGAGAAACGACCGATTCGATTAGCGCAACAGCACAATTCAAACGAAAGAATCCGTATCGTACGAAAAACATTCATTCTGTAATTTTAAAATTGCATAAATGTGTAAATCTTTTGCGAGTTTCAGATCGAATTTTACAAACAAACAACAAAACGTATACAATCAAACCAATTAGCAATAAGGTTTTTTTTCCATCAATTTTTATGAACCAGTAATATATTTTTTTTAGGTTTAGAATCAAGTGATGCATCCATTTTGTGGTGTAAAATTCATATAAAGTTCCAAATATTCTTTCCCGAAGAATGTGTGTCACGTTTCTTTTCCATATACCACATGATTCGAAATTGGAACTCTTTCGTTCAATTGAAATGACCTTACAACATCCTGAAAAATATTCAATTCTTATCGAAGCGACCGGTTCAATGAAAATCACATTATAGAATTGTTAAAATTCAATGAACTAAAGAAAATGAAATTAATTGAATTTATTTTTTAAAAATGAAATAATAATATATTTAAGAAAAAAGACAAAAATTTGATGTAACAAACATTTTTCACAAATTAGATTATACAGAATGAATCTATTGTAGAGAAGCAGATAATTTCAGTATGCGTACAATTTCTCTCTTTGTCTACGATGGAATCATGAGTTCAATTAGAAGATAGTTCAATGCAATTTCTATTTGTATTAAGTCTTTTACCACAGATAACAGCATAGTTATTATAGCGTTAATGAAATTTTAAGTAAAGAAAAAGAAATATAAAAAAACCAGTACCAGTAATAATTGTTGTACATAATAGAACAAATATGTAAATAATAATACGAACTTTTAGTAATTGTAAATTCATTTTTCCTTTAATAAGAAATTTGTTTAGTAAATTACAAACTAAAAATTCACTTGAATAAAGAAATTTAAAAAAAATTGCACGGTTTCTTCAACATTTATGCCCGCCCCACTGCCAATTTCTAATTTTTCAGCATTTTTGTCAGCAAGATCGCTTAATAAATGAAGAAAAACGACACGAAGCCCTTTAGGCCAGAGACACTCAAAATAGTCATCGTACATATATTGAGCAGGCGATAGTGCGTATGACAAAATATCTGGAAAAATCGCCGAAAAGTCGACATTTGCATTGAAATCTATGTCCATATTTGGGGACTTATCGGCCAAAAGTCGATTTTTCTAGAGTCGAAATTGAACCAATCGAATATGAGGTTATCAATACATGAAAGCATCTCTCGTCTTGGCCACGTTAGTACCAAAATGATCGTATGGAATTATACTAGGAGTTTAAAGGCACGGAAAGTAGAAATTGTTTGCTTAATGAGGTAATTTATCCTTCAAACCGAAGCTCATATGCGTGTTTTTCTCATTTTTTGTGAACCAGTCATATTTTTTGACCCAAAAATCATATGAACCTGTATAAAATGAAACTCAGAATCGATTCGTTGTCGAAAATTAAGCAAAAATACGTGATCAGACGTTTCAAAAATTGAATTTTTCAGAGGTGTTCAGAACGATTTCTATGCAAATGTCGACTTTTTGGCGACTTTTCCAGATATTTTGTCAAATTCGAAGGTGAAATCGCTGTGCTACGATGGCGATCTGACCAGATATGAAAATTTCGTGAAAATTTAACTCAGATTTGATCTTTTTCAAGCAGGTATATTAGAATGATCCAAAAAAAAGAGTTGTCCCACATCTGGAATGTCCGGCCAGTTTCGAAAAATATACCTCGAAAAAATAGGTTTGGCGCAAAGAACGCATATGGGCACCATATAAAATCAGGACGCAAGCCCCATATCAAATTTTTCATGACAGCAATTTCGGAAGCCATTTAAATCGCAACATTTCGGCCGATTCCATTATTCCAGCTGATTTTTGGCAAAAAGGTACCTCCCGAACAAAAGTTACGTTTTTCATGGATTTTTGTATTTCATTTTTTGTTCCAGCCACTTTTAGGAGTTTTTGTCTGAGAAGACTCCCATTATTTTTGTCAAAAAATAACTTTCAACCAAGACACCCCAAAAGTGTATATTTGGGAAATTTTCTGAACAAAAGTAGGTTTTTTTAAGAGTTGAAATCGAATATGAGACTAGAAATAGGTGGGAACATGTCTCGACTTGATCATGTAGGCACCCAAAATGTTCGTAAAGGACCATTCTATAAGTTCAAAGACAGCGTAGGTAGAAATCGTTTGCTTTCATCTGTAAAATCGAAGCCCATAGTCGAAATTTGATAATATTTGTCCGAAATTCCTCTTTTATATCTGAATCAATTGGCACCAAATTTCATCCAAATCGCAATCTGGCAAGTACCAAAATATTTCTATAGATTCTGGCTACACAACATAAGTCAAAAATTGAACAAAAGTTTACCATCTGGGTGACTCGCATGGGACCAAATGTAGAAAATGCCGAAAAATTTTCTTTTTTTTGGTCATTTTACACTGTAACTGGCCCAGAATGCCTTTTCAAGGGCTAATGTCTTGGTAAAAGTTAAGGATATTGACGAGCCAAACCAAACCCCATCATTAGTTCTTGCCAAAAATCGGCTGGAATAATGGAATCGGTCGAAATGTTGCGATTTAAATGGCTTCCGAAATCGCTGTCATGAAAAATTTGATATGGGGCTTGCATCCTGATTTTATATGGTACCCATATGCGTTCTTTGCGCCAAACCTATTTTTTCGAGGTATATTTTTCGAAACTGGCCGGACATTCCAGATGAGGGACAACTCTTTTTTTGGATCAGTCTAAGGTATATGGTGTCTACCAACACGCACTAGGTCAAAATATTTAGAAAATTTGAAAAAAAGGCGATATTTTGTGATTTTAAGGCTCTATCGACCTCAAAATCGCAATAGACTCGTTTGAAAGTGGGTTTTTTGTCGTAATTTTTCATGGAGAATCCGATGGGAGCGTCAGAAATTCATTATCAGATGTGAAAAATACGAATATTGTACCAAATATTCTCATGTTTTGGTATTTTCGAGCTCTCCACGCCAATCGATTCCGCTGACTCCCAGATGGAAAAAGTGGCAAAATGCTAGAACAAAATTTTCTTCTCTCGACACGAGCTATCAAATGCGCACCCGCCATTTTAAGTCAGCGCCGGATTTCAAAATCGACCACCCCTAATGTATGGGTATCGGTGAGATCCATGCTATTATTTTAAATGAACTTGATGCGCATGACACTCAGGAAACAGAGTGAAACACAATTTTGCGATGAATTCCTTCAATGAAATTATTTCTGTATGTTCAGTGCCATTAAACACAATCACTTTGTTTGCTTCAGTATGTAGAGCTAGTAGTACACAAATTGTGTTTTTAAACACACTCAATAAAAGAAATTCCATTGCTTACAGTCGCTTATATACCACTTAAAATTTCTTGAATAATCCTGCCTTCGCTCATTAATCAAATAGCTGTAGCGTTTTTATGCAGACAATTTTACTGCAATGTTCTTCTTCGAAAATTGCTCCACTGCAGCAGGTTCGAGCAATTGCTGCGTGGTCAAGGGTGACTGTCATTTGTCGCACCGATTCAGTTTACGACCAAATCAAATACGGAAGTAACGTAGTACACCAATGGCTCATGCGATGGCACTACGGTGTGTCATGTGCAGAGCAACGCATTCAACAGGCGCTGTTGAAAACCAATTTCAACACCGACAACAAATTCACTGCTCTGAAACAGAAAACGGTTGATATCAAATTCTGAGGAAACATTTTAAATGAACGATGTGTCAACAGAACTTACTTGTTATCCAATAAAAATGACAAACGACCTTTGATAAAAGCGAATATGCCAAACCACTTTAATAAGAAGAAAAATCCTGGAAAAGAAAGAGCATCACGCTAATGCACTTATATTTTATATTTTTTTTTTTTTTTTTTACTTCCGGGGGCCCTGAAGCAAAAAATTTCCGGGGCCCTAAATTTTTTTCTCAATAGAACAAAATTCAATATTTTGAATGTTGCACCAATTTCGATTGAATTCAAACAGATGAATTCAGAGTTATTAAACTATGCCGTTTTTCATTTATGTTTTGATTACTGCTCAATACTGCTGGACATGAACGCTCTTATTCATACGAATGTATATGTGACTCAACATCCAATTCGAATTGACAAACGAAACCTATCGTTATCTCTATTCTCCCTCTATGTTTAATTGCATTCGTCTGGAAGAGTCAACCATACTTAGCAATAAAGAATTTCGCTCAAACGGTTGATCGATAAACTGTTTATATTTTGATATGTAAATAATTATACCACTGACCATTCTATTAAAAAGTGAGCCACACCACTTACATTCAAAAAGTAAGACAGAAACAACAAATAAGGCGAAAAATATGTATGTATATGACTTTTTTCGTCTTGCAGTTGAAATTCTTTGATTACCCATTCTTATTTGATATTCAATCATTTCTGCTCAGTGGTTGAATGTGAAATTTTGAATAATTTGGACTTCGATGAAATAATTGATGATTTTATTTACGCTAAAAATAGGGCCAAAGCCATTTCCACGGTGTCAACGTCACGCGCATCATCTGTTTTGTAGACAGCAAACAAACCACGAAGATTGAAATAAATTTGAGAATTAATTTTGTATTTTTGTGTGTTTTTTCTAATTTTCTTTGATAAGATTTTCTCTAAATATTTCAAGGGACTTTTCAGCAGCTCGGGCCCCCGGAAATCGCGGGGCCCTGAAGCGGCTGCTTCATTCCCTTCCAGGCTAAGATGGCACTGATTTCAAGTAGATATGTTTCTTGTCGACCCATGTGTTGAAGATGAACCGGAGTGGTAATCCATTATTAGTTTGAGCTAAATCAAAATACAAAATGTGCATATAAAAAGATGTTCGATTCATCAAAATATTCATTGATTGGCATGCAAATTAACATATTTTTTTTATTTTTCATTTTCAAGTTTTTATATAATTTTAGAATTGTTGTTTGGTTTGTTGTTATGAAAAAGAAAATGTGTATGTGTGTGCCACATATGCGAGATGCTTTCAAATCCGATTTGGGGAGAGAGAGCAACTATACATTCCTAATAACGATTCGTACAGTGTACACAGAGTTCATGTATTGGCAAAGACCAACATTTTACTCTTTGTTCATAAAGTGTAGTGTTTACAGTGTTTTGCGGTGGTTAACCGCTTTCAAAAAGTGAGTGTTTCACATCCACATGATGAAGAGTGTAAGTGGGAGAATTAAGAAAAACTCTATTGCGCTGTGTATAATATTAGTTTGACTATTTTTGCATTGTTTACTATATTGCATTCTTTGTTTTTAATTACGATCAGAGTTCTTCGAATCAGCAAAAATTGATTATTATTTGTATAACAAAAATGGCAGTATTCAGATCGAGGTGAAAGGTCTCGTTAATACACGTCCGAATATATCTGCTGAATGAAAAAAAACGACTGAAAAACAATTATCGGCATCGCATTGAATATACAATATGAACGCGTGAATGTCAAAACACAATTCAGAATTCAGTTTATTTAAAAAAAAAGAGCACCATTGACAGACCAAAATGAGCAACATTCTTGTTTAAGACATTTGTTTTCTCCCAAGGTGAGAAAATATAGGCAAAACAGATGTTCTCTGGCAATATTGTTAAAAATCAAACAAAGGCGTAAAAATAATTGTCCACCAACACGTGTGTTTTGTGACGGTTTCAACGAACTGGCGATTCTTATCAAGAACAGAGAATTTATCGTGCTGATCGGAATTGAGATTATTTAAATAAAATTATAAAATCCAGTGATTTTCCAAAGAAAAAAATTCCAATCTTGTACAAGATCATTTACTGATTTATTTTTCAAAGTGTATCGACAAAATACTACTAATGAGATAAGAAATGAGCAATTCGCTATATGAATTTTTTGGTGACGAACTGCATGAATGATTAAATAACCAAAAAAAGAACACAAACACACACACACACACAAGAATTACAAATACCACAACTTGCAGCGGCAAAACACGATAATGTACGAAACAAATAGTAAGATGGTTTTGTTGTGTGAATTTGCTGATCACAGGAAGTCCACACATTTGGGCCAATGATTTTGTTTATACAATTTGGTTTTTAAAATAACGAAAATAGAAGATGTTTGCTAGTAGTGTTTTTCCATAGCGTTGAGATACATCGATCGTTAGCATCTAGTTCAAGATCAATCATTTTAAGGAGAAATTTTGTTTCGAATTCATTTTATTGGCACGAATCGATATTGTGTATTTTCACAAGTGAATTTCAGCCGATGGGTCAAGGCACAATTAAATGTGTGTGTTTTTTTCATTATTGAAATGTGAAATTGAAATATGCACTACATTTGATATCGTAATGCGGTAATGACTTTGAGAATTGGTTTTGGCATTCAAGTGTATTTTCGTTATCCAAAAATTATTGAACAATCGTTAAGCGCCCAAAATTTGTGAATTTCATTTGAAATAAAAACAAACAAAAACAATTGAAAAATTCGGCACGTATAAAACATAATTGATTGTTTTTTTTTTTGGTGGAAATAAGCTAAGTAGTGAATGAAACCAACTGATATTTAATTGAGCGTAAGTAATTTCGAATGCTTTTGTGAATGTGTCAATAAACTTTGGACTGTTTTAGTTCAGCACAGTAACTTCCGGAGCGGAAGTGCTTGAAAAAAAACAGCCAATGTATTTCTGCCATTTTGTGTGATATTCGCTAATAATTATGAATGAAATCAATATCCCAGTTCAACCGATACTTAGCTCAAAATGTTTTCTGCGAACACACACACGTTTGCGCTAATATCAAGGGGGAAACTACTACTACCGCATAATTCATATTAATACAATCTAGTACAACACCAATTCTGATAAATTCCAAAAAATTCTGCGCAATTCAAAACAATTCCAATCAATTCCGATGTTTCTATGTCAAATTTGATGATGATCAACTTCAAAAATTGCAAATATAGGGTCATTTAGCATCTCAAAGGAATGCTTAAGCGCATAGATGTTCGATCTTATCGAAATAACTTCAGATAGGGCGTTTTTAATTGTACATAGGTCTCACTTCCAATTCAATATTTCACTTCAAATAGGTAAAGGCTTTATGATACATAAAATGTTTTCAAAATAGAAAACAGAGCTAGAATTGAGTCTTGTAGATCAAACCAAGTCAAATATGTTCTGGAAGTAAAAATCTTCAATATACATTCAAATGAATGGTAAATGTCCCTATATTTGCGATATTTTGAGTTGATCATCACCAAATTTGACTAAGGAACATCGGAATTGATTGGAATTGTTTTGAATTGCGCAGAATTTTTTGGAATTTTTCAGAATTTGTGTTGTACTAGATTGTATTGATATGAATTACGCGGTAGTAGTAGTTTCCCCCTGGCTAATATCCTTACTATCGCGACAGTATGGTGTAATAGTCAGCGCATTTAAATTCAAAAAGTTACTGTGTGAACTACTGTATCAGTTATGATAATGTTCAATTTTGTTTAATTCTTATTCTGTTACAAAATAACGAACATCTCGGTAGATGTTCCACAAACTCGCCCGATGATGGTAATTACCATCCAATATATTTCAAAATATTCACCAAAAACGTTCGCGAAAAAAATATAATTTTTTCCGTTGTTTTGTATCAGAATAAGAATTAAATGAAATCGAACATCATTTAGAATCATTATACTCCTGGGTCAAAACTAAACAAATATTCGAATAATAGTATTCATTTTGATTAGCCCCGTACACTCTCAAAAATCAGCCATATCTGTTATTAATATACCTTGTAGTAAACGCATTTATAGTGTTTCACTGTAGTAGCAAAGTATCCTATTAAATTCCACTGTAGTATTACTACAAGAAAATTTAATAGGTAACACCGCTACTACAGTGAAACACTATGAACGCGTTTACTACAAGGTATATTAATAACAGATATGGCAGGATTTTCGAGAGTGTACCGACACCCAGGCCCAGCCTGACATATTTCGTTTTTAACTGTAAATTTAATATATTTCCAGTTTAGCTAGCGAATTTTGCTTCCAGGTAGCTTCTTTATATTTCATTGGCTATCGATCTAATGGAAGGAACATTTCAAAAAATTCTTTAAAAAGTATGATAAAGGATATCCAAAAAGTACACCACCTTGGGACCCTCGTATATTTACATGCATTTGAATGGAAATAAGTAATGCATGTCATCTCATTTTCTATGTAACTGATAAGACATAATGAAATGTTGCATGAAAAAATTGTAGTGTCGACCCGAGGTGTCGACACCGATCGGTCCAAAGATTTTAAAATATGTGTCGGTATGAGGGTTAATGCTCTAGTGTATTAATTTTTCCCAGAGCTGGGAGCACTGGTTTTTGGTTGATTTTGGCCCATAGATAACAAAAAAAACCAACAAGATTTGTCAACATTTCAATTAATCATTTGTGATCTTTGTCACATTTGATTTTCTTCATTTAATTATTGCGGAAAAGCAGAGCACGAGAGCAAGATTTATTAAAAAGCCAATGACTATCAATACGGGCCCCTTGAAATTTTAACTAATTTATATATTCGTTTTATTTGCACTAACAAAATATATCATAAAATCAAATAAAAAACAACACATCATTCTAAAATTAATGTGACTCCAATAAACAAAAAAAATCTTAAACGAAGTCTAGATTATAAGAGAAACCTAAGACAAGCTCATAATTTCATGCATATTTGAAGAAAAAAAACTAAACAAAAAGATTGATGTTGGTTGAACTTAAAATGCATATTTTTCTAATTGTTATTATTTTGATATAGATGAATATTCAAATCTTGGAAAGTTTGCCGAAATGACTTCGGGTAGGGCGATTTCAATTGTAGATTTTATGAAGTTAAATGTATACATTACTATAGTGTTTTTACTTTTTTTTATGTAGGAACGATTTTTTTGAGTAATCGGCTATCGAAAAACTGCTATAAAATGGAACAACTCAAATCTTGGTCAAAAAACGTATTTTCCACAAATCGAATTTTTTTCCGAATGAAGAATGGTTCCAAAAAATTGTAGATAAATTGTCGGTTTTCGAATATGTCAGCCCATTCGTTCGATATTGAGACGAGTCTTGAAAATTGGTCCAAAATCGGTATTACTCAAATCTTGGCCACAAATTGAAATTTCCACAAACTGAATCTTCCTCTTTTGTTGCTAGGTTCCATAAAATTGTAGAAAAAATGTAGAATTCAAATCAGTCATCCGATCCTTGATGTTTTCAACAACTTATTTGGCTCCAGGGGAGTTTAATATTTAATATGGGAATAAAACTGCTATAAACTGCTATGAAACGTGTTTTAATAATTGTAGTAACCAAGAACAATTGTAGAAGCACCTACAGTTATTGTAGTGGTTGAAAATTGATTGTAGTCGACTGTAGTGGCTCGAAAATAATTGTAGACTCGTCCCAATTTTCATGACTCGTCTCAATACCGAACGAATACCGGGCTGACATATTTGAAAACCGACAATTGAATTTAATTCTACAATTTATCTACAATTTTTGGAACCATTCTTCATTCAAAAAAAAAATCGATTTGTGGAAAATACGTTTTTTGACCAAGATTTGAGTTGTTCCATTTTATAGCAGTTTTTCGATGGCCGATTACTCAAAAAAATTGTTCCTACATAAAAAAAGTAGAAACACTACATTAAACTACATAAAATCTACAATTGAAATCGCCCAAACCGAAGTCATTTCGGCAAATTTTCCAAGATTTGAATATTCATCTTTTGATATTCAATTTCTAGATTTCCGTTCACATCGTTTGATGATCGAACGAAAATGAAAAGAGCATTCCAAACTAAATGGATATGAGATGAAGGGAGCCAAGTGAAAGAGACATGTGAAAGGCGCTGCAAAAAGTATGGGGTTTCATACAGAGAAAAAACGTGCAGATCATGGATCTAGTGAAATTTTATATACATCGTTGGAACAAAATGAATCGAATTTCTTGTTATCACAAAACGACATCGTGGAAGACGATTATCCAACATATATTCATTCTCAGCCACATGGTTCAAGAAGATCTCCAGTGAGTATTATTTTCAAAAAAATACACTGACAAATTTGGAATACGGGTTAGATCTACCAAGTATCCTCAAACTAATTCAACAGTTTTGATCGCTTCACATCATTCACTGTCGCAAAAGTTCCATTTTTATTGGTTTACATCGTAAAATTCCATTACAACTTAACTGGACCATAGGAAGAGATCCAAAACTTCAAGTGCTTTATACAAGACAAAATTTGCATTTCTTAAAGATTCATCGCAGGGTCTTATTTCCATTCGATAGCTTCCATAAATATTGATTTATATGAAATTTATATCTATGTACTAAAGTATTCAAATTCCTGGAGTAAAGTATTTAGACCGAGAGCCCACGTAGAAAATACTATATTGATAAGTCTCATGTCAGATAATGTGATCGTAGGTAGATATTAATGCCAACATTTGGAATATTTTTAATTTCCTTTTTTATCTTTTGCACTTTACGATATCTTGCCGCCGATATCAATAAAAAAATATGCTTAACTTTTTTCACAATTTGCATGTCAGATATTTTGTGTACAGCTAAATTATCACAAAATTAGTTCAAATCCAAAATATTAGCTCAAAATATTTTGCACAATACTTTTTATTCCATTTTGAAATATCACTCTATGTCGTTTTTCTCCACTTTGACATTTTGACATGAAATGACATAACCTCACTTTGTTGAATTGAGAGAGATTTCAAAGTGAAATAAAAAGTGTTGTGCAAAACATAAAGAAGAAAGAGAAGAATATTTTGAATATCGGCCTTAATATCTACCTATGATCGCATTATCTGATAGGAAACTTGTCAACATAGTATTTTCTACGTGGGCTCTCGGTCTAATTGAGTTACTTCAACTAATGGGTTCAGATGTCAAATGACTTTTGTGAAAGTTCGTATGCATGGTGACGTCACGATAGAATTGGAGTTTTTCATCCTTGAATCAATAGAACTATCCACTGGGGTTTTCCACCTATTTTTCGAAGTCCGTCAGAAGGCTTTTTATGAAAAATGAAATGCCGTATTGAAATCTGTATAAAAATTGTCAAACTTGAATTAAAATAGTCTTTTCTCCATGCAACCAGGAAATATGTATGCGGTTGAGGGTTAAATAAAATGATAATCATGAAACAATTGTTTTAGCATTATCGAGAGTCGACTGTATAGGACAGTATAGGATTTCCCATAATTGTCATTTGCATTAGTTCACGCAAATAAGATCAAAAAGGTTTCAATTCAACTTGTTGAATGATTTATCATATTTCACAGTACAATTACTTGGGTTATACGCTTCACTTTTCATCACGCATATTTGTATTCAACAAATTCCCATTAATTTCATCAATTATTTCGTGAGGAAATATATTTATTACGTATTATCCAAAACAATTACCATGGCAAATGCTTTGAAATATGGGCATCTAAATAAATTTGGTCATCGTCACATCGCTCTTGTCATAGTAGTTTATATGACTATGATCATTGATCATGCTACACATTTAACACAAACTAAAGGAATTGAACAGATTTTGTGTGTTTGGTGGGAGTCATGAACGATGATAAAATCATGAAAGTGCAAACACATTCAAAACGAACTATGTCTATGTGTATTGTAAATGTGAATGTATCTCTTATTCAACAACAATCGTTAAATTGAAAACGGCAAAGCAGCGAAAGCGAATTCTCACACTCGGATGGTTCATTCATGTTGAAAAGAGACAAACTACACTAAGCCATTTAACCTGCATTCGTTGTTGTTCAGTTCGAATGTTTAAAAGAAATCGGCTAAAAAGCGCGTGCCAAGCTGAATCGTGAACTACGTACTGTGTCTGTCTATGTATTTGTGTATGCTCTCTACACAGAGCTGCCACACTTTACACAGGTTTGATTTGTGAAATGTTGTTTTCAGTTGAAGTATTTCGGTTTAGTATACGCTATCAGTTGTAAACATTAATTGAATGAGCTGAGACGTAACCGGTCGTTTTGGCTTTGCCATCGTAAAAAATCATTAACCTGTGCTTGTGCCTTTGCATGACGTATACCAAAAAGGAGTTACCGCCGACATACAAATTTACATTTATCTTGAGTTTTTTTTATAAATCATTGCACAAAATTCGAAAATATAACACTCAGTATTTTGTATAAATTCAACTGTGTCAATTCAATGGTGAATATGAACTCGCAAATTTATATCATTGCAAGATTGTGTATTGATTGTTTGTGTTTTATTGAACATTGCGCATTTTCATTTGATTTCAAATCTCGATTTACGAGAGAACATTTGTTATGGGGTTTGGGGAAGAACATTGCGACGATTTGTTACATTCCATTATTGTGGATACATTTATTGAATGGTCGCATATTCGTGTTATATTCCGTAACCAATATGCGTACATCAACTCAGTTTGAATTGGAATCGGATAGCACTGGAATTATCTTTGTGTTCAGAGTTTGGATCTTGAAAAATTGCCTTTTGCCGCATGTTTAACGGTAGTGAATGTGTTTTTTTGCTACTACTACTGCTGCTACTGCTGCTGCTGTGGAGACAATGAATATGAACAGGAAAATAATCCGCTTGAAGTGATTTGGTTTTAGTACATCCCGAATAATGGGTGCGCCGAATTGATTCTGACAATACAGGCCAAAATTAGTTAATCTAGTTTAGTGTTTCCGAGTTTCTGTCTTTGAAAACATCAGAACACGTTGAGTCAATGTCAGTCAGTCTGTCAATCAGTTCAGATGCTGCGTACATAATTGCGCTCGCGCAAGCGCAATTTTTTCTATTTACAAATATGCTATCATCGCTGTAATTTTAAAATACCACGCAAATCAATATTGATCGGCATCATCATTGTGGCACTCACCTCATCGACGAGAACACCCCAACACAGAGTCAATATCCAAATCGTATTCCATATCTTGCTTTCTCTTAATGAGATAACATGTGAAGATCCCAACTCGAAACGCTATGCATGAACAAGTGTCTTACAAAATAATACAATTTGAATGAAAACAAAATGCAGAGAAGAAAACAAACAAACGAATACAATGATTTCGTGCTTCTTAATTTCGTATAAATAATTTCATGCATGGCTGGGAATTCCAGACACATTATCATGTATGCAGATGCAATTGAAAATCCATGTTTAATGATCGCTCAGCCGTGTTTATTTCGGGCCACAAAACCATTAAACTCTTTGTTAACACAAAATACACGAACAAAAGGGCAAGGATTTAAGAATCTTCTACACTTGCTTTTATCTAATTTTTCTTTAAATCTGACGATGGTGAATCCGGGTTGGTTTTTTTTTCAATACAAAAACACAAACACATTTAAATGACAAAAGGTCATTTGACACAAACGAATATTGACTTTATGTGTTAGTGGTAAATATGTGAACAACCAACTAAAAATATAAATGAGCAGCAAAACTCCCGATTTTGGTGATTGTTACTGATGCATAATTTGGTTCAGGAAAAACAACTTCTACGACTAGTTTCTCTTCAATCATAGGTTTTCTCCATATTACACCAAAACCTGATTTTGCAAACAAATATTCATTTCAAACTCTTCGGCATTCGAAAATGTATTTCGACGTTTTATGAAGAAAAAAATATATAATGAATTAAACAAAATTAGTTATTTCATCGATTGTCAATGAATCTTTGTTCCTCCGGCTACCGATTTCACACCGTTTACTGTCACCATTATAATTATTATAATTTACATGTACGAGAAACAACGAATGTCATTGTTTGATAAATCACATGTGCGTCACACGTCTGTTTATCAATTTGATTTTCTCAGCTGCGTCTCGACCCACTAAATGAGAGTTCGATTCGAGCCGAAGCACATTTTCTTCCTGATGTAATTGACTGCAAAATGAAAATGATAGCACGATTCATTGGTAAACCGGATAATTTATTGATTTATTGTATTCAGCCGTAAATGACCTTGCAGTGGAAGAACGCAAGATTCATAACATGCATAAATACCAAGTCATCCAACACATTCTATATCGGAGTGCATGAACTAATCGGACTTTATCACTTTCAATACATGCGTGCGGTTTTATTTTTGTTGCTGTTGTCATTGTTGTTGCACCATAGAAAGAAAAGTGAAAAGTGAATTCATCGAAAACAATGGGCAATCATTTACATATTCTTATCAAACTCTCGAAATCAAATTGTTTCTCTTTTTGGAATTTCTTTCAATAATTTATTGAAATCTCATGTTAAAATAATGAGTCAATGTGAAATGCAGTCGGCGAGTTGAAGAGTGCATCTCTGGCCTTTTAGACAAATTTATAAGTTTTTGAAAGCAACATTTTGCTCATTGTGAATACTTTTTAAATGGCTTAACATCTTTATTTAAAATAAATTAATTATGTCTGTTTATTCACTCCATTTCATTCTCATAATAAACAATTTCGAGTAAAATGAATTTGTTGTGGAGAATTTTTTTTTTGTAGAAATAGTGGTACTAAATACTCGCACAAATTTTTCTCGGATGTGAAAAAGAAGCAATTCAAATATTGTTTATTATTTATATGGGCAGTAAAATGTTTAAATAGCATTGCAGACAAAACTGAATTTAAACAAAAAAAAAACAAATGATGGAACCAAATTGGCGTCAAGCGATTGTTTTCAACACACAAATTACTGAGTATTTTCAAAATTGCTGGTAATATTTCAACAAAAAACTATAAAGCAATATAATGATTGCCATGATATTGCCTATTATTTCATTTGTTCAAAGTGATCATATAGTTCATGAAATATTACCGGCAGTAATTTACGGGTTGTTATTGGCATGCTTATCGGAACAACCGAGCTCTGTCTTTCACGACAAAATTAGTTCAGTACTTTGGTTTTGGTTGCGCTAGCATTAGACACAAAATCACAAGTTCGATAACACATTGTACATTTCGTCAATTTGACTGCCTTCGATTTCGGTTGCACAGGAGTCATTTATATTTGTTCCAGTTTTGGAAAAAAAACGACGTTTCACATTTGAGTTTACGATTTTTGTCACGTTTCTGCTGCCGGATATACAGTAGTCATTGACATTGTCGGGGCGCATCGCAGTTATAAATCGTATAAATTGAATTTTTAAATGAAAGTCATTTTCGAATCAAAAGTGTATTTCATTTCTTTGGACTATTTTCATTCTAAACCAAAATTCGATATATGACTATATGATCCGCACAAGCTTCAAACCTGTTTGACTGATCGCGCTTCTCGATTCTTTGGAACCATAAATTCAAAGTTTAATTAATGTTGGAAAACAAAAAAGTTGGATCATTCCTGTTTTGTCATTGGTTGACGCATATAAAGTAACGAGAAACCACTTGCTGGCTCTGCGTATAGCAAGTGTTACGCTTATACTCAGTACGGCTCTGATCAAATTTAAAATATTTTTGCGATAAAATGTTCGATTGTTTTGTTTTGTACTTCTTTTTTTTCTGTCTATTGTTATGGTGATAATTTTATCACATCAAATTTAGTTTAAATTGCAACAGTATTTAAGACACTTCAAAGGTGATATTTAAAATTTGGTTGTCCCAATTTCATTTTCAAGTAATTGATTACACGTTCCCCATTCAACAATTGAAACGCTCAAACGAAGCTCCGATTTATCATTAACGCCAATAGTCTTGTACACGCACAGTGTGTGCGACACACACCAGTAAAATCAACTCATTTCCGATACAAAATTCAGTATTTGCCTTTTACTTTTTCCAACTTTCTGCATTTCGATTCATTGCTTCTTCTTTTATAGACATTTCATTTTGATCACACTTTTACTCGACTTTCAAAAATACGTGATCTAATATCGTAATACCAACCTATCCATTGATTTTGAACCGTTATATTATATGATAGCTTTGTTTGTTTCTCAAGGATATCAACGTTTGCTGAAAATAATTTTCATAATTAAAAGCCCATATAAAACTTAGGAACGTTTAAAATTCTGAGCAAAACACAAATAGCGCAACGCAAATTAAAAGATAGACAAATAAACAGTGATAAATTGTTGTAGACTATATGAATGGAATGAGAAGTTACTATAGAAAAAAATAAATTTTATTAAACAAAATGCCTGGATCGCATGGAAACTCAATTGAAATCGGACAAAGTGAGCAGGTATGAAGCCAAATTCAGAGCGATTCAATTTTCGCTCCATCAAAACAATATGCCTATTTTTATAACACACTGTTTCTTCTTCACCGGCTAACAATTGACTTGGGGAGTCTTCAAATAACTGTTTTTTCAACAAATTCATTATATTTGGTTTGGACTCTATTTGATTTTTTTTAATTCTCTGAATTATATTTTGAACTGTATCGATAGTAACATGGTCGTTGGTTAATCTCAATAATTTATCCTTGTTAAGTATATTAACCATTCAATTTCTTCATTTGTAACCATAAAAATTTTCTTTGGAAAAAGTCTCGTTTTTCTTCTTTACTAATATTTCCATGATCAATGACAATACCGATTCTACTAACACGATGGTTTGTGATTTCATTCTTCAACAGGAACTAGTCAGTGCAAAAAACGGAAGTAGGCGAAAACGACTATGCATCGCATTGGCTCTTCTATGTGTGATTGGATTGTGCATCGCAGGTCTAGTATATTATGGTGGAATTAAAAAGGGGGTAGCCAAAAGCAAATTGGGATTGACTGAAACCGGCAACCCTGTAACACTTAACGATATTTTGGACGGTAGATTTTATGCACGGCACAACAATGCCTCGTGGATCTCGGATACACTACTATTTTATCGTGATTCCGCAGTAAGATCACACTTTTATTATACTGAAATCGCGCAATGAAATGAAGTATTCATATGCCACTATGTAATTTCTAGGGCAATATCGTGACTTTTGATGTTAACACAAACAAAACCAATATATTAGCAGAAGCACATATACCAGTAAGTTAAAGTGTTAATATTTATTTGTCATCAATTAGTACAATATTTAACGTTATTTTAGGCGATTGCTGCATCATTCTCCCAAGAAATTTCGCCAGATCATCGTTTCCTATTGCTTGGAAAAGACTATCAAAAGGTAAGAAACTATAGTTTTTTTTAGAATATATATTCACATTCTACGAAGTTGGAATTTTCATTCTCTTGTAATAAAAAATGGTACAATCACTCGATTTAAGTGTTTTATGATAGAGTATGCAAGACAAATAGGTACCAAGAACGGTAATAAATTTAAGAGAGATCGATAGAGAAACAAAAAAAAATCAAATATTTCTCAAGAAGTCCTCTCGTTTTTTTTCTTTAACATTATGCATTTTTATTATAAATTGGCAGATTTTCCGACACAGTGCTTTGGCTCGATACGATATTCTGGATTTAAAAACAAAGGAACTGTTCAAGTTGTCCGATGTGAGTACCTGAAGGCATCGAAAGCAAAACTCTTCAAATAATTAATTGTAATTTTATTTAATGTTCAAATAGGATTTATTGGCATTGGCTGAATGGGGTCCAATTGACAATAGTATATTGTACATTCAAGAGAATAACATTTACTATAAGCCGAGTGTTGTACATCCAGCCATTCAAATAACAAATGACGGAAACGCCAATATTTACAATGGAATCTGTGATTGGGTTTACGAAGAAGAAGTATTTTCAACGTAAGTAAATCTGCACATCAAGTGGTCTGCCACAGTTTGCTGTAAACACTAACTGATCATTTTGATCCATATCAGGAAAACTGCCGCATGGATTTCGCCAGACAATAAAAAATTAGCCTATGTACAATTTGATGATACACCTGTCAACCATATTGCCATCCCAGTCTATGGTCAGGCTGGCAATTCACGCGATCAATATCCAGGCATTATAGATTTTCCATATCCAAAAACGGGAACAAACAACCCGTTGGTCAAACTATTCCTTGTTGATTTGACGAGTGTGTCGCCAAATGAGAATGTGAACAAAACTCAAATTCCGCCGCCAGCAGAATTACGTGAAAAGCAACACATTATCGCCGTGTCAACTTGGGCAAATAATGATACATTGATTTCGGCGTGGATGAACCGCGTCCAAAATCGTGCAATCATTGAAGCATGTGAGGGAAACAAGTGTCGGCAGGTAATCTAATGATCCTTACAAATAAAAAATCAATAAAAATTATTTAAATATTATTCTCTCTTTTTTCCAAGGTTTTGGATTTATATAGTGCAAACGGATGGGTGGACTTCTTCAAAGCACCAACCTTTAACAAGAATGGCACACAATTTTTGTACATTGCACCACAATTGCAGAAGGAAGCAAACGATTCGTACCAACATTTGACGTTGGTGTCAGTGGATTCGGGAAAACAAAAGCCGATTACATCGGGCGAATTCGTTGTTCTGGACGTGTTGCACTGGAACGAAGATACAAACACAGTTTTCTATGCTGCCAATGACAAAAACGCCTCATACGTTAAGCACATTTGGTCTGTTCAACTTAATTTACCGAGCGAGAAACAATGCTTAACATGCAATATCAGCCGAGCTGATGTTCCGCAAACCTATTTTACCGCCAAATTTAGTCCAGATGGAAAACATGCTGTAATAAGTAATGATGGACCATCTCTGCCGCGCACTGATGTCGTTCGACTTTCCGCACACAACTCATGTAACTTTTTGACTTTAACCCAGCCCAATTTGATTTTATAGAAATTATAGCAATAACTAAAGTGCACCTCGTTAACATTTTAGCTGAATTGATATTCCTGCGGAACTGGGAAAACAATCATGGATTGCATGAATCGTTGACCAATGTTTCGCTACCAACGATAAAATATCATCAAATTCCGTTGAAAAATGGTTATGATGCTGTTGTGAGACTGCAATTGCCACCAAATATGGATACGAGTGGAAAAACCAAGTATCCTATGTTGGTTGACGTGTATGCTGGTCCCGGCTCTTACGCCGGACTCGATAAATGGGATGTTGGATTCAGTGCATATTTGGTTACAAGCCGAAAATACATTTTGGCACAAATCAATGGACGAGGTTCAGGAAACCGTGGAGAAAACCTTTTGCACACTATCTACCGTGCGATGGGAACCGTCGAAGTTGAAGATCAAATTGAAACTGCCAAGTAGGTTCACACTCGATTGTTTTTGACTAAAGATGGCAATGGCGCCGGTGAAATCCGTTTTTGTTCGTCCTGTCATTCGACGACCGGACGAACATACGTGGCGTTTGTCCATTGCACACCATTATTTGACACCAGAAAAAAAAACATTTCATTTAATTCTCTCCTTGCCCTATCTATCATCTTTGTCAATAGGAAACTGACGGATTTATTCCCATTCATCGACGAAAATAATGTCGCGATTTGGGGATGGAGCTATGGTGGTTTCACATCGGGAATGGCATTGGCTAGCGATAATTCGCATGTATTCAAATGTGCTGCTTCTGTTGCTCCGGTAACGGACTGGTTGTACTACGGTAAGTTGTGAATACTTTAAATAAAATCCACTCGAACTGAGGTTTTTTCATACTGCCGTTTGCAGACACAATGTATACCGAACGATACATGGGATTACCATATAGAGAAGATAACGGCGAAGGTTACGATCGAGGAAGACTAAGCACTAGGGCCAATGACTTCAGAAATAAAACTTATCTACTTGTCCATGGTAGTTTGGACGATAATGTGCATTATCAACAGTCCATGTCACTTGCCCGCGAACTCGAACTACATGATGTTCCCTTTGAGCAAATCGTGAGTTGCAATCGATGAAAATTTGTTCATTTAATTGTATCACCTTAACGTTATATTCTTATTCCATGACAGACTTACCCAGACGAAGATCACAGCCTTTGGGGAGTGCGAAGGCATTTGTACCATGCACTGGATGCGTTCTTTGCTAAATGCTTAACAACAAACACCAAACAAACATCTTCGTCCAAATGAAGTTCTCCAAAGTATTCGATTCAAATCAACTAGAACGCTTCAAATTTTGTTTTTTTTTGTTTTGTTTAGTTTTTTTTTCTTTGTGGAGATTTATTTTGTTATACCATTAAGTATACTTACCGCGCAAGCATCGCCAACAATCGGTTTAAAGTAAGAATGGAAGAAGTCTGGAAATGTATGAAAACCCCAGTGGTGCAAAACAAAAATTGTTGTAATAAAAGAAGTAATTGTAATTAACATTATCTCTGTGTTTTTCTTTCTCAATAAGAACGTAACGAAGATTCATTGTATAAAAACTTTATTTGGCCTACTATATTCATATTTCAGCCACCCCCCAAAATAGTAGAATAAAAATGATAAAAAAAAATCCCTTTTAAAAACAGCACCAAACATTACATCTAACAAATTTGATTTCCAAACGAAAATTGAACATAAAATTGATCGTTTGATATATATGAGCAAATTTAAAAATGTCAAAATTGACCACAAATAATAATTCTCAAAATGTTTGCAATATTTTAAATGGAGTTATAGATTTGATTTAAGGAAAGGTTTTAGATATAAATGGAATGCTTTGTTATCGGTTGCCCTGTTCAGTGGGGATTTTTGTGCTTCGGCAAACAAACGCTCATACACATTTCCATCGTATGCTCCAAGTGCTGAGCACAGTATACCATCGGGTATATCGAAACCATCAACGATCCCAACAGCGTTCGGTCGAATTTGGACCAAACAAGCCTCCAACTTGGTGCTCAGGTTTTGTATATCCGACTCCGAAATAGTTGTAAACTGCAATTTTTTCCAGAATGAGAGTGATGGTTAGTATGGAATGCATTGAAAGAAATGGATATAAAAATGAATTTGATCATTTTTGGAGGAAAAATACTAACCCGAAGTAGGTCTGCAAGAGATTTTAGGCAGGTATCAATTGCATATAATTCGACCAATTGATGAATAACTATTGACAGTTCTGGTGACAGCTTTTTGTTAATATCTTTAGTCATTTCGTATGCTGAACTCACCAAAAATGAACGACAATGAGATTCGGCACATTGCACCAATTCTATGGAAGTTGCATTAGCTGCATGTTCATTGGTTAGACCGTTCTTTTTACGCTCTTCGAGATGTTGATAGGACAAACGAAGCTTGCTGAAAAGACATTTTCACAATGGAAAGTTTGACATTTAATTGGAATCAAACGAAATGTATGATTTTACCGAATATATACTTACTTTGCTGATACGGCTTGAAGTGCTTCAATTATTCCAGTGATGGATGAATTCCATTCTTGCTGATTGCGTGTTTTAACGAATTTTCTAAGGTAACTTAATGTTGGAACCAACGATTTTCCTTGTAATGCCCAATCCCAGTTTTTGATCAAGTATCGGGCTGTTTGTAGCAATAAAACGGTATTTTCACCCTCGTATGTACATGCAGCGGTTACCATTCCATACGTTGATGGTAAATTCGAACATTCCATATAGCCATGGCCACCGCAAGCCAAACGCAATTGCTCGATCGCAGCTGCTCCATCGGCTGTACATATGGATTTTAAACAACATGCCAAAGCATGAAGCTAACAAAGGTAGTAGGAATAAAATAAAATGAGAAAAAAATCTAGTGGCTGAATGAAGTGGTAGACACTTACTTCGGGCAAACGTTCCAGGTCTCCACGGTCCAATTCTGAAGTAACTTGATTATACATATCCCAAATGTAATCCGCCGCTAATTTTATCACAAATACTTTGGCAATGTTTGGAAATACTTTGTATTGCTGTGTAACATGATCGATAACTTGTGGTTCGGCCTCATTTGGATCAATTGGACTCTGTCGTCGTACGGCTGAGTATCGGGTTGCTATTGTTACGGCTTTTGACAGATAATTCGATACATCACGTAATATAACCACCCGCACGAACATCATTGTACCATACGTTAGCACCGATGATGGTGATTTGACAAACGTTCCATCACGCTTAACCTGAGCATTTTTCATAAGCATATTTTTACGTGGAATTCGTACATTATCGAAACCTAGATAACCATTGTTCACACTCTTCAAGCCAAGTTTTGGCCCAATTTCACCGATCTTTATTCCCGGCATCGGTTCCCAAGTCTCTTCGTCACGCAATTGCACTATAAATGGATGAATACCGTGATTCTGTCCTTTTGAATATAGTTGTGCCACAACTACGGCATAACTGGAACTATGGCCCACTGTTGACAGTTAGATTAGTCGAGATAATATTGACTGGAATTAAAGTTTATGCAAACAGTGTGATCACTTACATCCACCTGGCCACCACTTGTAAGCTGTTAAAGATGGACTGTGAAGAACAAACTCCTCCGTTTTTTCATCATACGTTGCTCGTGTTTCTAGGCCTCTAATAAATGTACCATGCCCAAGCTCTGTCTGTAACGCAATTTTAGTCGAGTCAAAACCAATTTTCGAATCATTACTCAATAGTCCAATATAATCGTTTCAAGCTTACTTGCGCATAAGTGCCGACAATTTCCATGTTCCATGCACGACCCAGCCACTCGCCTTGCTGTTCCAGAGTTCCTTGGCCCAAAATCGTTGGAACGAACATCACAAAGTGCACAGCGAATGGATTGCCATCTTTGATTATCCCTGAACCCAGCAAGCCACCCAACAGTGCTCTACCATTAGAAGAAAAAAATATGTTTTCTATATTTGCAATTTAAAAAACACATACAAACATTTAAACTTACAGATAGTTATCTACACCATCCTTTCCTTCTTCTTGCAGTTGTTTTATTTTCCGAAAAACTATTGTTGATTTTCGGATTGCATATTCGTACAGTTCTTTGTGAGATAAATAAGATGGTGGTGTTTCATCTTGCAATTCGGGATCGTTTAAAAAGAAATCCTCTGAAAAACAGTGAAAAATAGAAATAATCAAACCGTTTACAAGTGCGTTTTCACAAGCTATCGTAACAATACTCCAAGAATCTATGTCACTAGTACTTTTCAAAACTGTGGGGTCATGTTGTTGTAATTTTTCTCACACGCAATGATTTTCTAAAATTTCCATAAGACAAGGTAATTCTATAATAACTTGTATAAAACTGCGAAGTTAATTCATGCGGATAAAATGTTATGTTAAAGTGGGTTTCTTCACACCGCACTTATGCACTAGAACAATTCCGTTATTGAATTGTTGATAGCTTCTTCGGCGGAATTTTATTTAATAATGTGAATAATCATCAATATTGCCATTAAAAACTATTATTTTCTGCTTTCAATGCAATTTATCCGTTTATGGATGCTGACAAAAGAAGTCTTGCTCTTAACATTTGAAAAAAAAAACAAACATAGTACAGCACAGAAATACTATACAAACGCATAGCACAAAACAGAAAATCAATTTATTTCCAAAAAAGAGAGGAAATTAACCAGACACTTACCACGGGCTCGTTTCTCTTCTAATTTACTTTGATCACCAATCCAATACCGTGCTAACTCTTCAACATCAAACGTACACTTTCGGCGTTCTTTTTCCAGATCGGAATTGATTGTTCTTTTGGTTGTTGGCATGTTCGCGCTATAAGCGTAAAAATCAAGTTTTTCTATTTCAAAATAAATTTATTAACGCGCATTTCATGAATAACTATACAAAAACACAAACTAGGTTGTACAGCAATCTCTGTTAGACGGGATATACATACAATAATGCGAAATGTGTTGGATTTACGTCATTAATCACACTATATTAACTCTTCTCTTTTTTATAATGAATCGATAATCTGAGATAGCAGCTATGAGTTCAAAGGTACTGTTTAGAAAAACCATAACTCGTTTGATATGTATATTGGTGGGAAAAAAACGGAAACTCCGTATTTGAGAATCAAATCATATTTTGTCTGTCCACTTGAAGTCCATTGATACATTATCAGAATAATGAAAGTGGCAATTCGTTACAAAAAAAGCAAATTAGCATACAACATGTTTTGTTGATGACAACGCTAAATCAAAGTTCAAATTACGAGAGTTTTTTTCTTCATGAAAATTCGATAAAGAATCAATTCAAATTCGAAGGAAAATTTTTAATGGAAATTTACCGTTTCAATCACTGTTTTGTTCGAGCTTTCTTTTTCACTGGATTTTTTTTGCACAGATTGTTTATTTATTTATTTTTTAATTTCACTGACTGGCATACAAAGAAACTGCCTAGCACTTATCTCATTTGATATTTTATTAATGTCGACCCATTTTTTACGATGATTTATTCTTATAAATAGTTTTTCTTTTTGTTATATCCAATCCATAGTTACCATTTATATTAAAATACTTGCTTTTTGAGAATACTTGCTTCTGTTGTGTGTTGTTGTTTTTTACATTACAACATGAAATTTTAAGAAAGTTTTGTTATAACGACAATAGGCCAATAAAACGATGAATGAAATAGTACCAAGCTGCAACTTAATATTATTACACAAATATGGAAATACACTCACAAATATTGTTGATAGTACTACGATGAAAAATTGGCAAATCCGAATCAACTGAGTATATATAAACAATTCGGTTTTACTCAAATCGTCATTATTATTTAAACATGTATGTTAGAATAACACTTTTCGGAAATATGTCAATCGAAAGTTTACCAGTGTATTTTATGTTGTAATTGACAGTTAGTCAAATGAGAACAACAAGTGTTTTCCCCACCATCTTCATGCAATATAACCTTGGGTAATTTACTTATGTCATGAACCGGGATGTACTTGTCGATTTTGAACGATGTTGTTAGAATTATATCCGTATAAAATTCAAAATGATTAGCATAAATGAGAGGTAATGAATTTTCCATCAATTTTCAAAAATAAAACACAAAAATCGTAGATTATTGGTTAAAATGTAATTATTGTTGTTGTTGCCGCAACGCCATCTTCTCGAAATCAACGGAACTACGAAATAAATGACAATTCAGATTTAATATGACAGCCGTCGTCGCCTCGCTACAAATTTCATTCAAAGTAAATTTGAAATACACGTGCGTTCGAAGATGTTCAAAAACAGATCGAATTGCAAGTTTATGTTTTTTTTTTTAAATTGTTGAAGCTGAATTTACATGCATATTTTTATTCACGACACATAAACAATCAATATGAAGAATAAACCACAACGGCACAAAGAAACCAATGCGTTCAGAGTAAGTGGTGTAATGTGTTATTTGTTGTCATTTTCATTAGTTATAACTAATTCATTTTGATTTTGCGAATAGTTCAAGACGTTTGGAGAACGAATCAATGAGATCGATCTGCGACGCTCAGCGCTCTACCGAATTCGCCATCAAAATGAAGGTACCGGTGAAGAGGCACAGGAGACTGAATTCCATCAAACATACTGCAAATGGGTCGTGTTGAACTTAACGGAAGAGTATGGTGCATTTCAAAAACAAATTCGTGGCATTGTCACTCTGCCACAGTTACTTTTGAAGAAGGATTTTGTGATCAACACATTGGTAGATGCGATAGAAAGAGCGACGGTGCTCTCGTTGCAGCCGCTACTCGAGTGAGTAGATTTTGAGACATTATTTAAAACTTCCATTCAAACTCATATCATTTTTTATTCGTTTTAGATTCGTAGTTGCTCTTGCACGAGATCTTCGAGATGAATTCTATGTATATTTGGTGAGAAGTGAAAAGCCACTTTTTGAAACCATTTTCAATCTATTGAATACAAAAGATTCGGATCAATTGGAATGGACGCTCCTTTCTCTGGCACATTTGTTTAAAATCCTCAAACCATATTTGAAAAAGGATTTTTCAGCAGTATTTAATTCACTATTGCCTCTAATTGATGACGGACAAAATGCAGAAAGTATTACCAATTTTGCTGTTGAATGTTTCGCATTCATTGCACGTGACATTACAGAAAAGGAAAAATTTCTAACTGCCATATTATCGAAGTTGAGTACCAGAATCAGCCAAGATGTAGGAATATGCAGCGAAAGCTTGATACGAGGATGCGGGCAATTGCTATTTGAAGTGATTCGCGGTGTGAACGGTCAATTCCATAGTTGTGCCGGCGTATATTTAAATGTATATTTTGGACTGTTATCGAAATTAAAGACACACCAAGCAGAACTGTTGTACGACATCTTAAGTGGCATGGTAAAAGTTTTAGTTCAACACATAGCACCAGCCAATATGCAAACATTCTGGGATGCATGCTATCACGTATTGGCCGAATTCAAAGAGGCATCCAATTTCAACAGTTCTGCGTACAAACAGTTGCTGTTAATAATGGGTCAGACGCTCGAAAGCAGAGATGGCAAATTTCTCACAAATTCCAATCAATTTGTCACTGAACTATTAAAAGTCATTGACACATGCGAAAATAGTGATGAATGTTTACGGTCTACATCCGATTTGGTTACAGTACTATTGCTTTCGCACAATGTGATCCTCACTCAATTGGATGCGAGCCGAATAACAAAAAAAGTGCTCACAATACCATCCACCGAAATATTCGAATCGTTTGTGTGGAACTGTGTGAAATATTCACAGTTTGAAGTACTAATATTACCGGAATTCCTGCGATACATTGACAGTAATCACTTTGGATTAAGTTCATTGGAATTGATGGCGAAAATTATCTTGTACAAATCACCGTTAGCCAGTGATGGGATCACACTCGACTCCAAGAAATCTTATCCAATTCGTTTACGTTCGGACAAATCTTTGCAGAAAATCAAATCAATAATTACCAAGGTCGATAATACAACTGATATATTTTGGTCAAATCCACGAGAATTTCTATTGGCACTCATAATTTATCCACATATTGTTGGCGCCGATGTTGTCAAAGTAGTGGAAAAAGTAAATGAATCAATTGAAGTCTGTTTAAATGCGTTGAAACCAGCGGATGGTATAAATCAAAATGAATCCGAGCATCAACGTATCCACACCCAGAACAAACGAATCATTTTTGTTCTGGCGATTTTAGTTGAATCTCAAATTCAATTTCGAGAAAAACAAGTCGCAAAATCTAAGTCATTAAAAACGATAAGGCTGCAGACGATAGTAAACAAATTGGTACAGTTCAGCTCATGTGAAAATCCTCGTTATACTCACGCTCTACGTTTGCTGGATCTGATTATTTCTTTCGAGGTGAAGCAACCAAAGGAATGCAGAAGTTCAGATTTCAATTTTGATTTATTTAAAACGATTCATATGGAACTGTCCAACAATCTATTTTCACGTTATCACATCGTCCGAAGGACAACCGCACATTTGCTACATCAATTTGCCAACGAATTGAAAACGAACGATACAGAGCTAGCGATTTTTGGTATATCTTTCGACATTGAATCCATTGAAACAAACATCCACACATATCGAGAGCAGTTGTTGCTTTTACAGCGAATTGAACCAAACCCAAAGTTTATTTCTTCGTTGTGCAAAATTCATGAGCCACTTAAATTCGATCCGCTTAAATATTTGCTGGGATTTCTTCATGTGAATTTCAATCTCCTCTGGAAACCGACCATGGAATTGATTGCCGCATACTTTTCCGAATTGGATATTGAAAGTTTCTGGTCCCTGTACAAAGCTCGCATCGAGGAAACAACAACTTTGCAACGCAGTAAGCAATTGACCGATGAAAATCACGAAGACCTTGAATTCATTGCGGCGGAATCATGTTTGGGCATAGAATACCTCAATGTTTGGCGTAATGATGAACGTTCGATCGATTTGGTGAATTATCGAATATTACTGTGGCGCATTATTCCATCACTTGGGATGTTACGAGAGATAAAAAATCGGGAAATTGTGACGATTTTCTTGGATTTCATTGAACATGAATACAAACGTACCATCGATCGTGATACGCTTACTTTGCAAGCGCAGCGCAACCGAAAAACTAAGAAAATAACCAACGGGAAAGGCTTTAATAAAACTGAAAATGAGTATGAGAATGAAAATGAAGAAGATGGTGAAGATGATATCGCGGAACAGATTGTAGACGATCAAAATGTACCAGCTGGAACTCAGCGAACGCTGACAAATATGCTTCAGGTGTTTGTTAATCAAAATAATCCAAAAGCATTGCATCGTGAACCCGAGCTATGGAGCCTATACATGGACTTGCTTAGCCATAGGAATAGTGAAGTTCAAAAATTGGCATTGGAGTGTGTCGCTGCATATAAACACAAATATTTACAACCGTACATGGATCATTTAAAGGGTTTGGTGGACGATGCAAAATTTAAAGCGACAATAACCAGTTTCAAGATTGATAAAGAAAGTGGCCTGGTGCAGCCAGAGCATCGACCGCAATTGATGCCCATTGTAATGCGAATCCTCTTCAGTAAGATGATGACACGGGTTGGTGGACAGAAAACATCGAATCAGACACGGAAATCGCTGATCATGCGATTCTTGGGCGGTTGTCACGAAGAAGAAATTCTGGTCATGCTTCACATGTCGTTCTGGATGTTCGAAAGCGAATTCAAAGATGATGCTCGTGATATGTGCTTAACCGTAAGTACTCTAACTGAAAAAGCCATACAAATGTAATTGGTTCTGCTGTTAAATTCCATTCTTTTTTCTAGGTCATGACAAAAACCAATGTTGCAAACGTCCTATCTCCCAACATTCTACAAAGTTCTTTGGATCTTCTGGATGTAATTCAAGGAGAGTTCAGTGGTTTGATGAGTAATAAATTCCTACGATACATCATAAATGTATTGCTTGTCATCGGATCCACCGTGCTCAGTGTTGTGGAACAAAGCAAGCAAGACAACTCAAAGTTTGCCGGCAATTTGGCAAAGCCGTACAAAAATTTACGCAACTTCTGCTATCAGAACTTACAACGATTCTTCGATCATTTCGAGTCCTACACATGGACTGACAACGAGATTGATGCCATATTCTTGGTGTTTGTTGCTCCTTCAGCTCATAAATTACACCAGGAAAGTTTAGTGACAGTAATACCTTTGCTGAAACTATTTGCAACCTTTGGAAAGTATCCAAGACTATTTATTCTGTTAACGCGCTATATTAATGATACAAAAACGGACACAACACCGCTGAGATATGTGATGGATTTGTTAGTTGAGCCCAAGGCACGACCACGCGTTTGCTTGACCATCATGGAAATGATTCAGAATCTATTAACGCTGTCCCTTGATGTGGCTGCCATTGATGAAGAGCATGCGATTGTCCCGTTGGAAATCAGTCACTGCAGGCCAATTTCTGAAAAGAGTTTAGCTGATATTCCACATGCGGATACACTGAATTTCGGTAGTAAAATTCTTCTGCCATTTTTGCCAAATATTTTGCAACGGTTCAAGATTTTACTGAAAGGACGTCGTGGCCTGACAAAACGCGATTTAGCAATCCTGTCTAAGATAACGGGCCTTATTACTGATCCAGAAACCAGTAAAACACTCCTTACCGTGCTATTACCAATTCTTGTGCGCAAATCTAGTTCTAATTTGGGCGAAGAAATTCTCACACAAATGGTTGATACCATCACCAACTTATTCAAACGAATCGATCACCCAGAGCAACATATTCGTAGCATTGCACCAATGTTTGAACAAGTCACAGCACTTGGGCCACGTAAACTATTGTGTCGTCTACTGCATGTTATAGCTGATCGTGCATCGTTTGAAAACAAAGCCGATAAATTACAGTTGCAACAAACAGTGCGCATTGTGACTGAGCTGAATGCATGGGATCGCCGATGGATTGAGCAACCAGACTATGAAAAACGTTTAGATGCCTATAAACAAATTGGTCAATTGACTGCTGCCAATGAGATCGATTTAAATGCTGGATTGTTGATCATTTATCACTCGTTTCATTTTGTCAAATACGACAGAGACATGGCATTGCGAGACAGTGCATCACATCATCTGAGAACACTTCTGCCAACGCTCATACGAAAGCTGCAGAAGACAAAACCACTAGAATTGGACTATTTGATCGGGACGGTGATACTGAATTTAGTTCGGAGAACTTTCCGTGATAAAAACGACAATGTACGTACTGAAGGCATTCAGCTTTTGGGTGAAATTGCACGCGAATGTCCTGACGCTCATCCAGTTCTATTCGATTTGAATATGCTTACGTGTAAGCAGGATCGAGAGATTGATTTCTTTGATAATATTACGCATTTGCAATCACAGCGTCATGGCAAAGCACTGTTGCGATTCTGTTCTGTAGCCAAAACACTGGAAAAAGCACCAAGCCCCAGAACATTGACACAATTCATACTACCACTCGCTTCAGCGTACATAGCAAATGACAAATATTCCATGAATCATGGTCTAATTACGTCGGCTATCGAAACAATCGGCGCAGTGTGTCACCTATTGCCATGGCACCAATACGAGTCGATTCTAAAATACTATATCAAGAATATGCGCTTCAATGTCCAGTATCAAAAGCAAATGGTTCGCATTGTTATGCAGATTTTGGACTCATTCCATTTTGATTTGTCGGAAGCAAATGCTTCAATTGACAAACTTCCCGTTTCAACGGAGCCCACAGCATCGGAAATCGATCAAAAGAAAATCGCAACTAAAAATGATTCAAATGCAGACGACAATGTCGATGAATTGACTAATAATATCGAAGCAGAGGAGATTGTTATCGAAATGAACAACGAACAAGATAACTTTTATGACGAGTTGGATGGACTGAACGGAGAGAATGAAGATGACGACGGCGATGACGACGAAAAAGAACAAAACGTAACACCGATTAAGAAAGCCAGAGTTTGTGTTTATGATAAGCCAATAGTTTTGTCTGCATCAATTGCCAAAAAAGTCGTACATAATCTGGCCACTGGTCTGATACCAACGCTCAATAGCTCCATCACGGCCCTCAGTACGTACGAAAGCTTCCATAAAATCAACAAAAAGAAACGACGTTCGGAGCGAGAAGAAGAAGAAATATTGCGTGTCCCGATCGCGTTGGCAGTTGTTAAATTACTTCAAAAATTGCCGACAGGCATTTTAGGTGCGGTATAACCTGACTTAAATTAAATTCAATTCGTAACACACGTGAAATGACTAAACACATTGTTTCTGCTATTTACAGAGCGAAATCTTTCTGGAATTCTCATCAAAGTGTGCATGTTCCTGAAATCACCGTTGATTTCAGTGCGAATGACAACTCGTGATATTCTAAAAAATATTATGGTAACCGTTGGTGCAGAACACTTGGAAACTCTACTAGGCCATATGACATCGTTGTTGACCCGGGGCTTTCAAGTTCACGTGCTCACTATTACCGTTCATTGTTTGTTGGACGCACTGAAAACGTCACTCAAAAATGGAATAATGGACAAGTGTTTGCAGTATGTGCTGCAGGTGTGCCTTAGAGATATCTTCGGGCAAACTGGTGAAGAGAAGCTCGTGACAAAAATCGGCAAACACACACCCGAAGCAAAGCCGCACAACAAAAGCTTCCTAACGCTGAGTATTTGTGCAACAAGTCTGTCTCAAACGTGTTTGCTGGATCTGTTAGTTCCACTGAAGGAACAACTGAATAGATCACAATCCAAGAAGAATGTGGTTCGTTTACAGGAATGCTTCCAGAAAATAGTCGCCGGTCTGACGATTAACAAACAAATTAGCATTGAGACGATGTTAATGTTTATCTATGGTGTGATTTCTGAAAGTATACCAGATCTAATGCCCACAATTGAAAAACCAAAACTAACCGACAGTGAAAAATCGAAAATAAAGCAACAAAAACCAGATTGCTTTCTGATACCCAAAGATCCACTACTTGAGAGACGCACCACTACTGTGCAAACTGCAGCCGTAACTAATGTTCGGGCGAATGCGCACGTTTTAATTGAATTTGGTTTGGAATTGCTGCAACTGACACTGAAACGTGGCAAATTATTGAAAATCAACTATCAGCCATTTATCGATCCAATTGTGACGATATTGAACGATTCAATAGTAAGTAGTCATGTGCGCGTTACAACTTTTGCCCTAAAATGTATCTCGACCTTGATCAGCAAACAAATGACTTCAGACCGTTTGGATGAAGCCATACCATCGATTGTTGAGAAAATTTTCGATATTCTACATAAATATGTTGCTGCCAATACGGATATGTTGAATGAAAACTTCCTACTGGTGCAAAGTTCATTTAAAACCATTATGAACATACTGCGTTATGTACCAGCTGAACGTTTTACATTGATGGCCGACCAATTGAAAACGCTACTCTTCTATGCCGAGCAATATTTGAATGTTGGCGAAACAACGAAGCAAACCATATCGTTCTCCCTTCTGAAGGTCATCATTTCGCGGCGTTTGGTTACCAGCGAATTGAATAATGTACTCATGCAAGTCGGTCGACTGGCTATACAATCAGAATCGGATGTTGCTCGGGCAGAGTCAAAGGGCATCATCGTTAACTATCTGATGGATTATCCATTGGGAAAAAAAGTAGAAGGATTTATTGAATTTTTCATTTCTAATTTGAACTATGAACTGCGATCAGGCCGTGAATCGGCAATCAGTATTTTACATTCGATCGTTAAACGCTTCCCACCAAAATATCTGAATCGGAAGGCAGCGTTGATGTTTGTGGCTTGCGGCTCTTGCATCGTGAATGATGAATCTGCCGAATGTCGTCAAAATGTGGCAGAATGCTTGGAAACGTTGCTAACCCGCATTGATGTCAATCAACGCAACGAATTGTTTTCCATGGTAATGACACTTTTGAACGATAACAAACCGAGTCACCGAGAAATGGCGGCTCTTCTGTGTACTCGATTCATAAATGCCGAAAAAGAAAAGTTCTCAGCACGTCTTGAGAAAATTCTGCCAGTTTTGATAACGACTTTGTGCACCAGTTCCGTCAGAAAATTTGTACGAAGCAGAAACAGCAACGACCGTAATCACAATGGCAAAGATGAAAATGAATCAGGCGATGATAACGACGATGACGAGGAAAACGATCACGAAGAGACCCAACGAATGCTAGACCATCAAACAATACAGCTACAAAATACGTTGCAGAAAATATACGAAACATATGATAATGTAATTGCTGATTATCCACAGTATACGGATGAGCTCGCCTATGAATCACAAAAGTTGCTTGCGCATGAACATACTTGGGTGCGATTGAATGCGTTACGAATGCTACAAAATATCATGCAAAGCATAGATGTTGAACACATCCATAATATATTTGTTTCCGATGAACGCGCCCAAATTCAATCGAATTTCATATATTCAAATCCCGAGCAAGAACTTAAATCATTGACCCTGGATCTGTGTGCCCAACTAATACCCGATCAGACCGTCAGTGAACTGGCATCGGAAGTAACAACCATTCTGTTACTCATTGCGAACATGCTAAAAGATATACCATTCTCGAACACAAACGAAGCGGAAGATGGAGACGATGAAGATGCGAAAAATAACATTAAACGAAAAATTAATTTACCTTGGCTGTTCAGACGGCTACGATATGTCATTCATGCTGAGGTGGCAAAAGCACCGCAAAGTACCATACTGGTGAGTCAAATTACATTTAAATATTCTCTGGTATTTTCTAGGGTATTTTATTGATAAAATCTTTTTAATGACAATTTTCCCTGATTTTATAGCGAACGTCAGTTTTCCGCTGGATTGAAGGACTTGTGGAATTAATCACCACTGAGCAAGTTGAACGGTTGGCATATACATTATTGTCGCCACTGGTACGCGAAATGTCTGAAGAAGATCAAAATATTGATGCAAAACTTCGTAAATTAGCGAAGCGAGTTGGTGACACAATACGTGACCGAATCGGCGATGACGATTATAACATTTTGCGCGCGCAAATCCAGAAGAAACTGTTGATTAAACGAGCTGAGCGTAAGAAGTCGATTGCAATTGATAAAATATCGCATCCTGTCCAAGCTGCCATGAGACTAAAGGGCATACGAGATCGAAAGAAGTCAGCCAAACGAAAATATATGGATCCGTCCAAAATGCATGGCTTCATTGCGAAGAAGAAGAAAAAATTGTACGATCAATAAGGAATGATCTTTAGGGAAATCAATGAAATATACATATAGCCTTTTCAATATCCTCTTTTAAAAATGAAAAAATAAATTCACTATAACTCAGAAAATCATAAGAAAAACCTTTTGTCCAAAGCTATGGTAAAATTTGGAGAAAAATTGTATTTTCTTCTAATCGGCAAAATTTTATATCATCTTATCTGAAAAGCGTGCGCAAAAAAATCAAAACGCTTAAATTTCACGATATTTTGATGTTTATTTATTTGTGAAATTATAAACAAACTCTCTTTCATATTATTATTAATTTTATTATTCTTATAAATTTTTTATAATGTTTTTCGTTTTTCCGCTCAGCTTATATGATCTTAACGGACATAAATGAAGAATTAACTTTTGTGAAAAATATTATAATATTTTAAATTGTTTCACAGTACAACAAATTTCTGGTGATGGCTGCACCCATTGAGGTTTTGAATGCACGATTTTAGAGGACAAAAAACCAAACAAATTTGCATCATTAGTTTGTTCGGATGACTATCGAAGTTGCCGAATTTTGAGTGCGCCCTTGAACATAAATGGGCCGAAATACCAAATTTTGCCAAGAATCTATATGGGCATGCCTTGTCAAAAAGATGAGACTTCCCCATGAATTTTGGTTTCACTGATTTCAAACACGTTTCGTGCTATATCTCGAAAACCACCCAACCGATTTTGATGAATGGGGTAAAATCTCACCTTTCCAACGCATATATCAATATAGATTTCTAACAAAAGTGAATGACCTGTTCAAAAGCGTACTCAAAATTCGGCAACTTTGATAGAATTTTTATTTAGTTTTATTTGGACGTCTTCCGAACAAACTAATGATACAGTTTGGTTTGGTGATTGGTCCTCTAAAATCGTGCATTCAAAACCCCAATGGATGCAGCAATCACAAGAAATTTGTTGTACTGTGTTTCATATTTTTCGTTCTCTGAGCAAATATTGCAAATGCTATTCTCAGCAAGCAAGTTGTGATGTGATAATTTCAACGTGGCTTCAACTTCATCACTGCTTATTATTCTTGGAGAAATTGTGTGATGCCCAGTTTAGTGATGTTTTCCACGAATTAAGCAGCGCCTCACTAAATTTTTGTCGAAAATGATCGCGAGCTTCTTCTTCAGACATGTCCAAAACCTGTCAATTGGAAGAAAAAAAAACAATCAAAAATTATTATTTTGTCCAAATAAAATCTTGCAAGAAAAAAAACAAAATGATTTCGTACCAAAGTATCACGCAAATAATTTAAATCTTTTTCTGATGAAAGTTCAGGCAAACCAGTGGAGATCATCATTGAAAACAGTGACAGGATGAGACAGCCATGACTGCGCAGTAGTAAAAATGCCGTTTCACACAATTGTTTAAACGTTTTAAATTCTTCGGTTTCGCGATCAGTTTTTCCCTTATTGATAATATAGACAAAGTCATGAGTTAACACAAACGGAACACGTTCACGTCGTATGCCGAACTTTTCTTTGAAATGGCCCAGAATGTGTCCAAAATCGATATGAAACAACTGAAATATCGATAAATCGGTGTAAATAGTAAATATTGTGGTCAATGTTAAATTCAATCAAATGTCTATCTACCTGTCCAGTTTTCTTAACCATTATGTTGTCCGAGTGACGATCGGCCACACCTAATACGTAGGTAGCAACACAATATCCAGCGCAACTAAGCGTAAATTCACGTATCGCTTTGTCTAGATCGTCTGGATTGTGATCTTTCAGCCATGCATACAATGAACCTTTTTTGAATGGCGATGTCGCCGAGAACATGCCACGCTCTTTCTGTATGTTTGCAATGGTTTCGGCATTCGAAACGATTTCGATCATGCCCAAACGGTGCTCCGTACTGACACAAGTGTACGGATTCATGCGAAAATCGTAGCCATGGCTTTTCCAAATTTTATCCATCACACGAAGCATTTGCAATGTTAACATATCTTGCCTCAGGTCATCACCATTTTTGAAGATCACACAAATATCGTCACCGTGCATATCCGAATTCTCAAACACAATCCACAACGGTCGCATTTTTGAGTCCATCACTTTGCATTTATCGATTTTAATTGAGCGACATCGAAAGCTTGGATTCAATGGGCTTAAAACGTCTTCAATTTTTTGCTTAATGAACGAGTTATTCAGATGCTGTTGCAAAACCGCTCGTCCTTTATCTTTATTAACTTTTTTCGCTTGTTCCGATACTTTTTTCAGCTCATCCAAACAGCTAATTTGCTTGAGAAGAATTTGTATGTGCTCTTGGCTGCCCTTTAGATACGCTTCTAAAATAATTCCGAACCGCACTTGGACTGATGGCACAAGCATTTCCGAGCGTAAATGCCAGAAAAAATGATGGCCAATTCGATGATTTTGTAGCGCACGATCCAAAAGGAATTCAACTAAATCACATTGAAAGTAGGACTCGTGTTTCATTGCTTGAACTAATTGCAGCAAATAGAGAAGTAATTCGTCGTCGGTAAGGCTGGAATGAAAATAGAAGAAAATATTTAGATTTAAAGAATTCATGAATTTATTTTTGAAAAACACCAGACGTACACCCGCAGATGTATTATTTGTAATATGTCCAAACTTACTTTAACATTTTCAAGCACTTGACGGCAAAACTACGGACGCTCGAGCAAGCATATGCATAGTCAAGCAGCTCCAATGCTCTTTCTTCGCTCAATGGCTTCCATTTGGTTAATAAACGGCGCATCTCGGACACCTCATCACGATCGTTCCATTCAACACAGTGTAATAGACAGGGCAATCCTTGTGGGAGAAACTCCTGAACATCATTTCTAGAAGATTTAATTCCGAACAAAATTCATGCTTAGTCCATTTGGCCGAGAAGAGAACAAATGTGAGATGACACAACTATCAATCAAACATTACCTTTTGGCCCAAATGGCATTTCGATCCTGGTCATGCATTTCTTGAATCTTATCATTATTTAAATAAGGTGACATTATTTGGTTAATACTTCGACAATCTTGGGCACTATCACGGTTAAAATTTTTGGTTTTCTCTAACTCTTCTGCATATGTTAATATTCTGTCTTCAGGTGGATAAACTATTACATTGTCGATATTATAGCTGAAATTGGAGAAAGAGGGAAATAGAGTAAATACTACATCAGACGCATATAAATGCTCAACATATTATAATGGAATGATGCTCACTTGTAAATGCTTAACATAATGGCAGCGCGTTCATCAGTCCTTGGATTTGATTCGACCGTACCAAGTGGATGAAGCCAGTCTTCTGATTGTGAATCCTCGGCATAGGTCCACGTGTATAAGGTCATGGCGCCAGTTTTAAGCTGATGCTTGTAATCAAAAACGGTTGTATTCACCCAGGCGATGGGATTCGTGCTGAACAGTTTGTCTTTTGGACGTCGTTTGGTCGTGCCGCCGCTGCTGCTACTGCCCTTCGAATTTTTGACAATTTCATAAACGACCAAACAGAGCCGTGCCATTCGCGGCACATTATAAACCATAATATCAAATTTAAGCACTTCCTCCCATTTCGGGCATCCGTCGGTGGGCAACGTAATTGGTACAGTTTTTTGCGGTTCGCATAGCGATTTACCGCCATGAAATAGACCTGCTCGAATACCGACTTCGACAGCTTTGTTCGTATCACAATTGAGTCCTTTGATTGCATGTATGCAAATTTGCAACTGTTGTTTGATATCCCACGACGATGTATATTTCAACTTCTTTTTAAGTGTGCACGTGGACATGCCCAATCGAGCTTTGCTATCATTATTTTTGCGATCTTCCAATTTTGATAAGGTTGTTTCGTAAATACTTTTCTTGAACATATTGACATTTTGCTTTGCCTGAATGACAAAACTCGGTATGCCATTGGCCGATAAAACGTCTTGCACATGCAAAAATTGAATAATTTGATTTTCACCGAAAATATACTCGTCCTGTCCGCAAATCTTTAGAATGTAGTCATCATAGTTGTGTTGCGGTTTATTACTCGTGTGCGACATTTTCATTAGGATTTTCTTAAGAATTAATGTTGGCGATAAGTGGTATGGGACCTCGTGCGTAAACGATGAATTCGCATCGTTTTCCGATCTGGATACAATCATAAATTTTTCGTTGTTGAATCGACCGCGTACCGATTGCGGAATATTAATATTCTTGGCCAATCTTGGAGGGTATTGATACATCAGACGCTGTTGCCATGTCATTCGCTTGCGTTCTTCCGACATTTCGTCGGCAATCACACCCATTTTGTAGCGAAAATCATTCACTTCTGGGTTGTTTAAATTCTTGAACTCTTCAACAGGCTTTCCGATCAAATGGGATATGTCTTTTTCTAATGGGTTGTCGGTTGATTTGTCTTTTTCGACGATTTTCAACAGACAAAAATATGGTTGAACGTCACACAGACGAATCGCCTCGTTGTGAATCTCTTCGGCTTTACCTTTCTTACCGAATGAACCGCTGATCACAGTAATCACATACTCTGATTTATCGTGTAGCCGCCCATAAAGAGGAAATCGTTGAGCATTTTCCCAGAGCTCTTCCTTGATTTCCTCAAATGTGGCATTTTGCGATACTTTCATAATAATGATAATGCCATTTGGCATCAAGCATGATACATCGATCAGATCTGGAGGATCTAATTGCCAAAAATCGTACTGTACAAACGGCTCGGGAGGCATTTTTTGAAGATTCAAATTTAGATTCGATTGCAGTTTGGTGGAGTATTATTTTATCTAAAATATTCAATGGTTGATCGTTTGATTGATGAGTACTGTGTATGTGGGTGCGTGTATTGTTATTGGTCTATGAGAGTTTTTGTTTTCTGTTACAATCGTCGTACGTGCTTCTTTCTTCAAGTCAAGTCAATATCTTGGATGAAATAACATGCTATCCCAATTATCCATTTCATTTGAACATGTTTTTATTGCTTTTCCTTTCCACCCCTACGTAATGTAATGTTGACTATTATTCCGGTGAGCAAGGTTGTATTCTACAAAATGGAAGAAAAAGAGAAACAATTAGATGAATATTCAAATCTTGGAAGATGTACCGAAATGACTTCAAATATAGGTCGTTTTCAATTGTAGATTTTATGTAGTTTAATGTAATGTTTTTCACTTTCTTTTATATATGAACAATTTCTTTTGTAATCGACTATCAAAAAACTGTTAAAAAAATGGAAAAACCAAAATCTTGGTCAAAAAACGTATTTTCCATAAATCACATATTTTTCGAATGAAGAACGGTTTCAAAAAAATTGTAGATAAAATGTGTGATAAATAAATTGTCAGTTTTCAAATAATTCTTTCCATTCGTTTGATATTGGAATGAGTCATAAAAATTGGTCAAAATTGATAATATTCAAATCTTGGCCACAAATTGAACTTTTTACAAACTGAATCTTTTCTCTATTGTTGTTATTAACTGAATATTTTCTCTAACGGTTTTTTTGGGGTTAATATTTCTAAATTATTGGAAGCGATCGATGACGATTAGATTTCTGTGAAGATGCTCTGGCATGCGGCCATTTACAATAAGATGATTACAATTTAATTTTAAGAATGTGTTCATTTCAATTTATTCATTGGATTGACTCATTCATTCGATTATTTAAACGCGCGCCATGCATAAAATCACGACAAACAAAATGTATTCAACATATGTTTACAAACATCCGCCATTCGACGGTATTCTCTGATATACATGCACGTATAATGCAAGTATTGTCAATTTACAAATGTCTAAATGTTTGTGTGTGTGCGTGTATATATGGGCAAGGGTCAGTAAGACGAAACCACGCAAAAAATGTTTCTAAGGAGCAAAAAAGTATATTAACGTCGTTCGATCGCAATGAATTTTTGCATAGCTTAATTATTTCATAAAACTTATATTCTCTGAAAATTTTATCCAATTCGGATAATTTTTTCATATGAAAATCTACAAATTTTCGATTTTTTTCCGATTTTTGTAACGTTACCGACCGTTTTTTGAAAGCACAAGATTTCTACTATGCTTTTACAAAACTACAAGAACCTTTACATATTTTTGTAGAAATGGGCCAAAACTTTAATAATAAATTCGAGAAAATATGATTTTTATTTTCTTTTCTGGTTTTTGGAGCACTCAAATCGCACTGTAACGTTACCGATTTTTTTTGTAACGTTACCGATTCTACGCCTACTGGGTCCAGAGACCACCAAAACAGTTTTTCATGCACACCCTGTATTTCTATCTTTTCTTTGATCCTTCATCTACGATATAATGAGTGACAACAGATTTATGCCTGGGTAGATTCGCTAATTTTCATAAAAACGTTGAGCAACCTCGCAAATCACTTCCAAAATTTTGTAACGTTACCGACGCCTTTAATCGTTCATAAGTCCAATACTATAGGTGATAAAAATAAAAACTTTTCTTTGAAATGTGTGGTATGGGCAGCACTATCATATGCACTTTTGAAATTTTGGGTTTTCATTATTATTTTCAGAGATATGGGCGAAATAGGCGTGCGAATTGTAACGTTACCGACCTGACCCTCGCCCATATATGTTCTCTGTTCTGTATGCATGTCTGCAAGAGAGTGAGAGACAGATAGATCGCGACTGTGTATGGGAATGAAAAATCTTCAAAAAATCTTCAAAAAATATCATTTATTTCTAGGAATTCCCTTATTTCACTTAAGCACATACACATTTACAGCTCATGTATGTGAGTGAAGCCTATGTGCACTAGGCATATGAGAAACAAAATAAAACACCGAATATCAGTTAAAATGATGAAAAAAGGATTTGATTTAACACTTTGAATGTGATTGTCTTTCTTGGAAATATTATTCATTACACTCGTTAGCGTTCTTCTATGCCAAAAAAATGGGGGGTTTCTGATCAAATTGCATTGAAATTATGATCATATTCCTCCATAGAGTTCTTTGGACATATTTTTTACGAATTTTTTTTTATACTTTGCATTTCTGAAGAGGTTTTTTTATTTCTATCTTGTCGGAATTTTAACTTATTAATGCGTTTTGATTTGTTTAAACAAGCATTGCAATCACCATTTTTGGATCATACATTTTTAGAATCATTGTAAATTAGATCCAAATAAATATAATTCGATTAAATGAATTTTTATCGTTTTTGTTCACAAATTTATATAAATATTTTTTTTTTGGTTTAAATTTATTTATTTCATCCACATAGATGCATATATACGCACACAAAAAAAAAGGAATCCGATGTGATAACACTTTGCTCACTGCTCTGCTTATTTCAAGTATATCACCAGCTCCAAACGAAAATTTGCCGGATTTTCGTTTATTAATTAATTTATTTTTTTGGCTAGACAAGTTTGTTTCTTTTTATGTGATGGTATCGCATGGAAAAAGATCGAAAACAATATGACAGCCAGAAATAGTTGAGAAGAGAGTGTCGTACTTAGTTACTTTGGTAGACAGTCAGACCGCTTTATGTATACCAACCATATGTCGAATGGTTTTCAATGTCTGAGTAAGTCTTAACAACGCTGCGTTGAAAACTTATAACAACACACAAGCCATGTACACGCTCGTTCATTGTCAAGCGAATAGACTATGGTAATGTGTCAAAAGTGTTTTTTGTTGACAGATGCTGATTTGACCACCGGGTCGCGCAATAACCAAAAATAATGCAAAAATAACACTTTTTTGCGACTTTTTTCGGTTCTTCAGACTTCAAACTCTTGTTTGATTTTCGAATATTTTTTTTATTCCATTCGAAATAAAATCATCAAAATGTTTAGACATTTGTCATATTTGGGTAATGTTGCCTATTAATCAAACGTTATGCATGATATGCGGTAAAAAAAAACAAAATTCCTGGAATATTTTTAATCTGAATCGTTCCTTTGCGTTTTGAGCATTCCTCCATTAGAATGCGTGCATTTTTTATTTCAAGTAATAAGTTTCATTCTTTCTAAATTGTACTAATGTTAAACAATTCATATTGTATTTTTTTTCTTCGAAATTTTCTTGCATAATATCCTCAATAGCATATTGCGAACGTATTACGGCAATTTCAGTTTACTAAAAGGATTAAATATTTATTCAGTTCTTTTCTAAAAGATTCATTTCTCATGCACCTAACACTATGCATGATTCTTACAATCTAAGATTGATGATTTGTCAGACCACTTTCATCTTTTATTTCGGAATATTCATTGATTCCAAACGCGACTGATCGTCTCCTTAATTTGATTTTTGGAGAAAACTACCTCATCATTTCGATGGGCTGTTATAAAATGTAGAACTCTGATGAACTTCATCATCAGTGATGAAGCCATGCATTTTTTTTTTGCAAACGAACGTTTGTCCATTTTCAAATCTCAAGCAGTCGAATATTTATCAAGAATTGCATTTGGCATGCTGAAATTTTCATTGTTGTTACATTATTTCCGTTCTGAAAATACCTAATCACAAAAAAATATTCATTTTGATTTTGAACATTAGGGCAAATGCAGGCTAAAAATTAGTTCCCCTCAAAAAACATATCAACAATCGACAACGAAATGCAAAAACAATAATAAGACAGGTTATGTTGTTATACTTTGGTCATTTGACATTTGATTACATGTCACATTGTGTTTACTGCAAAAAAAATGTATTCGACTGTTTGAATTTTTGTTTTTTTATAAATGACAAAATTTATACAATTTATAGCAATTAAATGAGGGTGTAAATTGCTATGAAAATATGGAGATATTTGTGAACATGGAACAATGAATTATGAATGACACGATTCTTTCGAGGAAAACAACAGTATTTCCATTTTTAATCTTTCATTTTTCTTCACATTTCTTCAAAAATTGACACATGCAATCCGAACGTATTATGACACGGTGGTCCATTGTAACTGTTGTTTATTTACAAAATTCCATATTCATTTACGTGCCAAACCAACTGTGTTTTTCTGAAAAGAAGCACCATCATTTCGTGTTGCTTCTTGATTGATTTGTTTATGCCGTTCGCGAGGAACAATTTCCTCCAATATTTCACCATCGCCTTTAATTAACCTTGAACAAAGAAAAAAAAATTATAACCTATTGTGGCAAAAAAAAAAAATTCTTTTGTTACCTAATTCGTCCAGTTTCTTGATCAACAACACGTTTTATTTGGTTTTGTCTATGATCGTATTCCGCTTTCGTCTCGGGACATTTGGCTCGGTTCATGAGATCTAAAAATGTATGGCAATTGACAAACGAATAAATTAAGAATTAGAAGAATTAACACAAAATAAAAACAAATCTGTTTTTACCAATTGATGGGCCGCAGTAATCGTCTGCATCTTGTGCAGCTGAGGCAATGTTTGCTTGTATTTCTTCGGAACTGTTCAATGCTTTCTCCAGTTTTTTCGAAGTCTTTTTTTTCTGCTTGTGTTTGTGCTTCTTTTCTTTGCGATCAGTCTTTTTGGATTTTTTGTTCCTTTTGGGAGATTTGTTCTTTTTATGTTTTTTATCGTGTTTCATGGTGCTGCTTCACTAATGATTGATATTTGTTTACTATGCGTTCAATGCAATGACACATTTGTTTTGACATAGACAGTGAGCACGTTCAAATGGTACCGGGTGTCACTGTGTCTAAAGTATGCGGCTTCAGGAACCGTTTATTTATTTCATCTTTTCTTTTTCTTTTTTCTTTTTTTCTTTTTTTTTAAACCAAAATACGCTTTTTCCATTCGAGCTAATAAAAGATGTCATGCAAAATAGCCAGACTAATTGTTCATTATCATTTTTCCCCGCTCATTCACAATGTCACGAAGAAAAAAAATCATGATATAAACATGTGCACGCAAACATTTGATTACCGGAATTATCAATGTTGGTATGAACTTAATCGTCCCTGTTGCCCACACTGATATTGAAAAACAAATGATCTTATCAATATTTTCATGAGGCTGTGCCCAATCTAATAAATTGGCAGCGCTCCAGCAGTAGCCTGAACAATTCAAATCTGGGAGTGTGTTAGAAGTTTTCAAACGAGTTAATTATGGTGGCGATTTCTGCTCTCCTTCTCATAATGGCAAATCTTTTTTTCAACCATACATACGGTGAACAATTTGATATTTGGGGTGATCTGACGAACACCAAACTCATTTTGGGCAGTTCACAAACTAAATATGCATTTCCATTGATGAAACGAACGATTGAAGTAACATTCCCAGATGTGAGTATCACACATATGATTTCATCATCAGAATACATACTAGAGCATTATTTATATTTGGCAGGACTTTGATGATGATAGCAATGGAATAATACGTGGCATTCAGCATTCAAATCGCTTAACGGATAAAGACTGCCAACCAGAGGCACGACTCGTCAATGGCGGAGTTAATGAATTAACCGCTACAATAAGAATTACGTCGGTTCGTGGCTGTGGACTTGAATCTTTTGTCGAATTTTTTATTCAGCCACCACAGACGCCAATTATCATACCATAATGGACCCATTTACTGGAATAATCGTGCAATGTACATTTGGCTTTGATTTTGCTTCTGCTCTTGCGCTTGTTTTCATCAGTGCAAAACAATAACAAAAATATGAATGAATGAATGAATGAATGAATGAAAATAAACCGATGTTTTTCACAATTTGATTGCTTCATTTGCATCGCATAAACTCGACCGCGTAACGATAAGAAAAGTTCAACAAGTTCAGTAGACAATATATTGGTAATCGAGGTTAAGTGAAATATGTAAACATCGTATTCTATAGTTTCAAATAAGCTTTCTGATTTTGAGCATTAATCAATTTGACTGTCTGTTATTTGAGTGGATTATATTCGTAACCAAATTCGCCGGGAAATCATTCATTTTTATTTAGTAATTTAAAATAAACGGATTAAGCTCGAAACATGGATATGAAATCCCAAATCTTTCTTATTGTTTTACTTTCGACTTGTGCAAATTGCTTTATCGGCAACAGATACCGTCCGTATCCATATTATCCACCATCAAAGCGACAAATTTTTGGAAATATCGAAGGATTCGAACGCATTGGATACCAGCATGAGAGACGCTATGGCTTTCCATTCTTTACACGAGAGGCATTAATCATATTTCCATCGGTACTACTACCACCGTCAATTAAATTTACAAGATGGAATAAAATAATAATAATTTAATAATCTTTATAGGAATACACAACTGATTCGCCGTATGACTATATTTATTTTATTCGCGGGATATTGCATGAGAACCTGCTTGACGATGATGATTGTTTGCCAAAGCTGGAAATAATTGACGGTGGAATATTCGATCGAAACACAACGATGAGAATAACATCTTATTCGGGTTGTGGCATAAATTCCAAAGTTTCGATTTATGGAGACAAAGCTTGGCGCAATTAGTTTTTTTTTCTCCTTCACTGTAATGGGAATAAAATATTTTTTTTCATTTTTTGTACCAACATGTTTCACGAAATAAAATGAGAAAAAAGTTTTAGAATCGTATGATTAAAAGTGTAATCGCATTGAATTAGATAATCTTAGCATGGCTTTGATTAATTTGAAATATTATTTAAAAATTGTAAGTAATGCAGATTTTCATTGACCACATGCATGGTAATAAAGTTCTCTATGCAAGAGAAGACCTAGGTTAAAGCCTGTTAAGTACTGTAAAAAGTTAAGTATTCCGATATGTTTTGACACTTTTGGAGACGCCATTGTAGCGTCGTGAACGAAAAAGCAAAAAAAAAACGGTCCCAATACTATTACGGTGACTTTTATTGACGATAAACAATTAAACTCACGTTTGAAAAAAAAACCTTTTAATTTAACTTCAACTGGTGTGAAACGACATTAAATACGACGACAACAATTGTGACAAAATGAGTTCGGGCGGTATGTTATATGGTGGTGATGAAATCGGAGCATTAGTTTTCGATCCCGGTCATCATTCACTTCGTGTTGGTTACGCTCAAGAGGATGCACCAAAAGCCGAAATTCCAGCTGTGGTTGGTGTTGCACCGGGCGACACAGCTGCAACTGCAGCCACAAACGCTGGCATAGACATTGAAACAAAAGCCAATAATAATAATGTGACATCAAGTAAGGCCTACTACTTACATACTATGCATTACAAGCACAAATTTTAGGTTATATTCATTCGGTAATAATAATGCAAAAAAATTTGCTGTCGTTCACTTCTTTTTTTTTCAGGTGGAAACAAATATATAGTCGACACTACATTTGTGAATGTAGCCCGTTCAAATATGGAAATTCAAACGTATATGAAAGATGGAATGATTGACAATTGGGACCTATTTGAAAAGGTTCTTGACTACACATATGCCAAAGTAATCCAGTCAGAATCGCAGTATCACCCAGTATTATTCTCGGAGTGTTCATGGAATGTCCGTTCGAATCGTGAACGACTCACCGAATTGATGTTCGAAAAGTATAATGTTCCCGCATTTTTTGTCGTTAAAAATGCAGTACTGGCTGCATTTGCCAATGGAAGAGCAACGGCATTGGTTGTTGACAGTGGTGCTACACACACATCGGCCGTTCCAGTTCATGTGAGTTATTCCATTTTCATTCATTCATTTGAATCCATTTAAGTTTGACTATTCCATTCGATCCGATCCGATTGACTTACAAAATTTATGTATTCATTCCACATTACAGGAAGGATATGTCTTGACACAGGCTGTAGTGAAATCACCACTCGGCGCAGACTATTTATCGTTGCAATGTCGCCAACATCTCGAAGCACAAGGTATCGATCTGACGCCAGCATATATGATTGCCACAAAAGAATCAGTACGTGAACGCGAACCACCACGGTTTACAGTTAAAAAGCTCCCAGACAATTTGACAAATTCATGGCAACAGTATATGCTAAAGGGTTTAATGCAAGACTTCCAAATGTCAACGGTACAAGTACTCGAAGTGCCATACGACGAACGTACGGCTTCACAAATTCCATCCGTACACTATGAATTCCCTACTGGTTATCATCAAGATTTTGGTTGTGAGCGTTTTAAATTGGCCGAAAGTCTATTTGATCATACCATGCTCGGAGCCGGCCAATTGGCCTCAACTAGTGTTGGCATGTGTGACACAGATGTACGCATGTCACTATACGGTTCTGTTGTCATTACCGGTGGGAATTCTCTGCTACAGGTTAGATACCAGATTTTTTTTTATCTAGATGAATTTTTCTTCGGCTATGGACCATCATATCATTTTTGATATTTTTCATGCTTTTTTTAGGGTTTCCCTGAGCGCTTGAGTCGTGATTTATCGCTGCGAGCACCGTCTCAAGTTCGTTTGAAATTGATTGCTGCCAATGGTTCGGTCGAGCGACGTTTTGGTGCATGGATCGGTGGCTCTATACTGGCTAGCATTGGCACATTTCAACAAATGTGGATATCTTCACAAGAATATGAAGAGTCTGGAAAAAGCCAAGTCGAACGAAAATGCCCATAATTGACGATCAATAGTAATAATTTTCATCGAATCCAGTTTGCCGATTAAGCTATCGGTGCATTTCTACATATTTTTTTTTTCGTAAACTATTTTCTCCGAAACACACCCAAAAATTGTAATTTTACTCAAAATTAATAAAACAGACCATACTGAATTGCAATTGCATGTATGTGGTAGTAATATTTAATAAATCAAACAAAAAAAATTCAACTGAATAATGACACAAATTAAGAAATTTTCCTGCGATGTGAATTATTCGGTTATCATGTTTTTTTGTCTTTCTCGTTTGATTCCAGTAGAAATGTAGATGACCACAAAAATATATAAATGACCCATAAAACCTATGTGCAATTTAGAAAAAAAAACAACTGAAAATTGCTTGTTGACCACAGTTGTACTGATTTGTCGTTTGTCGGTTCACGTAACTTTGGGTATTGCAATGGTTTTTGAATAATCTAGAAAGTTGATTACAATTTGTTGATTGTGTCAGCTTACAGAATTGATGTGATTATCAAAGGATGGTCGTAAGTGAACGAACAAAAAAAGCAGTTGATTATTCATAGACATCACAGATAAGCGTGAGGCGACGGTATTTTTAGTCTATCTTGCATTTTGTGGCTTCTCATTCGTTGGTTATTCGAGAGATAAACGCAACTTATGAATCAAATTGCCTTTAAATAATATACATTGAATTTGAATAGACATATCATCTAGAGAATTCGTGTCATTCCCGTGCTTTCCGTGCCATCGAAATTTTTTGAGTCAGTGCAAAATGAGTGCTGCTGCGAAACCACCAATTTCGACGCATATACTGGATACATCCAGAGGTCAACCAGCAGCTGGTGTAAATGTAAATAATAATTTTCTACTATTGGTATCAATACATAATTATTTCAATAGTTATTTGGAATTGCATTCAAAAGGTTTCACTCTATCGATTAATCGATGGAAATTGGGTTCTGATCACGGAATCGGTCACAAATTCCGATGGACGCTGTGCAGATCTACTACTTCGGACCGCATTCCAAAGTGGACGCTACAAACTCTATTTTGACGTTGAGAAATATTTTAAAAGCATTCGTTCCTCAACTATGTATCCATTCGTTGAGGTTGGATTTTAATTTGCAAAATATTTTGTCGCACTGTTTATTTGATGAACAATTTCACACTAATTCATGTTTATTTACCAGATAACATTCGATTGCTTGGAGCAAGAAAGTCACTATCACATACCGCTACTTTTGAACCCATATGGTTATACTACATACAGAGGATCTTGATTCAACTGAAATGACTGCTATTTTTTTCTTTTGTTGTTGTTGTTTCTTTATTTGATCAATACAGACAACGTTTAATAACTATTTAAATAATAAAAGTTGTTTGTCAAAAAAAATATATATCAAATCGTTTATCACTTGTTCATCGTTGACTTATTTCATCTAGAAATTTTATTCAGTAGCTAAATTGATTGACGAGTGCGTTTGGTCCCAGTTAATGCATGAATCCATTTGGATTTCATTCAAGAGATTTTAAAACAAGCGGCTACTTTATTCTTTTTTCGCCTTTATTCCATTTGTTGCTGTGTTTCTCGATTTAAATCGGGTTTGATGCGTGAACGGTCGATATAAAAGTGGGGACAATGAATTCACCAAAAAAATAAACAGAAAAATTATGTAGATGTTAGCTGTGTCTCTTTAAATTAAAAGAGAATGTATAACTCAAGTCAAGGTTTTCCCTTTGTTTAGCAATTATATGAGGTTTAGCAGCGGAATTGAAAACATGAACTTTGTACCGGCTTTACATGCTGTAAATGTGTTGATACACTTGTAAATGCTGGTCATGTTTTTTACGATGCAAAAGAAGGCAATTCGAAACCAAAATATACAATGACAACGCACAAGTGTGGAAGACACAGATATGTGCATACTTGACATAATGTTCAACACATAGACACGAATACGAAACTGAAACGAAGTGTAACCCATACATTGAAAAATACAAACAAAGAACACATGCTCGAGCGCATATACAGCGTCATTTTGGAATACGCACAGTCTGCTTGTTTTTTTTTGTATATATTTCAATTGATTTTGTTAGCGTGTTCGCTTATAGTCCTTTGTTGTGTTGTGCTGTAGTTGATTTGTATTCATTCTGATAACAACGTTTCGACTAAAATCCATCGTACTTTCATAAACAAGCAAAGGGAAGACATATATCAAATTTTTTTTATTTAAAAAAGGTATATTTATACTTGGAAATTAAATCAAAATAGAATCAACGAAATTATGATAACCCCGAGAAATATTTGTAATTGATTCGAATTTCTTGAATTATTTATTCGCACCACTCAGCGACACCATTTCTATAACAAAATTAATTTTACATTCTTGTTTCAATCATTATCAAAATAAAACGTGTGCGGAAGAGTACCAGCTCACCTTCAATCATCAAAAACCTATCTCGCCTCTTTTAATTAACAGCATTAAACAAAAATTTTGTTTTTCTCTCAGAATCAAAGAAACATGGAAAATATGTTAAAAAATTTTGTGAATGGAATTACTGGGGCTGACAACCGAAGAAAAAGCCTTATAGCTCAATCATCGTCGTCATCGGTAGCAGCATCAGCAGCATCATCATCATCATCATCATCCACCAGTATATCCCTTCCAAGAGAGGTGCCAAGAGCGGACAAACAAACTGAACGTAATTTTAGCGGCAATAGTAATAGGTATCTTAGCAAAATGGAAACGACAAGGAATCGAACCGAGAGTGAAAGTAGCAACGCATCGATGTCATCTATGTCGTCTATTGGCTCACAGAAAGACAAGGACTCATATTTTTGGGTGATGTGAGTAAAATTTACAATTAATTTGCTTTACAATCATTTAATAATATTATAATTGCCTGCAAAAAGGTCTTTTTAAAGATAGTCGACTGTATGGAGTAAATGCAAACCAAAGCAGAATGCAATTAATTTGAATGGACAATACAAAGTGATATCGTTTCTTTTCATTGTTAAACTACTTTGTTCTTCTTTTTTTTGTCTCATATAAAATAATCGTCTCTAAGGGTTATTCAAGTCACATCAAGAGATAGAAATGTTTACGAATCACGCAGTCAACCAGTTACGATATCAATATTTTAAGAATAAACTTGATATAATGTACTTTTGTTCTAAAGCAGCCGCTACATCAACGGGCAAGACTGTTGTTTTCCCCACCATAATCACATTTGTTTGTCATTGACAGCTTCAAAATTGTTTATTTTATTCTGTGTTTGCTGCTTCACCTAAAACACTTTGTTTTATACGTGAGAACTGAGATTCAAGCAGGAAAAAAATTTCATTGAAAGTTTAATATTACACAGTAAAACTTATTCACACTGATTATTATCGGTAAATTTAATCACATTATTGTATGTGCAACAAAAAATGCAATAATTGCAGTGATAGTGATAATTTGTTTAATTTTTTTTTCCAGGTGGCATTCCTGAGTCATTCACTCCAGAGTCGATCGATTGTTAAAAAAAGCATAGTTCATAGTACGAATACTGGATTAGTGTGTCGATTCACAATTGCCGAACAGCTATCACCAAACGGACATGCTTCCTTTCGAAAATGGAGAAATGCCAATTTGGATTGATGTTTTATGGTTTACAATCGTATTAATTATGGCTCCCGTACTTTTTTTATTGACAATGGCAATAAGCGAATTGCCCGTTCTTCTTTTTCGTATGATGCGATTCAAAACCAATTGATTAAACAAACAAAAAAATGATTGTTTCAAAACAAAATTTATTGATATTCAAAATGAATAGGACATATCTGGTTTCGTTTCTCTCTCTCTCACACACACACACACACATACCAGTCAATAATAATTCATTGAGGGCCTTGAATGTAAAATAGATAAGTCTCTACCATAAAAATAAAACTGTGTGTCAAAAAATCAATCACCAATTTTTTAGAGTAAGATTTTGTACTAGAATTAAAATTAATAAATATAAGCAGCTAAATTGTTATTGACTTTTATTTATATGGTTTGTAAATCTGAACTGTAATTGTTCATTATGCAGTTTGTAATGACATACATATTTGAAGTATTGGTCAATCAAATAAAAAAACTTCTTTCGAAGTAATTCCTCGTGACGAAAGCGAACACAAAACAGCTGATATCAATTTTAAAAAATTATTACGGAGCGATTCTGAAATTAGTTGGAAGAATGCAAAAAAAGCAAATCCAAATCGCTCCGAAATAATTTGTTGAAATTGATATCAGCTGTTTTGTGTTCGCTTTCGTTACGAGGAATTACTTCGAAAGAAGTTTTTTTATTTGATATCAGTTGTTTTGTACCCGAAATTTTTTTTCTCAACAAAACCAACTAACCCTTAACAAACACAAAGTGGTGTGTATTGAGCCAAAGAAAATGAAACATGAAATGTTGTAGTTAAAAACCAGCATTGTCGCCTTTTTGAATAAAGCAAAATCAGCGCGTAGGTGGGAAAGCAGACTCATGAGCGTGTGTACTCGAGTTCAGATCGCACGCCGGAGGAAAAAAAAATTTTAATTTTTTTTTCGTTTCATAAAATTTGCTAGAAAATTTGGTTTTTGGACAGACAGATGAAATTACATTTTGTTTTGATGAAATTACATATCGCTTTTATACTAAGAAACTCACATGTTTAGTTTTTTCATGATGAATTTTTTTGATTTTGATTTTTCAATGAAAAGTACTTTTTTGTGTTTTTTGTTGATTGCGTGGAATAAAAAGACTTGGTGAGGGGCTGGTATCTGAAGGAATTTTATTAATCTGAACGCGAAAACACTTTGGTTATGGTTTTGCCATTGTTAACGGCAACAAAAATGAGTTTTAGATGATTTTTGTCGATTTTTCATGTTTTTCCAACTTCTAATTGCTATATCTCGAAAAACAGAGTTTTGGCAGATATAAGCTATATGTCAAATTTTAGCTCTAACTTGGGGCTATATTTGAGGCAATTTTGAAAAAAATCGTCGGAGCCGTTTTGAGAAAATGGCCGATTTATGTAAGGCCAGGTGACCATTTTTTTGGGTTTCTGCCCATAAGACCATGTCCACTCAATTTTTTCAAAATAGAATTGATGTCATTTGATAGCTGGCCTCAAGACCTTTCCAACGATACCCAAAAGTCTGAAATCGGTTGACTGGGTTAGGCACAGTGATCATTGGAAAGAAGGCCATATTTTGAATTTTCGAAGGCCGGCCAAGGCCAAGATGGCGGCCAAATCAAAAAATGTCGGAACAAAAAAGTCTTAGTTTTTGATATACTTCAATGCTTGAAAGTTTAAAAAAGATCGGGCAAAAAGTACGGACGGACGGACAGACAGAAAAAATATAATCTCAGAATAATTGATGGAGACGCCAAAGAAATTTTTTAAATTGTCATAACTCATGAACGAATGGTCCAATTTCGACGTTCTTGGGCTTTTTGGAAAGGTCTCGACGAGTAGACTCAAAACATGTTTCAAGATGAACGGGCCGCGTTTAACACCCGGTAAATGGGAAAAACTGATAATTGTACATAATTTTCAAGTGGCTATTTCTATGGAGGCGGTTGGTCGATTCGCAAGTTTGAATGCATTTTCTGGGCTATGAACCAGGGCCTTTCTAGCGATACTTCATTCATACCAGATGGCCTCTCAGGAAAAAAGTTCGAAATTGCGTGTATATATAGGCGAGTTCGACTTTCAGCACAGAGACGCTTTCGTCACTCGCGCCTGCTGTCGCCGGCTGTGATATGTGTCAATGTGCGTTGCAACTGTTTCAATAGCAAATCACGAATTGTAGTCATTCAGCTCTTGATCTCCTCTCAGAAGAAATACTCGTAGACGTGCCCATATTTATTATTAACTTGCACAACGAATACCGATAACCAGTCGTAATATACGAGCATTTAAACTTTGCAACTTTGCATGTTAATTGACTTTACAAGTGCGCAAATAGTATACTACTGATCATATGATTTTTTTCCAAACATGGCTCCAATGAAAATTGTGCCGTTTTTTTCCTCGTCTTTTCCAATTATTTGGTGGAAAAAAAATTTGTTCACGCATATTCATTTCCATGCATATTCACTGGAAACTATTTAGAATCTATCAACTCAGCAATCGTTTCTATGGTAACTTCAATTGAATTTCCGCCTGTTGTCACAGTTCGCTGTAAATTGTGCAAGTTTTGTCATTTGAAAGTAGCGACTATATTTTTTTCCTGGGTAACCTAAAAGATAATAGATCTTTGAAGGCAATGACTGACAGAAAAGGCACCCTGAAGTCAGATAAGCCGAAATGGAAAAGCACGGTATGTGAACAGAAAAAAAAGTGTTAAAACTTTTCGTCGCATTTATTTTGGTTTGAACTTTTTATTTTACCTTCTGGCTCGTTTCGAACTGCTGAAAATGTACATACAAATGTACTATGTTATATTCGTGCACTCATTCAAAACCAGCTTTATGTAGAACTGCAGCATAGCCCAATGTATAGCCGTATCGTGTCAAAGTTCGATTAAACATAAAACTTAAACCTTTTCAGCAATTTGATTCGAGTTAAGTTAATAACGATTTATGTAATAACTGAACTAAACTGAAAAGATTAGCAGTTAGTTATTTTACAGACTCGAAATCCAATCAAATATAAAAAGACCGAGAATTTCTCGTGGTAAGTGAGAGCAAAACCTACACTATGAACTGCATTGCGGAAGTTTTCTTCATTCTAACTTTCAATCGTAAAATGACATCTAACCACTAAGGCACCGATTCAAAGTCAATTTGAAATGTTGTGAATTGATTGTAATTTTGCATGTATATTGTACAAATTGAATGTATTTTTTTCTTTCTTTGCCACAATGGCGAGAAGAATTTCCCAGGTATGTGTTTCTTTAGTTCATTTCCAACTGATGAACTTCTATTTATGTGTTTCATTTTTGCACTACCGACTTGATACGTATCATTTCATGTTTGAGCTATTTTTTCTTTGGAAACAGTTAACATTGATCAGTATGGCTACAAGTCACTCCTGATTTGTCGTCGGTGACAAATCAAAGTTTCATTGCTGATTTACTGATTCTCACGAGTCAAGAAATTGCCATGCATTCTATAGCCAGTGCAATGGTAAAACTTCCAAAAAAAGAGAACTGAGCCGGTTTCTCTGTTGTTAATTTAAACTTTTTCGCTAGCATGTAGTTCATTTTGTAAGCTCACACGCAATATATTTGCATTACATTACCTGGTTCCAAAATCAAATTGTTCTCACTGATTTTAATTTTTTTCAAGCCAACATTTAGTTGTGGCAGAGTCATTTGACAAAGCATGAGCTTAACCAGTTCAGATTCGCCCGTACCAATTCCAGTGAGAATATTGCTTCTCGATTTATGTCCAACTTCGAAATTCTTTCGCAATCAGTTTCCATAAATCAAATCGAATCGAATTATTGTTTGTATTGAGTCATTTCAAAACCTATTCAAAATTATCGATTCAATATTTGATTGTTCACAGGGAATTTGGAAAGAACAATGAAGATCTTCATTTAAAAATAAAAGAATTTCTCGGTTTGATTTTTTATAGATAAGGTACACCCAAAGAAACACTGTCCTCGACGGACTCGGTGATAAATCTGATGACTATGAGTATTGGCTGCGCTTCCAAAAGCCACTCCGGCCCGATGATCAACTCGATTTAATAGAAGCAGAGCTTTCCGAAGAAATCACCAAACATTTGGACACCGAACACAAAAATTTTCCCAAAAATTTAGTTATATACAGTTTCAAAGAATATGGCTACGTACCGGTACAATTATTTGTTTTTATTCAAATGATCGTTTGATCTGGGTTAGATGCACTCTAATGTCATCAATTTTATATGACATTTTCATGGCTAGCTTCCACCACCGTCCAATATTGGTGTACTGCTGGAAATTGAAGGTAATTCCGTACCCATTGAATGTGATGCGGGAGAAAAACTAGCTGAGGATGTCGGAGCAGGTATTCAAATAAATTCATATTCGGTTCGAAGCACTCTAATGCCACTCAATATTAATTGAAATATGGAACATTTTGACATTTTTTTACGACACATTTTTTTCACTGTCGTGCAATACATATTACAATTAATCGATGATAAAAAAAAAATAGGCATACCACCTCCGGTTGATGGTGCTCAGTCAGACGGCGATACCGTTGATACAAAATCAAAATCAACTGAAATCGACACAAGCACCACGGGTGCCGTTGCAGACGAAGTAGATAACGACGAAATCATTGGTAAAAGATGCAAGATTCTTGTTGTGACCTTTTTTGTTTTTGTAGCCGTCGCTCACTTGAATTTTTTCCAACAAATCCAAACGATAAGGTTTGGTTTTTGATTTTTTGTTTTGTTCTTCTTTTTTTTGTTAATTCACACCAAACACAGTCGGTATTCAGAACTTAGATGATGTACCCACTAATCAAAGCACCATCGAAGACAATGTTGATGAGATAGTTGGTAAATTGCAATAGATAAATGTTGTTCAATATCACAAAGAAACCACACACAACTCAATTCTTTCATAATTTCAATTAGACACCGATGATGCTTCGACAAAAGTCACTGATGCTTTGAACGTTGACAACGGTGATGATTTGTTTTTAAATTTTATTTTAGTGTTGTCAATGTGTACACTTAACAATTAAATTAAAATAATTAAATGTTGGCACTAATCATCAATGATTGATTGATCCATGTGCAAACATCACCACCGGTATTGAGGATGGTAATACCGGCATTTTGAAAAACTAATTTTTTTTTTGGTATTTTTGTGTCACAAGTTATTTTGCGATTCATTTTTTTTACTGGATTTTGAATGAACATGGCACATATTCATTAAATATGCATATCTCATTAACAAATTTAATTCCAGTGTTCTCCAGTAGTATCTATTTTCTAATCTGGATAAGTTCTTTTGATCTGTCACTATATTTTAGACGATGACGATATATTAACCAAGCAACAGCCGATTCAGGAGGCAGAAAAGAAGAAAAAATTGATCAATCAGTTCAATTATTGTGAACGTGCCGTATTGACACTGAATAATCCACCCAGAAATGTTGAAACCCAGACGATTCCACCTCCACGCTCGACGTTCGGTTCGTACGTGCTTCAATGGATCATTTATGACTCATACGCCGAAGATTTTGAGCAAACCGAACGCGACAAAGAAAAGGAACGAAAGGTTTGAAAGGATATTGATTTGAAAAGCATTTTGGTTGAAGAAGCAAATATTTAAAGGTGAAACCAATATTTAGGCAGCAAGTGCGGTGATATCAGCTCAATCGAAACAATTTGATATTGTCAAGCGCACCGGAAAAGGTCCAATTAATGAAGAACTTAACCGAAATTATTTACGTTGCTGGCAAATTTTGGAACGAATGATAAACCAAAATATTTTTGATGAAATTGCGCTCGGTTGGTGAATTTGTCGCATTTCGAATGAAAACAAGAATTTAATGGTGAATATTTCTGGTTCTCAAGACTATCGATACTATGAGGATCCATCGGACGAGTTCCGAGATGAAGAAGGAACGCTTTTGCCTTTATGGAAATTTCAGTATGAAAAAACGAAAAAAATGAATGTGACCGACATATGCTTCAACACAATGCATTATGACCTGTTTGCTGTTTGCTTTGGATCATGTAGGCTATATAAACGTGAAATTTATCTGTATGTTTTCTTATGTGCTGTTGGAATGATTTTTTCTTTGTTTCTGGCTACTTTTTGAAGTTGACTTCATGAAGCAATTGCCAGAAGGACTAGTGTGCTTTTTCACGATCAAAAATCCCTCTTATCCGGACTACATAAGTAAGCGATTTCACATTTCTATAATAGAAATTGTGTGTTCATTTTTTTCATTTCCTACAAAAGTTACAACCGAAAGTGGAGTTATGTGTTGCGACATTCATCAAAAATATCCGTATTTACTGGTGATTGGTATGAAGATTAAATTGTAAGATTGGTGTCTGGAATTCACAATCATGATAATGAATTATTTTTAAATAGGCATGTTCGATGGTAACGTAGCCGTTTATAATCTGGAATCGAATCCAACAAAGCCGATGTACATATCGCGCGGTACTGACGGCAAACACTCAAACATTGTGTGGGAGGTGAAATGGGGTGCCGATATTTACGATGGTGAGCTAAATTTTTATTCAATTTCGGCCGATGGAATGATCTATAATTGGGTACTGATGCAAAGCCAATTGAGTTTGACAACCATTACCACATTGTTTGTGAATCAAGAAATATCTACAGGTCCCGACGGCAACAGTGTTAAACTCAAAGGTGAGCTCAACATACCTGGAGGTGTCTTTTCTGTTCGCAAACAATTGAAGCGATCTTTTTCTCTCTTTAGCTGCTGGGACATGCATGGCATTCCACCCGAAATTGTCAAATATCTTTTTGGCTGGATCGGAGGAGGGTCAAATTTTCAAATGCAGCACCGAATTCAGCTCGAGATATTTGATGAGCTACAATGCACATTACCTGCCAGTTTATCATATTGACTTTAATAAATTTAATTCGAATATATTCGTGTCGTGTGCGGCTGATTGGCGAGTTAAAATTTGGGAAGACATGCGAAGGTTTGTATCTTTAAATAATAAACGAATTTGGATATGAAAAGGAACTTTTGAACGTTTTGTAGCGAGCCATTGTTCATATTCGATCTGGGCGCAAGCGTTGGTGATGTTAAATGGGCACCATATTCTAGTACAGTCCTAGCAGCATTGACAACAGATGGCAAAGTATTTGTTTTTGACATCAATGTGAATAAATACAAGCCAATATGTGTGCAGCAAGTGGTACCTAGGAAATCGGTGCGTCTAACTCGGATTGCGTTCAACAAACGTATTCCATTTATCATTGTTGGCGATGACAAAGGAACCGTTACGACATTGAAGCTCTCTCCGAATCTGCGGCTCAAAGAGAAACCACCGAAAAAAGGTCAGAATATCGACCAAAGTATGCTTCAAGTCCAAAAACTAGATAAATTGTTATCTTTAGTGCGTGAGCTGCCCGAAGACACGGAACAAGCCGAAAAGGATAGCGACTCATCCGATTCGGACTCTTAATCACCTATAAAAAAGTGGAAAAATTATCATGAGAGTTTAAATAAAGTGAAGGCAAAATATTTACGTTGTATTTTATTTGAATGATTTGACAATGATGATAGTAACAATGGAGATTTAAACAATTTTTTTAATTTTCAAAAAGTCACGAACATTATTTGGGCTCATAACATTCTTATTCAAAAATATGACGGTCGACATGGGATGCAGAAATTCGGCCGAAAATTCAACAGATTTCCATCCGAAGAATCCATTGGCACGAACACGATCATTTACCGTGATAAACGGCAGTAAATTAATACCGATCTGATTTTGTTTGGAATATTGCACGCGAAAATATTGACCCTCGGTCGCTTTTATCCAGTAAAATCCCAAGCTATCGATCACAGGCCGTGTTTGAGCTTTTTTCAAAAACGACGAACGATCCAAATCAAAACTATTGAAACTAATATCAATTTCATAGGCATCAGTTGTCAATTGACCGGTTTCAATAGCCGATTTCAATGCAAAATTATCTAGCCAATAGCGAATGCCAACGTTTTCCAGCTCTTCGAGAACATGGCCGAAGACAGACTTTAGTTTCTCCAGACAACAAGGTGGAGTGTTTCGCTCCAGATACACATAGAACGGTTTTCGGTCGAATACGCTTCCAATGCAGCTTTTTGTCCCTTTTTCGCACCCGAAGAATTCGATATTCGTCAAAAGTGGTAGCGATGTATTCGATAAAATGATTGTTTCATTGGGCATTGAATTGCTAGAGAGTTGTGACTTTTTTTCGTGTTGCTTGTGTCGGTCGATTTTTGCCATCGACTTACCCGCGTACTTTCGAACCACTTTCTTTATCATCATCAGCTTGTACATTTTTTTAAATTGTTGTTTTCGTATTTCCTTCTTGCGTTGCTTGTTGTGGAACGCGGTAAATAATCGCTTCCCATCTTGCAGCAATGATGTTTCAAAGAAATGTAACTGTGGCAAATACACAAAATACCATTATTACCTATTTGTTTGGATATTACGTGGTTTTGTCAGTTTTTGGCGCATTGTACCTTTGCTTTACACATTTTGGCCTGTACATAGAAAAATTCGGGAAATGGCGATGAAAGCGGATCTGGCATCATTTTCAGTAAATTTGTGTCCACAAGAATTGCATGTTTTTGTAGAAACTGGAGAAATCACAATTAGAATAAAAATCATTAGAATTGAAACCAATTAATTTTGGAAATAATATTTTCATACCATATCACAATGCTGAGTATTATTTTTCACACTGTATTCCATGGTCCAATTGGTAATATCAATGTTTATGCGACAACAGTTGCTCATTGTCTTGACATTTGATACGAATGGAATTATAACAATCTTCTTATTAATGGATTTGCCGAAGACTTTGTTCCTTTCGTTTCTAATGGTGAAACCTTCATTGTTGTCACCTTGTTGAACACTCGTGCTTTGATCGGCTGCTGATGCTGAACCAACCGCATTATTGTCATAATTGTGATTTCTCTTGACATCGGCGGCAACGGAATCGGTGGCAATCACAGCCACATCTTTTTTATTTGATTCTTTCTCAATTTCTAGCAGAATTTTTTGGAAAAATGACGACCGTATCTTATCTTTATGATCTTTCTTAAAACGAAAACTATCTGGAACGAATAAAACGTGGCCAGTTTTGATTTGTAGAAGTGGCGACAGGGCTCTGGACGTTTTGCGAATGTCAAAGTTTAAATTGATAAACTTAACATTTGGATGGGTGGTGGTGTAATTAGCTACAAAGCTAAGCGGTGGATATGGCTCGTCTTCATAACAGACGAGAATTTGAATGCTTGGAACCAAATTTAAAATATTGTCAATGGAATGTTGCAAATCATTTTCGAAATGATAAAAGTCGCGGAATATGATTGTTATTGCTTTTTTAATGTGTCGATTTGTTTTGTCCTTTTGCCTATTCACACCGTTCACTAGTTTCGAAGAAGCAACTGTTGATGCTTCATTATTTGATTCATTGGATAAAAACCATTTCCATGTATAAAAAATTAAAATCACATTCACTAAAAACACCAAAACGGTTATCAATTTGGTACACTTCAAGCGCACCATTTTTTCTCTCTCTCTATTGGGTTAAGATTATTTAGTCTAACTGATTTTTTAAAAGTTTCACACTTAATTTTGTCATACTAATTCTGGAGATTTTTATGTTATCACTGTTATTTTTCATACGGAATAATTTACATGTTGATACTTCAAGAGATTGGTTCTATTATTCGTCGTTCTCACAAGTCCGAACACAATCAAATATACCATTTTCCCCGAAGTTCGGACCGAAATTCGTATTCAGCCCGTATTTTATAAACAAATTCGCAACCTCTCACTCCTACGTACACACATACAGTATCTCATTGCGAGTTTACGGAATTAAAAACTACAGAATTGCCATTCATGCAATGTTTCACCCAAAATGGAAAATCAATAAAGCTTATCACATGGAAAAACAAGGAAATTTCAGTACATGCAGGAGCAGATGGAGACGCCATACATATATAAGTACTGTTCGGATTTTTAGAAGAAAATAAATGTGTTGTAAAATCATTCATGTATGAATCATCGTTCGATCAGTGAAAGTATACAAATTAATAATTTGAATTAATTTTAATTCCGTCATTATTGTGATGGCTTCCGATGAACAAAATCGAACAGATTCATGTGAGAAATTACCGTTGATTTGAACTTTTAGCGCCAAACACATCACATCACATTTCTCGTGTGAACGTCTCAAAAATGTGTGCGCGGCCATCTTTAATTTGTGTGACAAGTGTCACTTTGTCAAGAAATGTAAGCATGCCGTCTCCAAATGTCATATTTATGAAAACATATTTTCACACACGGTTAACTATCGACAGTCTTAATGAATAATTTGTTGCTTTAAATTTAAAAAAATATAAGTATTTCGTTTATTTTTTTCGCTCCAAATTTGCACTTGAGAGGAAAGTTGAACGACAGACGCAAAAATGGCTGAATTTGTTGAATATCGGATGGAACGCACGTTGCCCGAGTATGAGCAAATGCGAATACTGAATTTGTTTACACACGAGGAAATTTTGTAAGTAAATTGTTTGGTTGCGACGCGAATAATAGTTTAACTTCATTGGACTGCTTTGATTATTTTACAGAAAAATGAAGAAGGCACGTGAAAATTTTGAATACCGTTGCACACAGCCGTCGCGAGATATAAAGGATTTTGTCGAGTACATAAAGTATGAGCGAAGCGTAATCGGTTTGACAAAGCAGAGATCCAAACTGTATAAGTTGACTCAAAATCACACCATCGCCACTCTGATTGCGGGCCGCATGAAACAGCTCTATGCTCAAGCCCTATCAAAATTCCCGCATAATTTACGTTTCTGGGACGAATACATCAAGTTCTTGCAACAGTTCAAATTCACAAAAGATATACCGGCCACATTCGATCATATGCTACAGGTGAGTTCAAGCAAATGGCATCCGATTGATCAATGTGAAAAAAAAAGAAAAATGTTTGATTTCCATTTTGATCTACACAGTTTCACAGCGACAAAGCTGATGTTTGGATTCGGGCAATTTTGTGGGAATACAATGAAAATTACAGCCACGAACGGGTGAAAGGACTCTTGTTACGCGCTCAACACCTTCATCCCGAGTCACAAAAATTATACTTGACATTTTTCCAAATTGAATTGGAGAATAAACGCGAGGCCGACGAAAGTTTAGCATTACAACACGCGCAAATCGTTTACACAAACGGCAAAAAGACATTCACGAATGTAACGTTTTACATCGAAATGCTGAATATCGTTGATAAATTCAGTTACGCAAACTCAATTCAACACATGATTATGAATGATTTGCGCGAAATGTTCCAGCACGAGGAAATAATGTGGCATACATTGGCGCAACGTGAATTAAACGACTTGTCCACCGATCAATTCATCAAACTAGAAAATGAAGATAATGCGATGGACGAAGATTCATCACGTTTAACGGCTGTCCAACATTCACAAAGAAAACGCATCGAGAAATGTGTTGAAATTTACCAAGAAGCTGTCCAAGTGGTGAATACGGCCAAAATGTGGACTTATTATATAAATGCGATGCTTGCACTCAATAATGATACGTCGTCGGCAGTGACTCAAATCGGATTGAAACGCTTTTCACTGAGCCAGGCATTTGAGGGAGCCAACAATTCGAATCAAATGTCCGAAACTCATTATTTACAGTACATTGAATTGCTGTATTCGAACAATCCCAAGGACGAAAATATTGAGCAAGTATTGCAGAAAGCGACGAAAATGTTTGGAACGTCGGAAAGCATTTGGCTCCAGTATTTACGCTACTATATTCAAGCAAACAATTTCAAAAAGTTGAAGGAGATTTTCAAAACGGCCAAACTTCGGCTTGGCGCAACAAATGGCTCGGAAGTGTGGGAACTCTACTTGATTTACTTGAAATCGGTACAAAGTAATGAGGCGAACAGCGAGTTTGAACGCTTGATTTCGGAGGTGGCATGCCAGCCGCATCGAAGTTTCAATGTTTTAAAAGCGCACATTCTAGAATTACTAGCTACAACTGTAAGCATGAAACGTGCTCGTAAGACATATCTGTTGTTCATAAAGCACTTTCCCAGTTGCTATGAGGTTCATGAAATGATGGCCGAATTAGAAGCAAAACAGGTACGAACAAACCAATTCTTGCAAACTGTTTTAAAATTCAAATCGCTAAACATTTCTTTTATTCATTTATTTTTCTGCATTAGTTGAAGCGCGACTTAGATTCAGAGCGACATTGCCTGGAAATGTTGATATTGAATTTCGGAAAAACGAGAACCGATGTTTGGCTGCGGTATATGCGTTTTGAGCGAAATGTTGGCGAACCGAAGAACGTAGGCAGGTTGCATAAGAGCGCATTGGCCACTCTCAAACCGGAGCTGCTCGATGAATTCAGTGCTATGTACAACTTTTTCTCAAACGGAGATGTTTAGTATCATTTAAGTTGGTGCTCTCGTGGGGAATTTTAGAAATAGGTCCATTTGAAAATGAAAATCGTTTATGAATTGCCTTCGAAAAATAAACTTTTTATTTTTGATTTACATTTATTACATTAACTGGTACTCGTTAAATTCTATTTTCCATTTCATTCTCATTTTGATTCATAATTTGGTGAATGAATTTGAATTCTGTAAGCTGCTTAATCAGACAAAAAAGTATTTTGGTGTGTCGTAGTTTCTCCTTTTTCTTCTTCATCTTCTTCTACACCTGTTTCTCTTATCGAAAAATATACATATTTTTAATATGTGTGTTTTAAACTAAGTAACATCAATTATTTCTACGTTTCCGTTTTTGTGTTTTGCTGTGCCATTGTAATTGATGAATATTTCTTGCTTTTTTTGGTGGATTGGCATGCATCTCTTCACTGAGTTACTTGTTTATTTATTTATTTAAACTGCCTGTCCTGAGTCACATACTTCATAAATTTGTTAAATGTTGTCACTTGCTTATCATAAGTATTCGTTCCATTTTCTACTACATTTAATTTGTCGGCAACACCACTTCCCCCAAAAAAATTAAAATTTCAAACAAATGCAAAGTGTGTATGTGTTTTTTTTAGCCTAAGTGTGTTCCAGTGAAGTAGTATGATTATGATTATCCAGGTACATGTATAGCCTTTTCCTTGAACTAAATGGCAAAATGTCAACTCATCAATAGAGATCTCAACAAAAAAAACGACAGAGACAACACCGTGGAAACAAATATGAAGTTACCTTGTCAAGGAAGTTGGGACAAAAATTGCACGGAACAAAATCGTTGCTATCAAATCGTTCAATAACGTCATTATATAGTTGATGTTTCTTTTTTGTAAACACACACCCGGATGTGTCGTTTTTGGAATTTTTGCGAACTTCGACGTGTAAAGCTGGAACATTGCACAGATTCGTCCCCGGAATTGAATGGAAGAAGAATAGCATGCATTTCATGGGCATATAAGACAGCGACTTCCTTTTGCGTGGTGTCCTTTTTCCACAAAAAAATAGCAAAATTACGGAAAATTAGTTTCAGTCAGAGCGTGTCCCAGATAGGGCGCAAGTGGTGCGCTGCACCACGGCGCTCGGGCGCACGAGCACTCAAATTTGTGCATACTGGCAGACAACTTGGAGCGCTAAGCCAAAGGCGCTCAATTGCTCAAATTGTCCAGAAATTTGTAGAAAAATTCAGGCGCAGAGAGTGCCGAAAGCGTTTGATCAGCTTTGTGAGAATAAATGAAAAATTTCGCCGAAAATTTAGGGCGCTTGAGCGCTCTATTTATATATGTTCTATTATGGAAAATTGGAAAAAATGGAACGCTCAGAGCGCTTTAGTTCCGCGATTCATAAACAGGACATGTATAAAAATAAATGGAACAACGCTCGCGAAAAAGTAAATTTTGTTCATGATGACTTTTTTCGAGTGAGAATCTTCTCATTTGACTATTAGAATATTCAGCGTGAGATGTATTCAAAAGGGCGCCAAAATCGAAGAACATGATGTCCAATGTTCAAGTTACTAGATTATATTCAAGTGCCACTTGTATTTCAAGCGCCATTTTCCAATATCAAAATATAAACAATAAGATGTGTATAGAAGTGCATATTCAACCGATTACAAAATATATTCAATTATTGTAACTCTCAGTAAGCATGTGTATTCAAGGGCTTTATTTTTGAAATGACAAAAAATTGAGCTCGCGCGCATTTGGCGCGCTCGCAGTAATATATGATATTTTCAATGTATCTAAAACGCAAATTTTCAGTATCACATAAGGCAGATATCTTGCTAATTTCGTTGGATTTTTACTTTCGTGCGTTTCATATGTATACGAAACAGTGTATTGTAAACCATATTATGAAGTTCATACTATGAACAATGCCCAAAATAGCGTACAGAACTTTTCTAACAAGAAAGTAACTCATTTTGAGAAAATTTTTATTTTAATTATTTTCGTTCCTCCTAAGAAAAGGGCGCCCTGTCAATTTTGCACCAGGGCGCAAAGAGCGCACGGACAGGCTCTGGTTTCAGTTCAGATAAGGCAGAATTGAATATTCTTGACATTTTATGTGTAGTAATGAATGACTTCATCCTCCAATGTGGAAAGGCCAATTTGTCCGAGAAAATGATTTTTTTTTGCCAAAAACCAATTTTCCCTATTCTCACCATTTTTCGTGAAGAAAGGTCTCCACGCCAGAGGAAGTCACTGTCTTATATGCTTATGAAATGTATGAAATTCTTATTCCATTCGATTCTGGGACGATTTTGTGCAATATGCCAGCGGTAGACGGTTAAATTCGCAAAAATGCAAAAAATGACCCACCACTAATACACACCTAACATTCCTTAGTCCTTACATCAGCGCATAGATTAAAGCTGTAACGTTACATTATATACATATATTTGTATTTATTTCCTTCTCTCTCTTTGTGGACACAAAATTTACCCCCATTCACTTCCACCCACACGTAATGTTTTACTGCCAAAAATTTGTGAAGACAGTAAAATTAAAATTGTCTGACAAGAAAAACTGAACCCAGCTCCAACATTTGTGGGAAAAGAGATAGAATGGTGCTACATTTGGCCTGAGCTATGTGCAAACAACTTTCATTTCTGCATTATAATCTATTTTCTTTAAATTGGATCCGAAATGTTGAAGTTAATTTACAATTTCATTCATTTCTTTGTTATCTTTATCTTTTCTAAAATCGAAATACAAAACCTCAACATTTTTTTTTCTTCATCATCTTCCTTTTCTACTTTCTTCATCAAAGTGCATATAATATATTTACAGATTACTTTTTGAGAGTTTCAAAGCTTTTCATACTCCTTGTGTTTGTAGAATAATTCTAATGATAAAATACACCATTCATTTAGGCAGACACTTGTTTTTTTCCTTTTAGTTACAAGAAATTTACACATCTATTGTTCTTTTCTAATAAAATAAGTGTTAGCATATTTGTTTAAGGCGTACTCCAAACTATTTACATGGAATTGGTTTGTTGAAAGGAATTTTATTGTGATGATTTTTAATCGCTTAACCCGAATCCATCCCCAGCTACTGAATATAGAACCATTCTGCTATCTAGTGATATTGTCGGATCTAAAATTGCTCGAACCATTCTGTGGTTTCAGTATCTCAAACGGTTAATTGTGTTTTTTTAAAGTGATTTTTTTTCGATATTCTTCGAAATGTTCATTCGTCGATTTTGCACTGAAAACCACAAAAAAAGAAAAACCAGTAGAGGATTGAAAAAACTGAATGTGCTGACCTTTTTTTACATTCATAAAAGATATTTTGAATTTTTTTTTTTCAAAATCGGTGACATAGAATAATTGTAGGAGGATTCGGGTTAATGAATCAGTAGTGGAGAACTGAATCGGTGCGGATCAATGAGATCCGCTCCGACTCCGCATTGTATCAATTACGGAACCGCTTTCAGTTGATTTTACTTTACTTCGTGAAAATAAAAAACGAATAGCAAACAATCAAAATCATTGAAGGTAAAGCATAAATATCTATAAGATAGATAGTTATTCCATGGCGTTAAAATGAATTCAAAACGAAATTTTCTTCTGTGTGACATTTTGCATTTTGCATGTAACATGTTCCTATCTTATTGGTCAAGCCCGAAAGAAAATGTGAAATACGAAAAGAGGTAAAATAAAACAAAGTAAAACTGAAAACAAAATATTACCCAGTAATTCTGGAATTTGGATATTGAAATTGTCAAGTTGTTGTTGTTGTTGTTGTTGTTGGTATACTTTACGCCATAGTTTTCCAATTGGCATATTAGTTCAATGAATCAAAGAATCATATCGACAATCGATTCGATTCAGAATGCAATGTTCTGTGTTATTTATTTTGTTTTTATTTCCTTCAATTTAGGTTTTAAATAACGTAATATAATATTTTAGCCATGTAGAGCTTTTGTTGTTTTTTCTTTAATTTGATTTTGTGTTTTTTTTTCTTTTGTATGTGAGTTTGTGTAATTTTTGTCCAAGAAAAAGAAAATAAGGGAACGAAATATTTATAAACTAAAAATCAATTCTTCAATTTTGCTTGAAGCGATAAAATTATACAATTTTTGTGAAACAACAATATACAAAATATATCAATCCATTGTTGTTTGGTCTTAGATTGTTTTTGTTTTCGTTTTATTTTACAATTGCAAAAGTTTGATGCTTTATCTTGCCGTGTCATTCATATTTTTCATATTAAAAAAGGTTCAAACATTCTGAAGAGAGAAATGTGCCTGATTAATTTTCATTTTCAGGCAAAAAAAAAATTGTGTGAAAAATTGTCCAGTTTAAATTTTCTTAATAATTGCCCCAAGGAAGAAAAGAAGACGAAGAGATGAAAAGAGAATAGTAATAATACGTATTATCCAAGAACACATTGGAAAAAAGTAAAAGAACAAACATTTTCATTACCGAAGTGGACATTGGATGGTTTGTTATGCACTTAATTTTTTGAAATTGTATTTGCCAAATGTACCGAGCCGATGTATTGAATTTGGTTTTGCTTTCGAATAAAAATGGTGAAAACGAACAAAATTTTCAAAAGAAAGTTCAGAGCAATAAAAACAAACCAAAAAAAACTAAGCCAATCGCACGCGGCGTCCGCTCCAATTCAAATCATTTCATTTCATTTCATTTCATGTCTTTGTTTCAATCATGAACACATACACATGTCACGTACAATTTAAAAAGAATCCTATTTCTTATTCCGAAACCGGTTTCAAGTAGGCCTAATAGTTATTTTTAACTTTGTTTCTCACAATATTCAATTTGTTATTGTACAAAAATAAATATTTGAATTTTGATTTCACGGATTTTCCAACCGTTATTTCTTCAGAAGAATTTTATTCGATCGTTTAACATTTCATAGGGATGGGGGGGAGGGGTTGGGAAAAAGATATTTGGTGCAGATTTTTGTTGAGAGTATGGGTGGGTATGGATATTTGCCAATGTGGAATAGAGCGATTGATGAGCTACTACATTTCAAACATTGAGATATTGATATTGTATATGACAGAACCTCTCGTTATCCTGCATATATATACATATATATATTTCAGTTTTAGTTCATTAAACGAGGAAAAAATAAAACGTTTACAAAAAATAAATTGCTATTCCAATCCAAAAAAATTGATATTCGTGAACAAAAATTTAACATATCCGTAGACTTTTTTCAAAAATATATCGAGTTAAATTATTCTGAAAACACGTTTTAACTTATGTGTGAATGTGTTAGTGTTTTTAACAATTAAAATATTATCCTTGCTTAAATTCACATTATAACATAAATTTTCTTCATTTTATTTCAAATCATTATCTTTATTAACGTAGTTTTTATTTTTATTTTTATTTTATTTTCATATACTGATGCTGCTCTCTTGTGTAATGTGATTCGCTGAGATGTAATGGTAACAAATTTGTTTAAAGAATAGAATTCTTCTAAATTTAGTGTTTATACTTTCCATTTTGTTTCTTCTCGTATGTTTTTTTCTTGTTTACTTTAAATTTTGTTAAAGCTAAGGATGCTTTCAGTGCAAAAGCATTCATTTTATGTTCGGTAAATGTATGTAATAGTGCTTGGCAGCGTATATCAATCGAAATATGACGACCAAGCGCATCATTTTCTTCATTGTGGCTGTGAATTGGCATTTCTGCACTTTCGTTTATAACTGTGTTTGTTTTTTTTTGTTCAGAGCAATGAATTTGCTGGCTGCGTAGCCGCTGCTGTTCAACAGATAGTTTCCAAGAGCGGTTTCCAACAGCGGCTGTTGGGTGTATTTCTATGCATGCAACACACTGTAAGCCTTGTGCACCAACAATAACCCGCATGAACATGCACAAACTTAGTACACACATAGCTCCGTTTGTTTATATGAGTTGAAGCACAAGGTTTACAGGGCAAGGTTCACATGCATAGAAACGCAACTAACAGCCGCTGTTGACAGTAAATTAACATCTCTGTTTTTTTTCTACTTTTCATTCATTTCATTTCAACTTAAAGCAAAAAATAGATAAGCAATAATATGTATAGTTATTTTTAACTAATTTATTCAACGAACTTAGTTTAAATCATTTGCTTTTAGCTAAAAATAAAATCGAAAAGACAGCGAGATAGTCGGACATAGACAACGGCGCAAGGCTCGGTGTATCTACTTGTATACAACACGAATTTTGGGAAATTCCAATTGAGTGGTAGATAACGTGTGACCAATTACTTCAATGACAATTCTACGACTTAAAAGCAATTTTTTTTGTTTTCTTTACAATTAAATTAATTACAATTAAGATTAAAAAATAAAAAAATAAAACATTTAAGAAGAAATATTTACACATTCACTTGTTAATGGTATTGTTGTCCTTTTTTTTGTTTTGTTTTCCATTTGATTTTCATATACATATTTAACGTAAGATACTTTTATTTTTTTTACACAGTTAAGCAATAAATTTTTGTTGTCCGTCGTCGGTTTGCTCGCTACTGGTGCCGCCTTCTACCGGTGGTCGCCCGGTGTATAAACAGATTCAATCATTCCAATTGTGACCAAGATGAAATGAGTATGGTTGAGACGGCATTGAGCCACACTTATCACTACGCCGTTTTTCTTTAATTCTGTTTGTTTGTTGATTTTGTTTCGTTTTGTTTTGTTTGTTTCGAAACAGTATTTTGAACAAATCAATGAACAACAACAACCTTATTTTGACGAAGCATTGTTGCTTAGTCGGTACACACAATGCCATTTTTTAAATGAGCATGTGCTTTCAAATCTGAAATGAATCGAAAATTGGGGATCTTTTAATGTGGAGCTCCCATTTAAATATAAAATCTCCATCGAGCTCGATTCCATGCCTCCCCTTTTTCCCATACATATTCAGACAAAGAAATACGAATTGAATGGAAAAAGGGAGCTAATAATTTATCGAATGATTTCGTTCATCCGTCCATCGGGGGTACAGCTCATGTGCTTTTTCCCATGTGACTGATATTATTATTGTTACATGTGATCGGGCGTCGATGAAGAATTTCATTGAATTAAAGAGATGTGTTTCCCATCGATAATACTCACCACATATCAAGGACACTGACATAAATACAGTGTTTAACTTCTGCTTTGCTTGGCTATAATTAAAACTGGATACCCTTTTCCATACTTTTATATACAAATAATTCTCTTTGCCTTATTATAAAACAAATTTTCTCCATTCTAATGCTTAATATTTATCTTTGTTTTTTCGTTTGTTTGTTTTAAATTGTTTGAATGATTTTCTCAATTTGATGCTTTCTTTAACTGCATGTGGTGCCTATTGATGATGTTGCAACTGCACAATTGCCGTTGCTGCTGAAAGGTCAACGGCAGCATTTTCTTTTCTTTCAAATGCAGCAAATGATTTTGTTTGATTCGTTTAGTTTGGTTTTATTTCCTTCATGTTATTGAGAAATAGAGATAAACGGAGGCAGATTTCAAAAAGATGATAACGTTGGTCGCTGAAACGCGTTCAGGCGATTGTGTTGTTGTTTTTTTTTCTCCTTCTTCTTCGTCTGTTTCCTAATGCCTTTCAATAAAAATTGCCCCATTATGTTTACGTGCAGATTCATTTCCTTTGCGCGCGCGATTTTATTTTCGTTTGGCGTGCAGCATTTCCATGAGAAGTGTTTGCGTAGGAGCACTTCCAGCGCAATGTTTCAAGTAAAGATGATCTTCACCACGTGCAGCCATCGCATGAATTTCCGGAATAATACTTATCAATTTTGCGAATTTTTCCTGTTATTTTTTTTTGTCGATACCGCCAAGCATCGCAATAGAAGAACATAAAATAGAAAGAAAGGGAAAGAACAGAAACCAATTTAAATTTAAATCCTAAGTTGGTAACATAGTAAATTTTCTTGGACTCTTGAATTATTCCAGGTACGGGTGCGCGTGTTCATGTACGCAACCAAAAACGAATAGAAGATTCCATTTATTTCTCGACTACGCGAAATATATAATAATTATTGGAATAATGACCGACAATTACCTCAACTGATGGATAACAAGTGAGTGTATAATCTAATAAAGCTGCTTGAACGTTTTCATACCCTTCGAGGACTGTTTTGCGATTGGTGATACCTCGCACATCTGTAGAATATGTATAAAATACAAAATATATTTGCTGTTTGGAATGCATGAATTCGTTCACAAAATCTACTCTTTTTGTTCAGAGATTAATAGATATTGATCCGGCCGAACTCATACGTACCTGGATTAAGCAACAACAAAAATTTCATGCATATGTAGTCACCGACGTCGAATTTCAGCTCTTGCAGTTTATTTTGTATTTCATTGAAGTGATCGGCCAACTGTGGGACACCCAACAATCCCAGGCCAAGCAAATCGAACTTCTGACCATTATGCAGTGGTGTTTCGTCGGGTAAATTGTTGTGCAATCGATGATGTAAGTGATCCAAGACAAGCATGTCGGACCATGAATTCTGCAGCAATTTCATTTGATCGTCAACCTAAAGTGTATGTGTTTTTAGTGAAGGATAAACGAGAATAATGATTAAATACATAAATATGGATAAAGATAAAAAATGCCAATAATAGTCAGCAGAAGGACTCTTAATTTTGCTCTTCTCTGCTTTTCATTTCATTTATGCAATTTGTTTTGCGTTTTTGCGCTGTGTGCGCGTCAGCTATGGATTTACGCTCAATTGGTCTGAATGCAATTAAACTCCTATCGAATAAGAGAGGAAAAGAAAACACAACGCATACACAAATTGTATGTATCTGTATCTCGCAATGTTCGTACGCATACACAAGTGAGCATTTAAATCAATGTACACAGCAGAAAAAAAGGAACGTAAATATTTAATATTTTTGCTTCGTTTTGTGTTTTGTTCGCAATATTTTTTTCTTCGATTTATTTGTGTATTCGATTTTGAAGCACACAAACGCGAAGCTACTTGGGAACAATCACAGAAAGAAAGGAGAAAAATTCAGTACACACAGCGACACAATGGCCCACTACACTAGACGAGTGTATATGTGTTTGCATATGTATGTAGTCAACGTAACCGTAATAAACTTATAAATATAAAATCATGTCATGGTCACATCATTATGTGTGTGCCATTTTGCGTTGATTTTTTTTTCGTCTCCGTCTCTGTCGATGTTGCTCTCTTTCGCTCCTTCTTTCATTTGTTATGGCTGTGTTAACTTGTTTGTTGTTGTCGTTGTTGGTCTCGTATTTTCCTCAATGCTTTCTTGTTTCATGTTCGGATCGGTTTATATGCGATTTTAAGGTCTCAATTTCCCCACAACTGCACAATCGATGCATTCTAATGATAGAACTACCGTCAGTGCATATCTATCATACTTTTCAAACATCTTTCAACAAAATCAATGCGTAAACTGACAATCGAAATTAACTATCATGACACAAAATACTATGAAAATGTGTATGTTTCCAAATCATGCGCACTCAATCGGGTTATAGGTATTTATAATGGCCGTTTTGTTAGCGATATGCGAATGGCTTTTTCGGAAAACGGTCCAACAGCAAGTACAACAATTTCAAATACCAAAATCCTTTTGCAATTGCCTGTTAACGCTTTAAAATCGATCGGATATACATCCGTAAAATGAATATTATGTTGTCAACGACTTCGAAATCAAGACCAGGTCTTGGAGTGACCTAAAAACCTAAGTCTCTATTGCTAGAGTCCCATCTAGACAACAATATGAGTGAGAGAGAAAATAGGTGGAATATATGTATTCCATCGATCGGCAAAGGCAAATAAATACAAGGAATTCTCCTTGATTTGTACAATTTTTCACGGGCTGTCAAACACAACTCCAAATCATTGACACTATTTTGTTAAAATAGAATATAACATTCGAACTAAAATAATAATATGCAAAATACCCGTTGAATGGTATTTATATATCGACAATTCCACGCGAAATCAGAGAAAATTTGTAATGTGAGGAAAATTGGCTTGGAGTCTTGTTTCGCATAGAAAATTAGAAAACCAAAATCTTAGGACTGTAAGCGTTCACAATTCTGAGTTCACCCAGTGTAAATTTTGCAAAAATAGAAAAAATCGAAAAAAGGGTTTGCGCCAACTAAAATCGAACTAAGAAGTAGTTGACGCATTGGCAAACCTATGGTTCCGTTGGAAAGGGAATCGATGGGACTACAAAAACCGCGAGTAACATAGCCTCTTTGACCCTGTTGGGCCCCGAAAAATTGGTTAAAAGTATAAAAAGTAAAATATCTCAAAAGGGTGTCACTTTTTTTGTCGATTTTATTGCGTTAAAAGATAATTCATGTAGCGCCGCTTCAGATAGACTAAGCATGCCAGATCGCCCGGATTCATCCGGGTTTGTATTAAATGAATTCTAACTATTTTTGGTCTCGAAACTTTATTGTTGTGGAGTTCATATGGAGAGAGGAAGTTACAAGGAAGTTTTCTGCCCGATCAGATTTTCCAAAAAAGGTCCTGGAGCCAGGATATGGATTCATGAAAAGGAAAATGGTCATTTTCAGTACATTTTATTTTACGAAAATGTTGAATATTTTCCGAGTTTTCCAAGATTTTCCAACCATTTTCATTTTATGGATGTATGATCATTAACTAAAAACGAATTCGTGAAAATTTTCCGGAAAATTTGAAATCCTGGAAATTTTTTGAAAATGAGGAACATTTTCCAAATTGCCATAGAGGGAAAACGGAAAATCGCGGAAAATTGAGGTATGTCTCATTCGATCGGGCGGAAAATTTTATGGATCTGGCACCCGGAGGGTGAAAAAAACAACCATTTTCCTAGCCGTTTTCGAGATAAAACAGAAAAACGTGAAAAAATCCGGGTTTTTGTCCAAATTTTCTGGCATGCTTAAGATAGACCCCCCATTATAGAACCCCCATTATATTCTTCATAGAACAATCGAATGGTCGAAATCTACATACAAAATCACATTTGTGGCATAGAAAACCCACCTATAGCGGGCTGTCATGATTCTATTTCCACGTAACTTTAGACGAGAAATCGATCCAAAACTATCTCAACCCTATATCTGATTGGTCTAACAGCCAGAAAAATGGTCCGTTCCAGCCTATGTCTTCAACTCCCAATACAAACACTTTTTTTTGTTTCAAAAATGCCCTGTTCTGCATTCAATCGTGAATGGCTTTTATTTTTCAGCGAAACAAATAAAAATATACATCACCTAGCTCAATTCATCGTTTTATATGTAAAATCTTCATTTTGAGTGAATTATTCAATGACAAATTCGATTTGAGACCAAAATACAACAAAATGGGTGTTGGGTGTTTTATTGTTTACATACCCCCATTATATTCGAAAATGAATACGAGTTTTCTAACGTAAAAGTATCGAATTACGCAAATTTAAGGTACCTCCCCTACAAAATGACCGTTTTTACAGAGCAATTTCTATACAAAACGCTAATGTGTCCTCCTTAGTTAGATTTTAGTTGGCGCAAAAACTTTTTTCGATTTTTTCAATTTTTTGCAAAATTTACACTGGGTGCACTGAGAAAAAAACATTCTGAACAAATGACAGATGACGTTTGGAAATGGCTAGTTTACAACCTTTTTTGTATGTAGATTGTGAATTGTCCAACTTTTTTGGTAGTATTGTATTGCAGAAAAAGTTGGACAATTCACAATATACAAAAAGTTGGAAACTAGCCATTTCCAAATGAAGGTTGCGAATTTTTCGGACAGAGTTCTCTCAGTGTGAACTCAGAAATGTAAGCCACTCTCATCCCTAGGATTTTGGTTTTCCAGTTTTCTATCGAAAACAAGACTCCAAGCCAATTCGGCGACCTCACATTACAACTCTGATTTGGTATGGAATTGCCGATATATGTGTGCAAAGGGCAAAGCATTCAAATGTGAGATCTGTTGCAATCGGCATCGGTATTCAATTGAAATGAATGACGAACGACAACAACGATGATTCCGACATTTTCAAATTGCATCGGGAAAAAAAGCATACGGTGGAACCAACATCAACATTAAGAATACCACAAAGAGTTCTTTGTACAAAATCAATGGTTCACCTTTCGAAGTCGTTGATGTGTGGTCGAATTCATCATGGCATGGAATGCATTTGCTGGAAAATTATTGAAGAAAAACTAATGTATCGAATAATAGCAAAATCAATGTCTTGCATCATTTATCGTTGATTCTATTTGTTTTTTCTTTTCTTTTTTTTGCTTTAATTTTTTGTTCATTTCTATTTACACAATTCAAAAGGTTTCTCTTTTGTTTACTTTTTGATCGAAAAAAGCAAGCACATGTAATTCAAGTGGTAGAAACTACTGCAAACTTGGAACTCATTATTATTGGAACATCATAAACAGTCGTGATTCTTATTACACCGAAGAAGCTCCATTTAAGCGAAAACTTTTGTTCTTCCAATTGGAATATGGTACGGAAGTTGTTTTTGGACAAGTAGAAAATAATGATAATTTTCTTTTACCATTTCATTAAGCTAAATCGATCAGTATTTGATCGTTACATGAAAAATTCATATAGGATCGAAAAGTGAATAAATCACTCCACAGCAGCAACGAAATCACTCCCCAAACTTGTTTCGATCATACAAAACATCATCATCGTCGTCGTCGTCGTGTGTCTGATTGATTCTCAGACACATTGAAATAAGTATTACGTATTGTATGTATCGGTCGCAAGCCATCCGCGCCGCACGCTACTACGTGAGACTGTACTCACTTCATCGACCGACTTGTGTCTTGCTCAAACACAAACACATTCACACAACATACCGAAAAGTATCGCGCCGCAGCTGCCTCGATTATTGAGTGAAGTGTATGTATAGAAAACGTTTTCATTTCACTTTCAACATAAAAATGGTGCCAAGGTCGATTGATTTAGTATGATTTTTGTGTGTTTTTTTTCATCACTTTTTCATGTTCGTTAAATTGTGCGTGCGGTACTTTCATGTGTTGGTGCAATGCCGCACATATTTATATACTTCATTTCGCTTCGCTTTCGTTGCTTTCATTAATCGTCTTCTCTGTTATTTGTTTCTCTTTCCCTTCTCTATGTACATATTATGCGTCCAAAATACCTTGGCTCTCTGAGATTATACATAACAATACTGCGATTATTCATCTTCTTCATTCTGTTTTTTTTTCTCCAAAGGGTTTTGATTATTACTTCATAATTTGACTGTTTCGCTTTCATTTGATTTTTTTATTTCTCATTTCGATCTCTGCACTGTTTGATATGGTGAAGCTTTTGTTGTTACTATTTCTCCAATGCAAGTAAGTTTTACATGAGATCTATACATGAGAATTTCGTTCCACCATTCCAATTGGACATTAATGATCATAGAGTGATTGACTAAAATGTGAAAAAACAAACACATCACTTGTTTTCTCTGGAGATTGTTTTCTTATTACTAAATTTACTGAATAAATGCGGTCTTTTCGGAAAGGTTTTTTGCCCCAAAATTAATGCCAAGGAGGATTAAAATTAATTCAATAGTATAAAAACTTTAGCAGTGAGTAGCTAATGACGTAATTCGAATATAATATACGATGACCTTTCCGCATGTAAATTTAATGAAATTTCTATAGCCGATTTTGGGCCATGCATAAAATGTACAAGTCAAATTTTGTCAAAATATGTTTTATTTCGCATTGCATCTCGTTTTTTTTCTCTCCTTTTCTATATTTCTTCCGCTCTGTCTCTCCAGTAGTGTTGGCTGAATCAGATTTATCAAATGCTATGTATGCATAATAGTGACAGTAAGAAATCAAGCGCATGTATAGTGTATACACATCGGAGAAAAATCAACAAATATTCGTCTATAATTAGCTGAAACAGAGTCGCGGTAGGCAGTATGAGCACATGCACATAGCGACATACATGCGAACCGAAAGTAGGTTAATGTAAGCAAATGTTGCTGCTGTTGGCTGCCATCATTGACGTCGTCGTCATAACACATAGCAATTCATCATTGATTCGGTTATATTTTAATGTGTTCTTTTTGGTTTCTGTTGTTGTGGTTGTTGTATTATATATGTTTTGGTGCACCGCATGATTTGTCAAGCGCGCGCGCACATCATGATCAGCGCTAGCGTAATGGTATTCGCACCATTTATGCTGTTGCTGTTGCTTCCCTTAAAATAAGGTCAGGCACAGCCTTGAGGGATAATGAATTGAATCAAATCGGAAAATAATTATCCTCAGCTAAACAGCAACAAAAAAAGCACATTTATAATGAAAAAACAAAACCGCAAGCCACTCGGCTATGGATCCAGACCGAAAATTGTTCGACTATTGTGTCGATTTCATTCAAGTTTTCTGACACAAAAAAATAATAATAAAGAAAATTGCTTTGGTTTTAACCGAATCCAATATATCTGATGTAATCGCTTCTGAAGACACCATTTCCAATTCCGCAAAAGACAATCCTTCGAAGGGTAAACATAACATTTGTTTGAGAATTCATCGGACAGATGGAGAAACAAGGCAGCCAACGTTAGAAGCTTCCTCTATTTTCACATGTTTGTTTGAATTGTTAGCGTTTTCCATCTTTTAGCGTATAGTTTATTTGCGTTGATGCCATTGTTACCGACACATTAGAAAATATTTTTCAACGACGTCGATGCCGTCGACATTGTCGTCGTCGAACGTCGTCCGACGTCGACGTCGACGTCGACGTCGTCTTCGTCCCAGTTGTATTGCTGTCAAAGTGTTTTAGTTGACCTACATAACTATTTAAGCTGAACGCCTCAATTATTTTAATACAGTTTTTCCTTCGTCGTGCTTCTCATTTCGAATCTAAGATATGAAAAATTCACAGTGTTTTCAGCTAAAACATTCAGTTGGTTGGCTTAAACTGACGGCACTGATTTAGGAACGCGCAATACAAACAAAGGAAACCCACAAATACAAATCGAATGCACTTTATTTTACTGCGTGTATTGTGTTGATGATCATAGCGATAAATTGTTGTTCATTTCGCTTTGGTTTGTCCGTCGAAAGAAACGAAATACAACAACTTTTGCTTCTTGATGCGATTGATCAGCAAAATGACTAAAATTGTATGGCTCAATGTAATCGTGTTCTTCAATGTTTCCCCAACATTTTAATGTGCGTAAATAGAATATCACGTATCGATGGTATTCATATAAGAATGAAACCCAAATAATTTTCTATTTCAATACAATAACATCGTGAAGATGCAGACAAAGACAAACGCTAGAAGAAATCGTATGCACGCGCACTATAATTACTCAGCATCGTTCGCTCGATTACATCAGAGAGCTAATACAAAATTGTTCGAACAATCTTCGAATGTTGTTGTTGTTGTTGTTGTTCCGCTTTTTGTTATATTCGATTTACTTTCCATTGGTATGTTGGATGAATTGCTTCATAGCACAACAAACTCACTCAAGAATGGACTCACTAAAGATCGTTCACGATTTATACACGGCTATGAAGGCCGATGCAATCGTAAAACTTCCCAACGTTCTAAGATGGTTTACATTAATTTGCCATGGTGTATACACGAACGCGATAGTTTCGGAGTCGTACAATTTCAGCCTAATTTCAGAATAAATTTAATGAATTCCATGAAACGTAGTAGACTAACATTTATCTTTGAAATTGCATGTGTAGAGAAAAAAAAACCGATAGAACAATGTAGTTGCTAGTTATATTGCCATTCTCATTTCGCATTGAAATACCAAATTCGATTCTGTCTTTTTTTCCGCTTCAATACATACGATTCGAACTGTATGAACCACGCGGACCACGTGAGCTATTATCGTTCTAGTTCTCTCTTATTAAATATCTCTCTTTTGTTTCAAGACTTGGGGGTTTGTTATATCAGCCAAATAAACCCATACGCAAACAAAATGATTTGTCTTGGCAAGCAAAGATAAAAAATTGAAGAAAAAAATGAAGTAATCACTGAATGACTCACCTTGAGATCTTTAAAGAATACGGTGTTGCGTGCCCAATCAACTTGCGAGAACAGGTTCTGATCCAATACTTTGCACATCAATTCAAAGAGATCAACTTCACATTGATTATACGATTGACTTTGAAGCAGCGAAAATAGTTGTGACTGCCATTCGCGGTCGTCTACCGATTGAACAAATTCACGTATCATCGGTGACACCCTGGGGAAGTTCAAACTTTTTGAATTCTTCCAGTATTGCTTTTTGCTAACGGAAGTATAATGTTATTGGTGTTTAAAAAAAATTAATTTTGAATTTTTGTTTGTAAAAATTTGTTTGGTTTGTTTGTGTGAATATCAATTTTTCAATTTTAATAAACATTTTTAGCGAAAATTTATTTTGATTAATAGGGCAAAATGTGTGTGTGTGTGTGTGGAAAAGGAAAACCGTTTTCGATAGCAATCGAGTAAAATGGTGCAATCAAATCAATAGTTTTGCGAACAAATCGATATACCACGACATACAGTGGTTCATACTTTTATACAATGCGATACAAACAATTCGATTTTTCTTCTTTTTCCAAAACGGTTCTGTTGAAATGTCGAAATTATTGTTTGCGATTTGCCTTGCACATTTTATCATTACTTTATCGAAAATTGCAATATTGGATTGAAGGAAGTTTAATCGAAAAACTGAAACAAAAAAATGTTTGGTACCCAGCTGCCATGCATCTATGATTCAGCACCTTAAACTCTGTCTCTTAGTTGTAAGTTAAACGGTTTCAAGTGTTGAAAGCGATAAAACAAAAAACGGACAATAATACAGTAAAATGTAAATCGTGTGAATCAATGATGGCATAGCTTAGGGTTTGTGAAAAGATTGCAAAAGAAAATTAATTACGATAAACGCAAAAATCTCAAAGAAAATAACAACAACAACAAAAAAAAGATATACAAAGAGAAAGACAAAACAATTAGAAGAAGATAATGAATTGAAGAATATAAAAACATAAATAGGAATAAATACCTCAGTGGTTCAACTGCGCTAATGTCAGCTGTACTGGTTGGATTTGTGCTCGTATCAAAGCTAAATGCTTTTGGGCTTAGCGAATGTGGTGAAGCTGTGGTTGAGTTGGCAAACCACAGTTTTGAATCGGTTGTCGGGTTTGATAAGCCGGTGGCGTTTGCTGATGATGTTGTTGAGCCACCGACATTTGATGCACTTCCTCCGGATAACGCGCTATTTGTACCAGATAGCTGTAAACGAAGGATTCCATTTAGCGAACAATTTTCAGTGAACAGAAAACTCAACTGGCAATAATCTCATATGCCGAGAATGCCATCGACGGAAACGAAATTGGTTCTCATTTAATTGAATTTGAATTGAATTGAATTGAATTTGTCGCAAACAGCGTTTTCCGATTAACGATATTTCATTTGTTTGTTTGTTTGGTTTGGAATAAAATCAAAAGAAAATGTTGTTGGTTTATTCTTACAGAAATATTGATGCTTTCGTGAGTGTTTCCATTGCCGGCATTCGTATTATTGTTGCCAGCTGTGGTCGTTGTGTTGCCACTTGCTACGCTCACCTGTCCCAATGCAATTGCAATTGGACTAGGTGACGAATCCGGAGATGATGTTAACGACGAAATCTATAGAAAATTACAAGAAATTGGCCATCAACACAAAGTGAAGAAACAAAAAAAAACCCAATTTTCCCTTCTGTCATAGTCATTGTAGGTCGATTGTGAAATATACAATTGACACTTACCTGTGGTATCTGAATTTCTTGTTTGATGTTCATATTTGAATACGGCTGTTGGTATCCGGTCGGTGATAATTGTGATGTGTTTCCTTCCGCTGCACGCAGAGCTTGCACCGCCAACTGTCTTTGACGCATTATTTGCAGTTTTCTTGCCCGATCACGTTTGTACATTGGTCCAAATTTGTTCCTACCACCTCGCATGCGATCCGCACGAACAGCTTTTGAGCAAAATGAGAACAAACGAAATTCGGTTATTATCATATTTGCCAAGGAGTCATCTATCTACATATTATATTTTTATTCGAAGGTCAATCAATTTATATATTCATTTCACTATACTGAGTCTTCGGAACCTTAATTCACCATCAATATTCATTATTCATTGCTTCAACATTGAATTTTTTCATAATGCATCCATCATATCACACACAAGAAAGATCGCCTGACATAAAAATATTGCGATCGCCTAACGGATGCCAAATATTGAATGTTAACAACAACCAAAAAGTTCACACAGCACGCCAACTATTTTTGTGTAGCAATATTTGGTTTCATTTTTTTGTTTCTTTTCGTTGGTTCCATATTATGCAATAAACGAAAACCATTTACGAAGAAAAAAAACATAAACCAAATTCCGAATTGGTGAATTCGAACCGATTTCACTTTCGGTTAAAATAAACACAACTACGCGGACAATACGCCGTTGGCTATTTAAAAGCAATACAAGTAAATCTGAATGTCTGACAGTGTTGGCTGCATTCGCAAGCGTAGCATAGAATAAACATTTTAAAAACAAAAACAAAAATCGCACTGGCAGAGCATCCAGACTGTTGATGTATTGTGCGTTTCTTTACAGACGCCTGAGAATACGACACCGTTAAAGTACACGCAAAACAAGAGATGTTTAGCCTCTTTTGGGGCGCCTTGAATCACTATTTGGTTTGAAAATAGGCACGCGATATGGTAATGAATCGTTGTTGTCTAGTGTTGTGCACTGTCACGCGGGTGCGCATTACTATTAAAAGTTGAAAATATTTTCTATTTCATCGTCCGAAATAAAGCAATTGAATTATACTATACAATATATTCCCGAATGTATGAAAAAAATCGCTTAAAAGAAGACCAGGTTATATAACATTAAAAAATCTCTTTTTTTCTGTGCACATTGTTGATCGCGCTACATATGAACAGAACGCACACATACACACACACATCGCAATCTGTATAGAGGCCGCAAAATAATGCAAGAGCGAAAAAAATCTACACACCACTAAAATTGAAATTGGGTCATGATGAGGTTTTTTCTGTTTTATTTTTTTTCGTTCGCCTTTTTTTGCCTTTTCGTCTGCTTTATTTTCTCTGGTTAACTCTTTCTCTCTTTCATTTCATTTTCGGCTGCGATTTTAATTGAAAACTTGCAACTTGGTACAATGCGGAGCACGTCAATCCTGTGTATGACGATGAGGCAACTGGTATTTTACACACACTTTTCGGTCGTTCGCTTGCATGGAAGACATCATGTTCATTGATTATCGCATATAACAAGACTTTTGCAAATGGGGAGGCAAAAGGCTTCAATTTTTGCGAAATAATTATTTTCATTTTTGTTCTTATCTTCTTGCCATACCATATGCGATGTCACGTAGTTTCTATATTGCTGTCACTTTGCATACATATCGATTATATATATCCGAAGCTATTTTATGTAAAAATCACGGCATATATTTCTTTAAAAATTTGCTCCATTGCATTCGCTCTTTGCTTTTATTGCCAATCTCCATGCGTTAACACGACTTGTATACGAAATTAATTCTAATTTCATTGTGTTTCTTTCGAAAAAAAATTTTTTTTTTCTTGACGAAATCAGTATTAGTATAATGAATTTTTCAGCAAGTGTGTATGGGCCTTTTTTGGTTGGACAATTTCAAATTGTTACTGAAAGGGGTATACATATATGACGCGGAAATTTGCATATCGTTTCAATAATTCATTTGATTGTGCTTTGTTAAGCGTTCGAAGTATTCTTCACCTGCATTCCTTGACTATCCGTATGATTCTCGATCTAATGTCAGTGAGCTGGTTGCGAGCGAGCAAGCAAGCAAGCGCATAAGCGTATGCAACAAAATATTTGAAATTTTATATGCCTATTTCTTTACCAGTTTTGATTCCTCTGTTGTGTGTCGTTAAATGCTTAGTATGCGATTTTTTATGTGTTTCATTTCATCTAAATTACGTCGTCACTGTATTTGTTTTAGGCGGCTTTTTCTCAATGAACATTACTCACGAGTTTGTTGTCACATATACATATGTATATTTATTTTTCTATATCTATCTATATATATATGCGTGTATGTACTGTTAAGTGGGTCAGTTTAAAAGTTTGATTCGTTTTCTACACAAATCGCTTCACATGCCTATTTACTTTTATGAACGCACGGCTCCATGTATATCAATTCAACTTTTTTTTCTGCTTCTACAATGGGCATTCGTAATTTGTGAATAAGCCAAAAACTGAGCATTGCAACTAAATGTCTGTATTGGTTGCTTTGTTAATGTTTTGCGTTCTTAAATTGAAGTTATTACAACAGATTTCAGTAGTTTCCGTAACGGAACGTTTATTTTTGACCGAAATTTTATTGTCTACATTAGTTTTTTTTTTCGTTGAATTTATCAACTAATGGAAATACATTTATTTCATTTGACTTGGAAATATATTTCAGAAGCGCACCAAAGCTTGCCTTATATTTCACGATAGATGCGAATAAATCATGATTTGAATTTGTATACGCGATCAACGGCAGTGTTAATGATATTGCAGAATTTCTTGGATATAACAGCAAGGTCTCAAAATGGCTCATTGAAGCTCTCTTTCTCTGTCTATCTACAATGTCCTTGGTGGTCGTATGAATTTTCAGTGGAAATCACAGCTGTTTTTATTTCATTTGTAGGTAAATCCATCATCTTATTGCACATTAAATAATAGGTGGACAGCAAATATTTTTATCTGATTGGGAAATATTGAATTAGGCATACAATGCGACATAGATTTTTTCCTATTCGTATGCCTTAATTTTTCAATTCACATTGGTTCATTGGTATATATATATATTGCGCATCAATTTTCACCCAATGTTCGTAATCGTAAATATATTTCCGTCGTGTCGCACGTGCGTGTAGAGTAGACAATTGACACCTTAAGTTTGCCAAATAAAATAATTTATTTTTATCCATGATAACTGAGGCTGACCATCGCCATATTATCGATTGGAGGAAAAATCAAACTGCATTGATTACGACGTTCACATTTAAGTTCAGTAAAAAATGTAACCATTTCTTAATGTGCAGAAACATACAATTAGCACACTGATTTAAAAAAGACCCCAAACCCATTTTGAGCTGATAGATACACGACTGCTAAAATGGTTTGAATAATTGTGCACTGTAAATTTTCGATAAGCTGCAATTTAGCGTTAGGCCTCTCTCATTCATTTTTCTCACATTATCATCCAGCTGACAGCTCGATGTATTGGCGAGAGACCGTAATTCATTCCGAATCTTGGCCATTTATCATACACTTTAATTGTTGGAAAGTGTTAAACAAACCATTTAAACACCGCAGATTAGTTTTGGCAAGATTGTTATTCCATTTTTGTGTATGAACACCTCGTGAACAAAATTCGTTTTATTCGACTGAGTTGAGAGTTGCAAACGAATTTGCCCTATTGGAAGAGAAAGAAGACAAAAAATACCATCAACTAAATTTCGAGCGCCCACTCATTAAAGCGCCGCATAACGATCATTTCATTCATAGATTATTTCGTATTTGTATTGTCTTCCCTAGCCATTTTAATCCACTTGAACATGAAAAATAAATGTGATTTCAACATGAAATCACACATCATAATCGCCTGCTGAACCTGAGTGCTTCGGGTTGTATGCATAAGAAGAAAAAAAAATAAAATTCAAAAATTCACGCAATTCAAAATTAAATCACTGTGCGACACAAAACACACGAGCTCGGTTATGCACACAATTAGCTCATTGCTATTAGGTTTTAAGGTTATGACACAAAGTTTTTCGTATGTAAATATTTATTACATTTCGAGACCGAAACGGCAACAGCAGGGGAACAAAAAGAAATCATTGTTTGTTGATAATACAATGTGCGCGAGAGTCAGAAAAGTGGAAAGACAAATGCTCACCACAGCTTTTGATGCCGAGAGTGAAGCAAAAAAAATGAAAACGAAAAAAAGCAGCCACGCCGGAGTGAACGGTATATAAAGGGAACGCACTAACATGCACACAATGGATTTTGAATGGGCAATTGCAAAATTATTAATTTGCTTCGTAGATTAATTGGATTAATTGGAGAAAAATTATGACAAATTTCATTTGAGTTAGGCAAAATGCGTGCACATGTGTTTGCTCGCTATCGTACTGATCAAAACGTTTGACACATTGTCATTTTAAATTTTTACATTGAGCGTTCGACACACGAAATTTGAATGTCGAAACCATTTTACGTACGACTATCTTTGCATCAGAGCAATCGATTGTAGGCATTAATTCGATGCTACACACAAATCGATCGATACACAAAAGTCGAGTGGAAATCGACAATGAAAAGGGGAAAAAATGCCGAAAAAGAAGAGAAAATATTTGCAATCAATGGCCATTAGTTGAATGGCGAAAATATGAACGGAACTAAAAAGGCAACAATTCGTGTTATCGTTTTAAGTTTTCCACTGAACGTGTTTTGTTCGGGCTATCGATGAGGCCTAATGGAAGTGGTCAAACATATGTGACATTCTCACCAAATGAGGATGCAATATACTTGCATTTTGACACCCCACGAATACGATGAAATTAACACATTCCCCGTGTGGGGATATCGGTCAACACGTTTAATGTCTCGCCAATATATTTGAACGGAAAGAGACTACAATGCAAGATTTCTAAATTTTTTCTTGTTCATCTAAAAATATCATTTAGAGAAAAAAAGACCCAAAATATGCCTCTATCAAAGAAAATATTCGGCACCATCGCTCATGATGTTTTTCATATTTATATTTGACACTTTGAATTTGCCTACTACCTGCTTATTTGTTCTCCGGTAATGTAATTGGAACAAGAAAAAAAACAAAACGAAATTTGGCAATCGTATTCATAGTGTACATACAATTTATACGGCACATATTGCGTATAGTTGTTGATGTTG